ATTCATTGGACTTTTGATGATACTAAGGAATTTTTTTGGAGAGGGGAATAATGACGGTTAATTTTCTCAGCATAAGCATACTATAGTATTTAAGGGTTAAATATGACATGACATCATGGAATTGCTTCAGAATAATTGAGTGTTATGGTGGTGGAGTGAATGTGGGTTACAGATGGCACTGTTCAATACTATAGCCACTAGCCATATGTGGGTAATTAAAATTTAAAAGGTGAAATGACAGTTCCTCAATCCTTAGCATATTTTCACATTAGCAGTAGGAAATCTCCATCATGCAGAAGTTCTTTTGGATCGCACAGGCGTAGAGGAAACAAGGTTGATCTTGTGTTGGTAAGTTTTGAGGCTGAGTGATGAGGGGTTCATCTTATCATTCTCTCCGCATTTGTATACATTTGAAATTTTCCATGAAATGAGGAGACAAAGAAAAACCATGCATGACCTTTGTGGAGAAAATTACAAAAGATCTAAAAGAAGAACTGAAGATATACTTTTCATGAATGGAGAGACGCCATATGATATCAGTTCAGTTCAGTTCATTCGTTCAGTTGTGTCCGACTCTTTGCGACCCCATGGACTGCAGCACGCCAGGCCCCCAGGCCCCCTGTCCATCACCAGCTCCCGGAGTTTACTCAAACTCATGTCCATCGAGTCGGTGATGCCATCCAACCATCTCATCCTCTGTCGTCCCCTTCTCCTCCCGCCTTCAATCTTTCCCAGCATCAAGGTCTTTTCAAATGAGTCAGCTCTCAGGATCAGGTGGTCAAAGTATTGTAGTTTCAGCTTCAGCATCAGTCCTTGCAATGAATATTCAGGACTGATGTCCTTTAGGATGGACTGGTTGGATCTCCTTGCAGTCCAAGGGACTCTCAAGAGTCTTCTCCAACACCACAGTTCAGAAACATCACTGCTTCCAAATTAAGTCTGTAAATTCAATTCAGTTCCATAAAAATCCCCATAGACAAGATAATTGTGAAAAGAATGGGGGCGGGGTGCTTACCTAGAAACTATCAAGGCTTATTTTAAAGGTATAGAAATTAAGAAAGGCATTGTATCACTGATGCAGAGTTAGACAAATATACCAGTGGAACAAAACTCTCCAGAAATGGACCCTAGGTGGATTAGACCTCGGTGTAGGGAGGAGTCATTTCTAATCAGTGCGGAAACTATGTTTTGGTAATAAATGGTCTTGGGATATTTGGGAATATGGTAATTTGACTTTGGACACGGGTGTTTGTGGTGCTTCTGAGTGGAAATGTGAATTAGGCAGCTGAATATGTGTGAAGCTTAGCAGAGAGACTTGAATTAGTTATAGAAGTTTGGGAATCATAAGCTTACAGGTAAAACTTTTTGATGAAAGCACTGAAATTACTTAGCACGAGAAGATAGCATGAGGGAAAAAGAGGACCGTAGGTGGAACCCACTGTAACACTAAGGTTTAAGGACTGGGTGGTGGCGCTGGTGGTAAAGAACCCGCCTGCCCGTGCTGGAGATGTAAGAGCCTCAGGTTCGATCCCTGGGTTGGGAAGATCCCCTGGAGGAGAGCATGGCAACCCAGTCCAGTATTCTTGCCTGGAGAATCCCAAGAACAGAGGGACCTGGTGGGCCCTGGGTTGCAGAGTCGGACACGACTAAAGCGATGTGGCGTGCATGCACACACTGCGGCAGAGCCAGCTGTAAGCTCATTGAGGGCACAGCTCAGGCTTCCATCCTGGCAGCTGGTAGGTGCTCAGTAAGGTTTTGTCAAGTGAGTAATGGGATGGAGTGGCCAGAAATGTGAGCATCAGACGAGAAGACCCGGTGTCCCAGTAGCTAGAGGAGAGAAGGAGAAGGCAGTCAAATGCTTCAGACAAAGACCGGAAGATCGTGACTGAAAAGTGGCTTTCGCAGCAAAGATGTCACTCACTGGTGACCCTGGGGAGGGCTATTCCAGTGTTGCTGGAAGACACACTGGGGAAGGAATCTTAAGAAATGCAGGTGACGGACGTGCAGTTGGTAAGAGAAGTGGTAGTGGATTGGAGGTCGGGTCGGGGCTTGGCAGAGTATGCGAATGTTTAGAGCAGTCATTGTGGGGAGGCAGAGACTTCTCCACCACTTGAGGAGGTGAGAGAAGTGGTGCAGGGCACTGGGTAGACTGGGGGTTTACTTTCTTTCCCCCCAGGTATTTGTTCACTTTTGTGTTTTGATGGGAGAACACTGGACATCCAGTATTTCGAGGGGAGGAGCAGAAGGAGCTGAAGAAGAGTGTGTGAAGATAAAGGAGAGAAAGCTAATGAATGGATCAAGGTCCCTGTGGAAGTGAAAGAGATGAAAACATAGATGGTACATTTCCCTGTGAGAAAGGATGAGACCTTTTCCTCAGAAATAGGAAAGAACAGTGCTGATAAAAGTGCATTTGGAGTCTGGAAAAGGTGATGCAGGTAAAGACGTGAAAACCAGCCAGGGTAGATTTCCTGTGATACGATGAAGCTTGGGCTTGGGGGTGCCTTACCGCATGGGCACTTTTCAGTACTCAGAATTAGTAGGAGCTGTCGTGTCTTAGGGAGGGAAGAACGTAAGTACAATCCCGAGGCATTTCTTTGTAAGCACTTCCGACAGATTACCTAATGAAACCCCAGAAGAAAGGTATCAACATTTCTAAGACTGCAGGAATTTATTGTGGTATCTTTTCTTGTTCTAAATCACTTTCATTTTGGTACCTAATTTGATATTTGTGGTTTTGTGTGTAGTTTTTTTTTTTTTAAAGGAAATTCCCCCTACCCCGCTATCTGAATACAATTTGTTTCCCTCAATACCTCAGTCGACCCCTGCTTGTAGATATGGGGGCAGAAGTTGAAGGAGTTCATAGGCTTCGTTTTCTGAGCGAAGTGAGAGACAAATCATTTGAAAGGGATGAAGGGAGGGTAGGACGCTTGGCAGAGCTCGTGGATGTTCAGAGCAGTTGTTGTGAGGGTGAGAAGAGAAATGATTAGGGACAGCAGAGATCGTTCTGGGAGCCCACTCCCAGCTTATCTGTGTCCCCTGCCCCCTGTTTTGGCTGTCCAAGCGTCGGAACACAGAAAACACATTTCAAGTGGGGCTGCAGGATAGTATTACTAGAAAGAGGAGGGCTCCGGTGGGCTTCCCTGTGGCTCAGCTGATAAAGAATCCGTCTGCAATGCAGGAGACCTGGGTTTGATCACTGGGTTGGGAAGATCCTCTGGAGAAGGGAAAGGCTACCCACTCCAGTATTCTGGCCTGGAGAATTCCATGGGCTGTATAGTCCATGGGGTCACAAAGAGTCAGACATGACTGAGCGACTTTTCACTCACTCACTCACTCACTCACTGGTGTGTTGAGGGAGCAGGTAGAGAGAGAGGGTGAAGTGATGCACCCCAGAATCAAGGCTGAGTTGGGAAAGAAGTGGAACCATGAGACGGCTGCTCACTCCCAGGAAAGCAAGGATGGAAGATTTGTTGAGGCTGGAGAGCAGTGAACTGGAAGTAGTCGAGATGCTGAGAGAGTTGAACATTAATTAGATATGGAGCAGTTTATTCTAGAAAAAGCTGAAAGGGCCAGTGTTGGCATTTGAGGAAATCTCGAGGGAAATAAGATGAAGTAGATTTCTGCTGTACTCAGATATATTCAGGATGTGGTGGGAGGGGAACCTGCTCGGGTGTGTGTGTGTGTTTAAGTTAATACTATGAAGATTTTGGGGAAGTGACAGCAACTCTTTAAACAAGTGAGAAAAATAAGAAACAGTGACCTTTAAAACAGTGATCTTTACAAGTTTACCTGTTGCTTAAACAGTTTGCTTGGCCATCAGTTGATGTACTAGAGTCACAAGAAAATTTTTAAGCTTTTTATTTTGTGTTATTCCTAACAGATTTTCTTACACATGTACACCAAGCATTCGTTAGATTATTTTCTCCCTAATCTCTGTAAAGCTGCCAGACGTTTTTACTGTATTAAAATAAACCAAAGACCATTTCTCATGAGTTCCTCAAGGCATCTTCTTTGTTTTCTCTTATTCCAAAAGAAAAAAGAAGAAATGTTTCATCCGGAGACAGCCTGATTCTAGAATACTGAGGTGTTCTAAAAACCATCCCATCATATTTAGATCATCTTCACTTAGTTGGTTAAATTGTTGCATGAAAGGTGAGTGATTAGATAGTTGAGCAGCATCTTCTTTGTCAGGATGCCAATAAGTAACAATTACGTTTCAAAGATTTTGAACAATATTGGGTACCATCTTACAGGATTTGGAGAAAAGCTAAACACTTCCATGGGTCCTAAGTATATCTTCCATTCAGAATGCTTTTCACTTCTGTAGGGACTTCACAGTCACCAAAGATAAATATAAATATCTGCTGCTGCTGCTAAGTTCCTTCAGTCATGTCCGACTCTGTGCGTCCCCATAGACGGCAGCCCACCAGGCTCCCTCGTCCCTGGGATTCTCCAGGCAAGAACACTGGAGTGGGTTGCCATTTCCTTCTCCTATATGTATATATATCAAAGGCATTTAAAGTTTTTTGACACCTATATTGATATTCTCAATAACCTCTTTTCCTATTTCCTACTAATCATTGTTCACAATTGGATACAGTTTGAAGAAGAATCATCAAGGTACCAGCAAAATACTATTCTAATAAGTCTGCTTTAAGTTTTTAAGGGAGAAATTTTGTTTTAATTGAAAAGTTTTTTTTTTTCCAAGTCTTGAAACATCTAACTCTGTGGTCAATCTACTGTGATTGTGACATGTTCTTTTTTTTCATTGTATGATTCCAATTGTAATAGCATTTTGTAAGTGACAAAACTATAGAGATAGTAAAAAGGCCCATGTTTGCCAGGGTTTAGAGGAGGGTAGGGGAAGGGGTGAATATATAATACACAGTCCATTTTTAGAGCAGTGGAAATATTCTGTAATGATGTGTTGTTTTAGTTAAAAGAAATATTTTTAATTACATGCTAAGTTAAATCTGTTACAATTGTTCTAAATGCACAGAATGTCCCTGGCTGCTTATTGTCTCATCTGCTGTAGAAGAATGGGAACCTCGACTCCTCCACCAAAAAGCAGCACATACTGGAGAGATATCAGTGAGTACAGTTTAAATGACAGTATTTTCTTACAGAAACAGTGATAGAATTGTGGTTAAGTTTCTAGGGTGGTCCGCAAAAACTTGTTTAATTAGTGATAAATCTCAAATTTATTTATAACTTTTCTGTACTAATGGTTCACCTCAAATTTGTAGGCCCAGAGCCATGCATACTCCTTTTTCTTAGGAATTTCCCCTTTCCTTTGTTCCCGTCAGGTTCATACTCATCCTTGTAAATTCAAGTCTCACTGCATTCTTCAGCTTATTTACTAAGCTCCTATAAAACTGGTGTCAGGCCCGTGTATTAGGTTCTGGTAATTCAATGGAGAGCCAGGAAGATGTTTCGCTTGCCCTCTAAGAACTTAAGATCTAGTACCAATCTACTGTCTGTCTTTGTAAATATTTATGTTATTACTAATCTTTATTTGTAAAATGAGAATATTGCCTAGATCATCTTTCATTCATTCTACTATGTGCTGGGTACTATTACTAGGCCCCGAGGGTACAGTATGGAATAAGACAAAGTCTGTCCTCATGGAGCTTCCTTTTGGCCTTTAAGAGAGATCAGTTCTTCGGATAGATCCTTTTCATCTAGAAAATTCTGTGATTTTGTTTTAAAAATACAAAAATGAGTGGAACAGAGAAGGAAACTTCTCTCATCATTTCTAGTAGAAAAGACTCAAGAGTAGTGAGTACACTTTAGGGTAGCAGACTAGGCTGTGAGTCTGCACTCTGTTTCCAGTGCTTCGTGAGGAGAAACACCCTAGTGTGAAGAAGCAGGTGGTAGCGGTATGGGGGGACAAACTAGCTGCTCCTGGGGAAGCCCAGCAACCATCCTGGAGTAAAGAAGACTTCCTGGGATTGTCCTCTTTCCTGTTCTGGAGCCGTAGGCTCTAGAATTTGGGAGGAATGTCCATCTCCCTGGGCTGATGTGTGGGGAAGTCAGTGGGGAGTTCCTTAGCCCTCAGTAGGGAGGAGAAATGTTTCCTTGGCAGCATTAGTTGAAAATCTGAACAAAGCTTCTATGCATCCAACAAATTATAGATTGACATTGACTTTTTTTCCCTTTCTTTTTGAAGGAAATATAATAAAGTTTACTGGATCACTTATTTTAGGGTAAGTGTCACCTGTGGAATAGTAATTGACTTCATTATACTCTGTTTGAGAGCTCAGCGGAAGTAACTTACAGGTAGCATGGGGTGGTGAAAGGGTATAGATTTTAGAATCTGTGAACACGTGGGTTCATCACTGGTTCTGTCACTTAAATGTTGTCTTGACCCAGTCACTTTAAGCCCTGAGGAGTGTTTTCTCTTGAATGTAGTAGATGTGGGAATTCTGCCCCCTGGCACTGTTGCTCTGAGGAAAGCACTTGGCAAGTACAGAGCAGGCACTCACTGATTAGCTTTCACATACCTAAAATCACATCTTGTGTTAGGTTATGAAGAAGTTCAAGAAAGGTGAAATCAACTATAGTCAAAATTATTTTTGAAAGTCCTTTGAGTCACCATAAAGCTGTTATGAAAGGAATTGAGGTTGACTGAGAAAACCACCAGATTGACCCTCCCAATTTCATGCTATTTCTGAGGCACATGTTTAATGAATGGAGTGATTTTCTTCCAAAGGTTGTTATTTTTCATTCTCATTTCTTCTTTTTGGAGAGGAGGGATGGATATATATTAAGTGTATGTCCAATGCTGCTCTAATGTTTCTGTTAATAATATTCTTTTTCATTAGTGTAAATATGAAATCAAATCTTAGATGCTAAAATGATAAAGTAGATATATTTGCCATTTTACCCAAATACATACGTTTCTCCATGACATTGTAAGGTAAGACAGAACATATTTAGAGGATTTTTTTTCCTTGGACTCATTCCAGGCAAAAGATAAATGTAGCCCAGGTTGGATGCATGAGACAAGTGCTTAGGGCTGGTGCACTGGGTAGACCCAGAGGTTCGGGATGGAGAGGGAGGCGGGAGGGGGGATCGGGTTGGGGAACACATGTAAATCCATGACTGATTCATGTCAATGTATGGCAAAATCCACACAATATTGTAAAGTAATTAGCCTCCAACTAATAAAAAAAAAAAAAAGATAAATGTATATTCTTTTCTATCATGCAGTTTTTTGTTTATATCACAGTAAAATTCAGGAATATTGTGAAAACTCACAATTTCTAGTAAAGAATTTTGTCTTTCATAAAACATGTGATAAAAATACTGAATAGATTTGTTCGTTTTGGCTGCTCTGGTCTATTCCCCCAGAGAGTTGATGACCCTAAAGAGCTTTCTCTCCATTCTTTGGGTGCTGGCAGTGTCTGGCCTTTCTCTCTTCCTTCCTTTTGCTGTAGGGTGGGAAGCTCGGGAAAAGGCTTCATATAACTGCTGTTTCTAAGCTCTGAGTTCACAGAGTGCAGCCTTTGTGTCTGGTTAAAAGGAGTGTGTAGGTCAGTCTGACTAGGGGGAAAAATCCTTCGCTTTAGGATATACAGCATTGTATTTCACTTAAAAAAAAAATTCTAGTTTGCTTCCCCCCCACCTCCACTGTGCAACTTGTGGCATCTTAGTTTCCCAACCAAGGATTGAACCTGGGCCCTTGGCAGTGAAAGGGCACAGTCCTAACCACTGGGTCATCAGAGAAGTCCTTGTATTTCACTTCTAATATTTGATTTTAGGTTTAACACTTAGAAGAAATTTTCATATGCTGGTGTTAGGAGTACAGATTGACTAATCTTTAAAAAAAACACTGGCATTATCTAGTAAAGTCAAACAATATATTTATACTTTCAGAAAGTCTGTAATTTTACTTCTAAGTATGTATCTTAGAGGAACATATGTATGTACAGAACATGAGTATGTATCTTAGAGGAACATATACACATGCATACAGTGCAGATATATATGATGTATAACAGATTAATTGACTCAAAACAGAAATTCCCTAAATGCCCATCTGTGGTAGAAAGGATAAGTAAGTCATTATATAGCCACACAGTGGATGAATCACATGCCATGTGAAAATATAAATGCTTGAACTCCAGATACATGTAACAACATGGGTGAATCTCACAAGAAGAAGGCTGAACTAAAGGATACATACAGTGAGATCCCATTCCTTTGAAATTCACAGACAGAATTAAGCCTTGTTGTTTAAAGGTTCATGTTTAGGTGATGAACTATAAAGAATAGCAAGGATATTATTATAATCAGAGAATAATAATTGGCTATAGAGATGAGAGACAGTGTCAGGATCAGGGAGGGACACACTGTGGGCTTCTGGGTACTGTTAATGTTTTTTGCCTGGGAATGTAATGCAGATATTTGTTGTTATTTGTTAAGCTGAAATGTGTATATACATTTGTATATGTATGTATAATGTATGTTATATACACATTACCATATTCATACTATGTTTCCCAATAAAAAAGAGAAAAATTTCTACAGAAAGCTTATTACAAAAGAGTGGCTCCTGTGTTATATTTAGATTATATGTTTATGATGAATTTTTTGTTTCTTTTTAAGAGGCTCTTTATTTATTACATATGAAGTTCTGGCCTTGAAGAAGTCTTTGACATTAGATACTCAAGTGGTAGAAAGAGAAAAAATGAAGTCATATATATATGTGCACACAGTTTCTTTAGATAAAACAGAAAATCATGGTAAGTTCATGGTAAAGTAATCCTATCTTTGTGAACAATGGAAGCTAGTTACTGAATTTAAAAAATGAGTAGGAATGTAAATTGGTACAAATGCTATGGAAAACAGTATTCAGATTCCTTAAAAAATTAAAAATAGAACTCTATTAGAACCAACAATTCCATCCCTGGGTATTTATTCAAAGAAAATTCTAAAAGATTATCCACCCCTCTATTCAGTGCAGCATTATTTACAATAGTAAAGATATGAAAGAACCTAAGTGCCCATCAGTAGATAAATGGATAAAGAAGATGTGTGTGTGTGTGTGTGTACACAATGGAATATTACTCAGCCATAAAAAGGAACAAAACTTTGCCATTTGTAACAGACCCAGAGGGTATAATGCTGAGTGAAATAAGTCAGACAGAGAAAGACAGAATACTGTGTGATTTCATGTATATGTAGAATCAAAAAATAGAACATGAGTAAACAAAACACCTAATCATTTATACAGAGCACCTACAGTTGGTTGCCAGAGGGGTGGGGGTTGGAGCAAGAGAGAAATAGGTGAGGGAGATTGAGAGGTACAATCTTTTGGTTATAAATAGATGAGTTACAGATATAAAGTGTTCAGTGTAGGGAATGTGGTCAATAATTATGCACTACTCTTATATGGTGAGAGATAACTAGATTTAGCATGCTGATCATTTTGAAATACATAGAAGTATGACATTACTTCATGTGACTGGCAGAAATTAGAACTAAAATGCTTCACAGTAAAGGAAAATTTTCTTAACTGTCTCCCAGCCATACTAACAGTATCAAACTAAAATGAAATAACTTTGTGAAGGAAAAGCTTCTCCCCAACCACCCAGTTGTAAAAGTGATCAGGAGGATTAGATACAGAACAGAGAAAAGTAGAAAAATAAAGGATATAAAAAATCCATAGTTCCTGCCCCAGTGATTGTTATATTGTGATATCAACAGTCCTGGTGGCTCAGTGGTAAAGAATCTGCCTGTCAATGCGGGAGACACAGGTTTGATCCCTGGGTTGGAAAGATCCCCTGGAGAAGGGAATGGCAGCCCACTCCAGTATTCTTGCCTGGAGAACTCCATGGACAGAGGAGCCTGACAGACTACAGACCATGGAGTTGCAGAGTCAGACAGGACTTAGCAACTAAACAACAAAAACAACAATACCAGTAACTAACACAATGTTGTAAGTCAATTATACATCACGAACAAACAAACTCATAGAGAAGAGATCAGATTTGTGCTTACCATTGGCAGGGCCCATGTGGGGGCAGGGGGAATTGGATGAAGGTGGTCACAATGTACAAACTTCCAGTTATAAGATAAATAAGTACTTGGGGTGTAACGTACATTAATAAATATAAATATAATTAACACTGCTGTATGTTATATATGAAAGTGGTTATGAGAGTGAATCCTTAGAGTTTTCATTACAAGCAAAAATTTTTTTCCTATTTCTTTAATTTTGTACCCATGAGATGATAGATGTTCACTAAATGTTATGGTACTCGTTTCATGATGTATGTAAATCAAATCATTATGCTGTTTACTTTAAACTTACACAGACCTGTATATCAATTGTAGTTCAGTAAAACTTGAAGGAAAAACTATAAAAAAGTTTTAAAATGAATGCAATATTAATAAAACAGGCTCAGCTAACTGTAAGAACAACCAGACCTGTGAGAGCCAAGTTCCTAAGGAATTAATTGAAGATCAAATTTTGGATCTTCACACATTTAACCCCAAATTTCACATATTTAACCCAAATTCGCAGCTCTCCTGTAACTAAGTCAGTTGAAGACTAGCCAACTGTTTTAGTCTAAGCTTGGAGTTGCCTGGTGGTTCAGCTGGTAAAGAATCTACCTGCAACACGGGAGACCTGGATTCAGTCCCTGGGTTGGGAAGATTTCCCTGGAGAAGGGAAAGGCTACCCACTCCAATATTCTGGCCTGGAGAATTGCATGGACTGTAGAGTCCATGGGGTCACAAAGAGTTAGACATGACTGAGCGAGTTTCACTTTCACTTGGAGTTCTTTGCTTCACGAGGACTGTCAGTTCAGAGCCTGGTCCTCAGTTTAGCAAGCATAAAGACATGATTTTTGTCACTTAGCTCAGAGGTATTTTTGCTCTAAGGCATTTATTATTCACCCTAATCTCATGGGATGGATTCATAAATATGAATACCAAATACCTCTTATTTACAGAGGGGGAAAAAATGTGTCATTAAGTTTGGAAAACCTGGCTCTACTAGTCGAAACACCCCTCCTCTGTATTTAGATCAGATGAACACCCAATTAGTAATCAGATGGTTGCTTGGCGAACAGGAAATTTTAGAGCCGAGTATCTTTTCATCAGGATGTGGGTAGCCTGGGAAGTCATCAGACTAGATTTACAGCTGCCTGTTGTCCATTGTCAGCCAGAAGAACCATGCCTGTGAGCACTTTACGTACCTCGAGTCAGGCAGGTTCTGCTGCTCCCCTATCTGCAGCTGTATCTATCACCACCCTCTCCAGTCTGTATGTATTGTTATTGTACTTTCCTTCTTTCAACATGCTTTCATGGTGTGTTACATCAATTACACAGTTAATTTTTATAGCATATAATTTACTTATATAGTAAAGCTGAATCTTATTAGTCAGGTATCTCTAATTTTCACTCTGAGAGGGATATTTTCAAGTGACATTTTCTCAAATATGGTTACTCCTGTATTGTATATGAGGATTTCTGTTAGCTTGAGTTAGTGTGTTTGCTTTTCTTTTGTTTTCACCTTTTCACTGACTAGGAAAGCAGTTTGGGGGGTGTGGGGTGGGATTTGGAGCCTGTGTTCCCATAATGGTTTTAGTTGCTTTAATAGTGACAGTAAAAAGAGAAAGATGTTATTTTACATTTTCTTTTTAAAAAATTGGAACTTAATTTATACATTTTTCTTCGAAGTATTGGAGCCTAGCATTAAGAGTACCTATTTGGTTTTATTTACATCTGTAATCATTCTAGGAATCACCTACCAGGCAAGGAAAGAGCTTCACAAAGCAGTGAGGAAAGTATTGGCAACGTCAGCCAGGATATTACAGGGTCCATTTGCTGGTACGTTTCACATATTTAATTGAGAATCCTTATCAGTAATCTTAAAGTCATTCAGTGATCACCTGAGATTTTTTTTTTTTCCATTTCTTGTGCTAAGATTTATCATAGCTATGGAAAATTGAATAACCTTGTTCTCTTGGGCTATACTTAATTTTAAGGACTTGATGCCTTGGAAAGATTTTTCCTATCTTTATGGGTGCATTATTTTTAGATAGTTGTAAATAAATATTGAGACTCTCTTGATGAATATTTCAAAATTATTTGTTAGAAAATCATTCCCGTGCTTTCTCATAATGCATCAAAAATATAGATTTCACAATTGGGCAAATCTACATTGTGGAGCTAGCTATAAAAGGGCTGACCTGATCTCTTTAAAAAGTTGGCATCTTGAAAAAGAAAAGCTGGGAAAACTTTCTAGAATTAAGATACTAAAGAGACCAAACCAAATCCTGTTTGTTTGTTTTTTTAAACAGCTCTAAAGATATTTTGAGAAAAGTTGGAGGAATTTGAGTATGGAGTTAGACTGATTTTTAGATGATCTGGAAGATTTTTATTAGTATTCTTAGATGTTATAATGGCATTGTGATTATATAGGAGAATGTAGGCTTATTCTTAGGAGATGCATTTAGAATTATGAAACAGTAAAATATCATTACTTCTGCAACTTTCTTTCATACAGTTTAGAAAAGAAGTACAAAAAAAAAAGTACGTACACATCCAGGGGAATTCTCTGGCGGTCCAGTGTTTAGAACTATGCGCTTTCTCTGTCAAGGGCCTGGGTTTATTAATCCCTGGTCAGGGAACTAAGATCCCACAAGCTGCTCAGCACAGCCAAAAAAGTAAAATAAAATACACACACCATGCAGATTAAACAGCTATGGCAAAATAAGAACATTTGTTAAATCTAGCTGTGGTAAACATGTGGCTGTTAATGCATTATGATTTTAATCTATCTCATATACTTGATATTTCTCATAATAAAAAATTTCTTTAGGGAAAAGGAGCCAAAAAGAAACAAAGATCTCATTGTGAAAGCCAACATAATATATAAAACAAAAGCACATATATATTATACGTAACATCATAATATGACAGAACTGAGAACAAGCCTATCAGTCATTATCAACACCTGGAGATGGATTTAACTTCCGTATTGTAGATTTCAGATACTTAACAAATTACTGTCTTACATGTGAGGATGAAAATGTTTTAACAGTTCACATTGTCTTTTTCTGTTATTGTGAAGACACTTTTAGTACAGTCGATATAGAAGATCACGACTGCGCTGTGTGGCTGCTGCTGAGGAAGAGCCGGTCGGATGACAGGGCAGCCCGACTGCAGGCCGTCCAGGAGATGTCGGAGGCCCATCACTGGCACGGTAAGGAGATGTCTGCGCGCGCCGCACACGTCGGCCAGCTTCTGATCTCTGATGTGAAGTGAAGGGCCAGAGACATCAAAGAAGGAGAATAATTCAGGAAATATTAACATGTGTAAACAATATTTTCAAAAACTTTAAAAGAAACTCTAGTTATAAAGTACAAAACCTGCTGGCCTGGTAGCCATAGGGTGTTTGGTAAGAACCCCTGAAAACGGAGGTAGATATATTTGTATAAACTTTCTACCAGAATGAACTTTTTATACTTGACGGGAGAAACTCTTGATTCTGATAGGTACAACTTAATGTGTTGGCCTGTTTTTTCGTTCCTACTTAATGAAATATATTTTAGTTGCTGGCTGCACCAAAGTTACATGTGCTTTCAGTTTGACAGTCTCTGTGGCTTTAATATAATAATTAGTCAAATGTACCTAATGGCTTGTGTATATTTGGGTTTTTTTTTTTTTTTTTGTATATTTGTTTTTTAAGGAAGGTTTCTAATATTTAGTTGTATTTAAAATTGCAAGTTCTGCAGTAAAATTACATGAGCAGGAGCTCAGATCTGCTCTGAATATAGTACAGGGACTAAAGTACACTTAGTAGAGTCCTCTTATAAAAAGAGGAGCCTTCGCTGGTGGCCCAGACAGTACAGAATCTGCCTGCAATGCAGGAAACCTGGGTTTGATCCCTGGTTCGGGAAGACCCCCTGGAGGAGGAAATGGCAACCCACTCCAGTATTCTTGTCTGGAGTATTCCGTGGACAGAGAAGCCTGGCAGACTACAGTCCATGAGGTTACAAAGAGTTGAATACAACTGAGTGACTAACACTTTCACTTTCACAAACATGTAAAAAAGAATAATGTTCTCAAAGAAAAGTTTAGTTTTAGGATAAGATCTCTGTCTCCATACAAGTTAGTCAGTCAGTTTGACTGATTGGTGACTATAGTAATTTATAATGTAAAAATAAGCTTACTTAATCTGAGTGGTCATCTGAATTAAATTCACCCATTCCAGTCCATTTTAGTTCACTGGTTCCTAAAATGTCAATGTTCACTCTTGCCATCTCCTGTTTGACCACTTCTAATTTACCTTGATTCATGGACCTAACATTCCAGGTTCCTGTGCAATATTGCTCTTTACATCATTGGACTTCACTTCCATCACCAGTCACATTCACAACTGGGTGTTGTTTTCGCTTTGGCTCTGTCTCTTCATTCTTTCTGGAGTTATTTCTCCACTCTTCTCCAGTAGCATACTGGATACCTACCGACCGACCTGTGGAGTTCATCTTTCAGTGTCATATCTTTTCGCCTTTTCATACTGTTCATGGTGTTTCTCAAGGCAAGAATACTGAAGTGGTTTGCCATTCCCTTCTCCAGTGGACCACGTTTTGTCACTCTCCACCATGACCTGTCCATCTCGGGTGGCCGTGGTTTCATGGCTCATAGTTTCATTGAGTTAGACAAGGCTGTGGGCCATGTGATCAGTTTGATTAATTTTCTCTGATTGTGGTTTTCATTCTGTCTGCCCTTTGACAGATAAGAGGCTTATGGAAGCTTCCTGATGGGAGAGACTGACTGAGGGGGAAACTGGGTCTTATCCTGATGGGCCAGGCCATGCTCAGTAAATCTTTAATCCAATTTTCTGTTGATTGATGGGCTGGGCTGTGTTCCGTCCCTGTAGTTTGACCTGAGACCAAACTATGATAATTAAAAGACACTTGCTCCTTGGAAGAAAAGCTATGACCAGGCTAGACAGTATATTAAAAAGCAGAGACATTACTTTGCCAACAAAGGTCCATCTAGTCAAAGCTGTGGTTTTTCCAGTAGTCATGTATGGATGTGAGAGTTGGACTATAAAGAAAGCTGAGTGCTGAAGAATTGATGCTTTTGAAATGTGTTGGGGAAGACTCGATTGAGAGTCCCTTGGACTGCAAGGAGATCCAACCAGTCCATCCTAGAGGAGATCAGTCCTGAATGTTCATTAGAAGGACTGATGTTGAAGCTCCAGTACTTTGGCCACCTGATGCGAAGAGCGAACTCATTTGAAAAGACCCTAATGCTGGGAAAGAATGAAGGCAGGAGGAGAAGGGGGCGACAGAGGATGAGATGGTTGGATGGCATCACCGACTTGATGGACATGAGTTTGAGCAAGCTCCAGGAGTTCGTGATAGACAGGGAAGCCTGGCGTGCTGCAGCCCATGGGGTCGCAAAGAGTCAGACATGACTGAGTGACTGAACTGAACTAGTTCAGTGGAGAATGTGAGTGAAGGTTTAGAATAAAAATCTGTTTCAAAATCTGCCTTCCAGGACTCTATTCAGATTTCTGCTCTATCAGAAACATCAAAGTTGGAGCCCTGGCATGTAGATTTTGAAAAAGTTCCACACTTGATTCTGACACCCAGGTTACATAGGGCTATTATTAAAAATAATGTCTCCTCCAGTGGTTGCAGGTTGTTTTTTGTTTGTTTGGTTGGTTTTTTTGATACATGTCTTAATCCATTTGGGATGCTGTAGCAAAATGCCATAGACCAGGTAGCTTAATTTGGGCTTCCCTGGTGGCTCAGATGGTAAAGAATATGCCTGCAATATGGGAGACCTGGGTTCCTGGTCTGGGCTGGGAAGATCCCCTGGAGAAGGGAATGGCTACCCACTCCAGTATTCTGGCCCGGAGAATTCCATGGACTATATAGTCCATGGGGTTGCAAAGAATCAGATACGACTGAGCGACTTTCACTTTTCAGGTAGCTTATAAACAACAGATATTTATTTCTCACGGTTTTCTGGAGGCCGAGAAATATAGGATCAGGGCAGCAGACGTGGCACCCTGGTGTCCAGTAAGGACAGAGGGAGCTCTCTGGGGTCCCTTTAACAGGAGCACTAATCCCAGTCGTGAACGCTCCAAATCACCTCGCAAAGGCCCTACCTCCAAATCCCATGACATTAAGGATTAGATTCCAACACATGAATTTAGGAGGGACACAAACATTCACTCTATAGCAATACATAAGGAATAGAACAGTGAAATCATCAAGGCTAAACCAAAGTACTGCTATCTGGGACCTCTGATTATTCATCGGCATCATGGAATGCCAAAGCACCGTGGCAGTACCAGGGGATGATGGATCTAAATGGAACCTCAGGTTTTTGTTGATGTTGTTGAGTTGCTAAGTCACGTGTGACTCTTTGCTACGCTGGACTATAGCATGCCAGGCTCCTCTGTCCTTCACTGTCTCTTGCAGTTTGCTCAAACTCGTGTTCATTAAATCAGTGATGCTATCTAACCATCTCATCCTCTGCCACCCGCTTCTTTTGCCTTTAGTCTTTCCTAGCATCAGGGTCTTTTCCAGTGAGTTGGCTCTTTGCATCAGGTGGCCAAAGTATTAGAGCTTCAACATCAGTCCTTCTAATGAATATTTAGGATTGAGTTCCTTTAGGATTGACTGGTTTGATCTCCTTGCAGGGTTTTGAGTAGTGATCAAAATAGCTTTTGAATGCTGGAATTTCTTTTTTAAAGGAGAAGAAATTAAATTGGTTATGATCTATCAGGTTTCACTTTTGAGGTTTATTTTTTCAAAAAGGTTAGTTAGACTGTGATATGTCTAGATATGTGTTGAGAATTAGATCAGTCATGGAAATGTTGGATATTTAGTTTACTGCATTTATTGTAAATGCAGCAAAATTTTGAATTACAAACTTACAGTTTAAAAATTATGTTCTTCATTTAATCTTTGAAACAACGATAGACTAAGTTGGGTGCTAACAGCATACTTCTGCAATAGATTACCAGTACAGGATAATTGCTCAAGCCTGTGATATGAGAACTCTTACTGGTTTGGCACGAAGCAAAGAGAGTGATCTTCGGTTTTTTCTCCGCCCTCCTCCTCTGCCATCTTTAAAAGAAGTAAGTAAAAATAATCTACTGAGTGAAAAAAAGTTTAATATATCATCTTCACTTTGGGTGCAAAATAACCATTCAAAAAACAAGTTTTTGGCTGCTTCTCACAAGCAGGTTAGTTAGGGTGTAAACCTGAAATTGTAGGTTCCATTCCAAGGTTTCTTGATTCCTCAGGAGGTACTATTTGTCCTAAATTATTTTCCTCTTTGTGGAGTTGGGAGTCTCTTTATACCAGAGGGTGGCTTCTTAGCATATCAGCATCTATCAGTTGGTCCTTTGTACTAAGATTGCTATAGATCAGTTTTTCTCAATCTCAACACTACTGACATTTTGGGTCAAATAATTCTTTGTTGTTGGAAGCTGTTCTGTACATGGTGGCAGCTACTCCCTGGATGACAGTAGCACCCCCCAGCTGTAACAACCAAAAATGTCTCCAGATATTTCTAAATATTTCCTAGGGTGCAAAACAGCCCCTGGAGAACCACTGCATTTAGATACTAATGTATTACCATGTTGTCGCTCAGTTGCCAAGTCATGTCCAACTCTCTGAGACCCCATGGACTGCAGCACACCAGGCCTCCCTGTATTACTATACATGGATATTAATTGTTAACCACTAATAAAGATATTAGAGCATGTTTCTTAAGTGCTTTTCCTAGGCTTTCCTAGAAAATGAAATCTGAAAACTTTGCCATGAGTTTTTGAAAAACAGAAAAAAACTATACTAGATGTAAGTTATTAGTGAAAATCAGAACAATAGGAACAAGTTGTGGATATTAAAAAACCAGCTTTAATTAGAGAGAATGTAATAATTCATTTGAGTCAAGATGTGAAGTGACCCATGAGATGAAATCTTGAGCGATACATTGCAATAGGTCTTTCCGGCTGAGGTAGCAGACTTGAAAGTGTGGAATTCAGAATTAAACGATTCTCTTTACCAGGGTGGGTGATCGGGTTCAAGACTAAAAGCACTGATTTACCTCTCCCGTTTTGTTTTGGCTTAGTTTCTTTGGGTTCTTTTCATTATACTCAATTGTTGAGTTTAACTATGAAGAATTTTTTCCCTTTATTTCAGGATTCTTCCACTGAAGAAGAGCTCAGACACTTGCTGGCTTCTTTACCTCAAACAGACCTGGACGAGTGTGTCCAGTGTTTTACAGCTTTGGCTCTGAGTGAGAGCAGTCAGAGTCTCGCTGCTCGGAAGGTTAGCTCATTTATTCAGTCAGTAAATATCTCTGAGTGCCCACGCTTCTAGAATGTTGTGCTGGGGCTAGCACATAGGGCTTTAGGGCAGTCATTCATCTAGGAACTGAATTAAACTTACTACTGACCCCTGGCTGTCTGCCACTTACTGGGCTAGGTGTTCGGGCTAATGGGGAGACAGGTAATAAAGTGACAGAGAGTGTAAGAGGGTCTGCCACTTACTGGGCTAGGTGTTCGGGCTAATGGGGAGGCAGGTAATAAAGTGACAGAGTGTAAGAGGGAGAGAGAGCATGCAAGCGGGTGTGTCAGAGAGATCCAGGAGCCCGTCGCTCTTTGTAAGAGGCCATGTTCAGAAAGCTCTATGGGACATCCTCTGAAGTTGAATCTCGAAGAGTGAGTAGGCAGTGACTGACAAGGCTATTAAATCTCACCTCTATGGTGGTGCCTGAATTCAGCTTCTCTGACCTGTGTTCTCACCGAAGCTCCAGGTTTAGACATCGCAGCCTCCTTCTTGATGTCTAACAGGCATCCCAACTATACGAGCTGAACTCTCCCTCCCTCCACAAAGCTCTTCCCCCCCTCGTCTGTTTCGTTTCAGTGGAGGGCAGGGCATCCATGTAGTTGCTTAAGCTAAAGCCTCGGACTTCTTGGCTCTTCTTCCCTGTTCATCTGATCACCGGTTACTGTCAGCTGTTCCTTCACGTATGACGTGAATTCACTTGTCTCACCGTCTTCACTGTAGCCACTTGCTCCTGGCCACCAGCATCTCTTTCTCATAGTGTCCTGTTCCTTCATCCTGGCTTCTGTTCTTCCCTTCATTTAAAAATAACTTTAATGTCTCTTTCAAAGTCTTTTTATTACTTCAGTTTATTGGGGTGTTTATTCCTATTTGTGGAGCCTCCTCCTTATGTTATATTGTGGATTAACACGCATTAATCGTTTTTACTATGAGCTTATCTTTAGCTAGACTGATTGTTTTCTGTGGGAGTCCCAAGCACCTCAGATTCTAAATTTATTGCTACGGAGAAGTTTTTATGTTTGCTTCTTTTGGATACCCCAAGGGTTCACTATAATGGGACTAATTTTTTTAAAATATTAATTCCTTAGTTTGGAATTTCTAGAGCACATTTTTAGTGTGAATTCAGATACATCTTTGGATGATATAGTCTTCAGATTGTGATTTCCCACTCAAAGCCCCAGCAGAGACAGGCTTCTTGCTCATGGGCTGGTGAGCAGAGTTTTTCTAGACTCTCTTACAGACAAGGAGGCAATCTTTGCAGGGTTCTCCCTTTAAGTAGAGATCTTGGATCTAGCTCCCAGAGAATGTGAGACCCAAACCACATCTGCGATGATGTGAACCCTGAAGAGTGTTACTATCCCATCCTCAGGGGCCTGTAGGCATTTTACCTCATCACTGGTGTGCTGACCACTTCTGCTAAATGTTTTCAGTTCTAGCACTCAGGGGTTTCGCTTTATTTCTTTTTTATTTTCTTTAGAGCTTGACTTTGTTTCAAAATAGCTTTTGCTATATTTTATTAAGCATGTTTGTCATGGGAGGGGCTCACTATGTCAACTAAAGAAAAACGCGCAACCTAAAGTTGCAGGTTAAGTTTTATTTGTGGACCTTATTGAGGATTGTAGCTAAGGTATCTCCAAGGAACTGCTCCAAAGAGGTCAGGGAGCAGCCAGGATATATGAGTTTTTTGTTGGGAAAAATACCCTGTGGTTGAACATCAAAGATTATTGCTAATCACACACACACAAAAACACATCTTGAGTTAATGATTTTAGTGCTTTTCTGTGTATGGGAAGATGCAAGAATCTGGGCTCATTGAAATTATTCATTAGATATGCATCTTCATCACCTCGGGCCAGTATCCAGAGAGCAGAATTTTCTCTGCATTGAATTTCTCCTCCATCCTGAGTTCCCCTCAGGGCACACAGTGGGTAGAGTGTGCTGCAGTGGCTGATGGCTTGATGGTGGGTACCATTTTTTGTTTAGTGTAATGGCAGGTTACATTCTTTTTCCACACCTGGGAGCCAAGTTCACCATCTTGCTGTCTCTGGAAAGCTTCCTTATCATGTCTCCATCACCTCTATGAGCTGTAGACACTGCTTTAACCTCCAGCTTCTGTCTCCAGTTCTATGTCCTCAGCAGCTGCAGTGATTTAAAACAACAACAACGACAACAACACCACAAGTTCAATCAGGTCGCACTCCTGCTTGGAGCCCCCCCAAATGGCTCCCTGTTGCACATTAAACCTGAGCCCTTCACTGTGATCCAGGCACGGACTGGCCTGGATGTGTGTACTGGTACCTGTGTACCGGTGTGCCTGCCTCTAGGAGTGGTGAGGAGATTGACAGGAAGGCGCCACTGGGCACAGATGTAGTGTAAAGTTTGGTGGTGAAGAGTCTGAAAACTGAAGGAGACCACGCTTAGGTGAGGAGGGCGGTGTTTGCACCATGGTCAGAGCTCTCAGAGTGCTCCCCAGGGAAGCTCCACTTCTTGGGAGTAAGGCTACCTTCAGTCGAGACAAGCCATCCCTTCCAATGGAAGTGTCTCTGTTATCTCCCTGCAACCCTTACTCCTGCTGTTCTCGCCACGGCCTGTTGACCAGATTTAAACGCCTGGCATAAAACCACCCAATACATCGCAGAGGGCTTCCCAGTGCATCACAGCAGCCTCCCGCCCCGCCCTGCCCAGGGCGGCCACTGGCTTCCACTGTTCCTCCGCTGTCATCTCAGCAAGACTTCTGTCTTCATAAAGTAACTCTTTGCAACAGAAGAGACCCGCAGACCTAGAGAACGAACTTAACGGTTGTCATGGGGAAGGGACAGTTAGGGAGTCTGAGATGGTGGTGTACCCACTGCTGTATTTAAAATGGTCACCAGCAAGACCTACTGTACCGCACAGGGAGCTCGGCTGTGTTATGTGGCAGTGTGGATGGGAAGTTGGGGGAGAATGGATACAGGTATGTGTATGGCCAAGTCCCTTCACTGTTCACCTGAAACCCTCCCAATATTGTTTGTTGATCAGTTACACCCCAATGCAAAATAAAAAGTTAAAAAGAATAGCTTTTACATCTCTAAGAGAAATCCAAACAAAGTATAGTCACTATTACTATCATAACTACATAATTGACTCAGTGAGGAGAAAACATTTTATCAGTGAGACAAATGCATTTGGTTTGCATTTGTTTTGCAATAAAAATGCAATTAAAAAAGCATTATCAGTAAAACAAATCATAGTATTCTGTATTGTTTTACCAACTGAACTGCCAGCTAAAAATCTGCACTTGCCATCTGCCTCCACAAGGATTAAGTCACTGACCACTGTAGCTATTGTCAACACGCCCCAAAGGGAGTTCAGGGTGGAGATCGGGAATGAGGCCCTCTGTGCTCTGGGAAAAGCCAGCAGAACAGGCCTTCAGATAGGTATCTTTAGGAAAAGATTTTATGAGCCCAAGTTCTTGCGTCTCCTCTGATCTAGAAAAGCACTGAAGTCATTAATGGTGTTATGCACTCCTCACTGTGGCCTCTGCCATAGTGTGTGCCTGACTGTGCACCCCCCGTCATTAAAACCGTATAAAATACTGGCCTCCCCTCTGCCTCTTTGGAGCAGTTCCTCAGAACTGTCTGAGACGCTGTCTCTCCCGGCTACAGTCCTCATTTTTCCCCAAATAAAACTTCACTCACAACTCTCACATTATTCATTTTTTTTCAGACAGTGGAATGTCTTTCCCTCATTTCTGTTTTTATGAGAAATTAGGGACATACCAGCAGCTATGACTTCTCTGGTCTACGTTTCACAATTTCTCCTTTGGGCTGTGTCTTGGAATCGCTCCAGTGAAGTGTAATCATTGTCTTCCTTTCGATGCTCAGAGCGTCACTGCCTGGCCACGGGAGCCTGTTCCTCATCGACCTTTTTAATTCCATCCCCAAGGTGGCTGTGCGAGCAGCTTTGTTTTCTGATGGTGAGAGGTCTCTGGTTCTTCTCGATTATTCCTGCCCCCCGCAGGGCATCCCACGGCCTCCATCTCCCGGGACTTCTCCCTCAACCTCTGTCCTCACTCCCCTGCCAGACTCCTGCTGCCTGGCCTGGAGTTGCTCAGTTTTCAGCACCAAAGATTCTCTTCTGCTCATGACTATTCAGTTAACATCCCTCTGCCTTCTCGAGTGTTCTGTCACTCTACAGTGTTTGCTCACTTCGCTAAGTGAAGAGAGTGCGCAGTGTAACACATTGTACCACTTCTTCGCTACCTGGACGTCGTGGCCTCAGCCAGCAGTTTAAAGGAGTAGCCTATTTTTAGTTAGTTTCATACTGAAATCAGTAATTTTAGTTCTGAGATCCCATCTCATCAGACCAGTAAGCAACTCCATTTCAGTTACTCCTACTCCCCTGTTTAGTCAGGCTCTGGTTTTTTTTAAAAGGTGGGGGAAGTTGGGGGAAGGAGTGAGAGGCGTGCCCGTCTGGTTTTTAGTGATCTGACCAGTTAATGACAGACGTGTCCCGTGACAGTCCCCAAGTCCCCATCAGGTGGGGCGGTGCAGCTTCGCTACAACACTGCTCACGTGCATCAGTCCCTCTGGGCTTTAGCAGACAGCCTGCAGTTATGATTCGGTTCAGAGCACGGCTTCTTAACCTCTGCACACTATGGATCCCTCTGGTAATTTGATAAAGTCTATGAACTCATTTCTAGATGCTTAAAATACATAGGATTACATGGGAGACCGATTATATTGAAATACTATTATCAAATTTACAAATTTATAAAATATGTACTTTAATTTCAAACTTAAAGAATTGCAACAATAATATATTTCAGTAGACTTGTCAATTATTCCTATTTTATCCCATTTGTTTTATCATTCCCCATTTACTTTCCATATATATATGTGTGTGTGTATGTATATATTTTCTTTCTTCTGCTTGCGCTGGGTCTTCGTCGCTGCACAGGCTTTCTCTAGTTGTGGTGAGCGGGGGCTCCTCTGTAGTTGCAATGCTCAGGCTTCTCCTTGCAGTGGCTTCTCTTGATACAGGGCGCAGGCTCTTGGCGCACAGGCTTCAGTAGTTGCCACGCGCAAGCTCAGTAGTTGTGGTCCATGGGCCCAGTTGCTCTGAGGCATGTGGATCTTCCTGGGCCAGGGATTGAACCCATGTACCATGCATTGGCCGGTGAATTCTTATCCGCTGTACCACCAGGGAAGCCCTATAGGTATATTTTTTATATGTCTGTTTTACGCACATTTACAGTTTTACACCCTGTGCCTTTCGAGAGTTAGATGCAGGGTCAGTTCTGGGTCACCAGTGTGAGAATGTGCAGTTGGCATTCAAAGGAACCATGAGCATGATGCTGCTTTCAGGTAGCTGCAGCAAGTGACATGTGATGGGGAAAATAGATGCACCTTCTATTATTTGCAGGGCTTCCCTGGTGGCTAGACGGTAAAGCATCTGCCTGCAGTGCGGGAGACCCAGGTTCGATCACTGGGTTGGGAAGATCTGCTGGAGAAGGAAATGGCAACCCACTCCAGTACTCTTGCCTGGAAAATTCCATGGATGGAGGAGCCTGGTAGGCTACAGTCCATGGGGTCACAAAGAGTTGGACATGACTGAGCAACTTCACTTTCTTTTCTTTCTTTTCTGTCTTTGGCAGAGGTGCACAGGCTGCTGCTGTCACTGTGGCTTTTTGTCTTTGTAAGTGAATACAATGAAAGTTTCACTTAAGGATTAGGAAAGTAAAGATACAATTTTTTCCGCATCCAAGCTTACATCCTCTCTCCCCTGAATTCTCTCTACCCCAGATCTTTAAGGATAACCTGGCTTACAAACTCATGCTTTAGAATGAATGTCATTTACGCCTAGTGAGCTTGAACAAGTTGCAGAGCTCGAAAGTTGTAATTTTTTATGAAGAAACACTAGAGATGAGCTCTCACATGTATTAAAATGAAAGGACACACAACTAGACGCAACATCAAAATGCCCCACATCCCTGCTCCACCCACCTTGGCAATGATTTGCCTTCCCTGCTTTTATTCTCTCAGTTCACTGGGAGAACTGGGTCGGTGAGCGGGAAAGCGCTTCTCAGCTTTACGGTCGCCTACTCCCACAGCTAAAGACTGGGAAATTTGCTGACTGTACTTCTGGAGGGAAGCCAGGCAGGAATGGTCCTTGGTCTTCTACCATTCCATATGTTACCATAAAGATTGCTCCTCCTCTGATGTCAGGATCCAGGTTTCAGTCTTGTTTTGGTTTTTGTTACCATTGGACACTCCAGTCAGTCACCTCATCTCCAGGTTCAGCCTCTGTTGGAGGACCTCAGTTTGCATCCTCAGATGCAAACAGGATGCAGACTTTTGGACGGTGTAGACTGTGATTTCTTTTTGATCCAATGTGGTGAACTCCCTAGGGTCAAGAGAACAGTGGATGTGGTGCATTGAAGTGCTTTTTCCACCGTAAAGCTTTTGTGGTCTTGGTTTAAGGACAATCCAGCAATGTTGGGTGCTGTTTCATATATTTTAGAGGCATTATATTTCTTTTCCTAAGAACTTTCTGCTTCTGACTGTTTCTCATTTTTCCATAGCCTTGTTGGTTTTTTCTCACTGAGTTGTAGGAGATTATCGCATGTTAGCGATCTGCAGTAAGAATTGAAATTTTCTTTTCCAAGTTTATTTTTGTGTTTTAATGTCTACTAGGACTAGTCCCCACTACTCCTCTCTTTCATAATTTTCCTAACTCTTCTGTTAATTCTTCCATATGAATTTGAATTTCAATTTAAGAAGGCTTAAAACTTTTTTCTCTCTCTTTTCCTTTGGCTGTACTGTGTGGCTTGCAGGATCTTAGCTCCCCAACCAGGGCTTAAACCCCGGCCCTGGCAGTGAAAGCACTGAGCCCTAACCACTGGACTGCCAGGGAATTCACCCCCCACCCCTCTTTTTAATTAAAAGCTCTTTGATCAGTTATTATTGTCTGTATTTTAACTTTTTTTAGTAACGCCTTTTCTATTATTCTGATTGATAAATTTTAGGTAGACCATACTGGCATAATCTGACACAAGAACATTATTTGTTCAGCTCTGGCTTTTCTTACTGGGTGAAGATTTATGTGTTAGTCTCTGTACTTTCAGATAAGAGGACACAGAGGAAAGAACTGAGAAGTCTCAAAGACTGCTGTCTTCTAAGAATAATCCCACATGTTTTCTAGTCTAGCAACAGTTTGCATAATGAAAGTTCCCTGTAAGTCTCCAAAATATTTTGAGTCCTACATATTAGTTCTTTCTAATTACTATATATAGTACAGAGGTTGTTGTTTTTGCTTTTTTTGTGAAACAAAAAATATTAGGCCCCTTTTTTCACGAAGAATTTTAATCATCTCATTGTCAGGGTGGTTTATGGTGTTTCGGAGGAAATGGACTTCCTTATGCGGAAAGTTTTGGAGAAGTTCCTTCAGCTACAGTGGAAATGTTCTGTTTGGAAGCTTTAGTAAAGCATTCTGAGGTAATTTACATTTTAAAAATATGGTCACATTTTATGATCACACTGAAAAAATTATACATGTTGATTCATTCAAAGGAAGTAATTCTAATTTCTTATAAAAGAAAAAAGTTTTTTGCTTGTTTTTCTGCTTTTTTCTCAATTGTTAGCATCGATAGTCATGATTTAGCACCAGTACATGAATTTCATCTTTGCTAAGTATTTCTAAAAATGGATTTAATCTTAACTGCACATAAAGCAACTTATTGTTTAAATGTAGCATTTACCTTTGAGTTATGCTGTCTTCCATTACCTTTCTCAGATAGTTTTTACAAGTAATATTATCAATAATATTAAAATTTACAAATATTATTATTTAACTGGAGTTAATTTTCAGTTAAAATATGTGCCAAAGATGTAAGACAGGAAAAAAGTAAATACTTGGCAAAAGTATCTACTTGACCATAACCTTGAATTTTAACCATAGCATGTATATGTCAATGATTTTAAAAACCTTTTTTTGCATTATGACAACGTTTCTATCATGATCATGGTTTGATTTTATAAAGAAAAAAGCAACAAACTGTGGTGCTCAAGCATTAGTGCATAAAACTCATCCAGGAAGCATGTTTAAAATGCACATTCCTCTTCACCTCTGGCAGTTTGAATGGAGTTGATGTGAGGTGGGGTCCAGGAGTTCGCATTTGTAACAGGCACCCCTGGTGAGGCTGATGCAGGCAGGGCATCCCACATCATGGCAATCGGTTCTAAATGCTCCAGCTTAATTGGGAACTGTTAGACATGGTGCAAAAGTGCAGTGCTTTCTGGTCATCTCAGCTCCCACTGGTGGAATCAGGAATTGAGCACCAAACAGAATCAGTGTGGTAACACACTCAAAAGGAAATGTGGGAGAATAAGCTCGACTTTTTTGTGACTTATGACTGGTGTCTGAAACAACAGATGCATCTGCAGTAGTACGTCCAGTACATGGAACGTAACAGTTTCCAGAAACTTCTCAACATATGACATATCTCGTTGATCTATGTCCCAAAGGCATACTTTTAAATGCATTTAAAATGTGGTGAAATTTAATAAGAATTTAGAGAGGGAAAGTCATTGCATCTACAGGACATGGTGTCACATAAGTGATAAAACTCAGTGCTAGGATAAAGAGCAAGACCACCCTGGGGATTGTGGCAGACTGTTATGGGTCAGTTCTGTCATCTTACCTTAATCCATAGATTTCCTTTGGCTTTCTTTGACCTCTTTTCTCCATTAAAAATGTGTATCCCCTTTTCTTTCTAATTTTTACCTGATCTTTCTCTTTTAAAAAAATTGTCCAACTCTTAAGTTTGAGGTGAGAACCCCTCTCCCCCACCAACCCCAGCTGTGGGCTTGTGTGGGGTCACAGATGGTGCTTTTCTGTATCTGGGAGTTCATATAGGCAGAAGCAACATCTGCCACTTACCCAGGGGATTATTTCCTGGTATCAGGTGGCAGGTTTCTCAAGGGGAGAAGACCCTTTAATGTAGTTTGAAACCAATCAAAGTATCCATATATATTGAAACGATTCTGAAATAATGACATCATGGTTCCATCCAGCCAAGAGCTAAACGGAATGACTTTTAAGAATAAAAACATCACAAGTCCCAGTGGCCTTTATTTTTCAGTGCTTTTTAAAGCACTTCCCACAACAGATGGGGATTGGCCGATTTATTGAGCTGGGCTGAGAGTTTGGGGGGTCTCCCTGGGTCTCTTCCTTGAGCAGGAGCCACCTGGCTGCCCACCAGCATGCTCTGTCACCTGGTTAGTGAACTTGTGCAACATAAAGTGAGCTTTCATTAATTTATTGTGCTAGATACCCACACATTGTGATAAAATTGAAGCAAATGGAGGCTTGCAACTACTGCAGAGACTGTACCAACTTCACAAGGACTGTCCTAAAGTACAGAGAGATATAATGCGTATCCTTGGAAATATGGCTTTGAATGAACATCTTCATTCTACTATAGTTCGCTCAGGTAACAACTTTACGTACTGAGTATTTGGAATCCAGCCCTCTGTTCTCCCACCTCTTCCCCTCCGTCGTGGTATGCTAATTTCTCAACAGACATAAGGCTTTGCTTAGGGTTAGTTTCGGGTCCTTAGAGCATGTCATTTCAGTAGGGGCAAAGAATTGCTTGAGACATGTGGATAATCCACACCTAAGCTAATCAGTGAGTAGATAGTCACAGGAGAGCAGTTTCGGCCATGATGACCATCTTTGATATGACCTGGGTAACCAAGAGACACAGGAAGACTAAATAGAGGCGATATCCCCGCCTTGTAACTAATAAACCACCTGTGGGGAGATGCTGTGGATGACATTTCCCGCCTGCTCTAATCTCTGTCATGATGCCTGCACGATGGTGGTTTTCCAGCTGCAGCATCCCTGCCTTGTTCACGGTTCAGCATTTGGCATTCTGCCGTAAGCAAGAGCCCTTCCTTCTCTGCCTCCTGCCTTCCTTCCTTCTCCCTCCCTCCCTCCCTCAGTATGGGTACATGGATTCCTAATTTTGGATGGTTTACAACTTACCACTGTGCTTTGTCATTTGACGCCAGACCGTCCCAGCTTTGGTCAGTGGAGCCCAGCCAGCTGGCTCTTGTGTTCTCTGATGTACCGACTTCATATTGGGAGGCATTCCTTATGTGCTGGTGTAACACCATGTTCCAGGCTCATTTCTTCAGAGAATCCTGTTTTTCTTTAATGGAGGCTGGTTGTTAAGAGACCAGGGTTGGGTGCTAGCTAGATGTGCTTATTGCTCCTGGGGTGTCTTTGCTCTTTCAGTGGAAAAAGCAGGGTGATATATACAAATAAATGTATACATACACATGTGCACATATGCATGCATGTGTTCAACAATGTTTAGTAGAGATGATGAATTTATATTATATTTTTTCTTGTATCTCTCTCCATTTCTTTTAAAATGTATCTTTAAGAGTGTCTTGATAAGCAGAAGTTTTTAACTTACTGAATGAAGTCTGATTCAGGGATCACAGACTTTCCTATAAAGAACCACTCACTGTATTGATTTTATTTGTTCCTCTTTTTTTTTTCTTTTAAGGTGGGAACTTAGATCAGTGATTTTAACCTTTTTTCTTGTTTCAGTTATCTATTGATGTGTATCAAACCACCCCAAACTCACTGGTTAAAACAGCAGTCATATATTTTGTGCGTGAATCTGAAATTCAAGCAAGATTAAGTAGGGAGGGGCTTTATGGGCTCTGTGCTTCATCAGCTGGGCAGCTCAACCATGGGATGGAGGTTATACTTTGAAGATTGCTCACTCACACGACTTGTAAATTGGTACAGGCTCTCAGCTGGGAGCTTAGCCAGGGCTAGGGGCATTAGCTTCCTTCAACACCAACCTTGGGCTTCCTTAAAGCATGGTGGCTGGATTCCAAGAGTAAATTTTCCGAGAAAGAGCCAGGTATAATAAGCTCTTTTGCCTTTTACAAAAAAATCAAGCACTGAAAGTAATTTTTGCCAAATTTATTGATTAAAAGCTAGTCACTAAGGCTAATTCATATTTGAGGGGAGGGGATTTAAAAGAGTCTTAGACCCATCCCCTCTTGATGAGAACAGTGTCAAAAGAATTTAAAACATGTTTTAAAATTGTTACAGTTATTTTCTAATATAGGTATTTAGAGCTGTAAATGTCCTCCAACCTGCTTTAGCTGCATCCCTCAAATTTTGTATGTATTTTCATCATTATTCAGTTTGAAATATTTTCTAATTCCCCTTATGATTTCTTCTTTGTCTCATGGGTTACTTAAAAGTGTGTTGGAATAATTTACAAAGATTAATGGCTTCAAATGGCAACCCACTCCAGTGTTCTTGCCTGGAGAATCCTAGGGACAGGGGAGCCTGGTGGGCTGCCGTCTATGGGGTCGCACAGAGTCGGACACGACTGAACCGACTTAGCAGCAGCAGCAGATACCATACGTCTCTGATTTCTAGTTTAATATTCCAGGCATTCAAAGAACATACCCTGTAAGATTTTAGTCTTTGGTAATTTGACACTTATGTGATGGCCTGTTTTATGGTCTATCTTGGTGAATGATCTATTTGTGCTTGAAAGGAATGAATGTTCTGTACTTGGGTGAAGTGTAACAGTTAAACCAAGTTGGTTGATTATATTATTCAAATCTTCTCCAGATCTTTTGTTTAGTTTTTTATCAATTACCAAGACAAGTTAAATTCTTCAACTGTGATTGTAAATTTGTCTGTTTCTCCCTCTAGTTCTGTCAGATTTTTCTTCCTGGCGAATTGTTCCTTTTTTTATTAAGTAGTTTCTCTATCACTGGTAATACTCCTTTTCTTGGAGTCTACTTTATCAGGTATTAAAATAGCCAACTGGCTTTTTTTAATGCTTGCTGTTTGCATTGCATGTCTTTTGTGTTTTTCTCTTTTGCTTTCATTTTGCTGTGCCTAAAAACAAGTACATCTTTCATAGACATCACATACTTGCATCATCTTTAGAAAGTTCAGCTTGATAATCCCCTTTCGTTGGAGTGTCTACTCTGTTTGCCTCTAATACAATGACTGATACTATTTGGTTTTGTCTTTTGTCTTGCAGTTTGCCCCCTCTGGTTTTTGTTTGCTTTTTTCTCCTTTATTGACTATATTGGGGTTACTTGAGTATTGTTTCATATTCTGTTCTTTCTCCTCTTTCAGCTTTTTTACAGTATTTAATGTGTACTTTTTAACTTACAACAGTCTATTCTGAATTCATATTACACCATTTCATATATAATGCGAGTGTCTCACAACAGTATAATTTACTCTATGCCCTTTGCCATCATTTGTGGTACTGTCATAATTACAGACTATAATACGTTACAGGCCATAGACGTCACAATATGTTGTGGTTATTTTTCTTTTAATAGTCAAGTGATATTTAAAGAATATAAGAAAAAAAATTTTATTTGCATATTATATCCAGCACTCTACCTTCCTTTCTATCTAAATTTGCATCTGATATCATTTCCCTTCAACCTAAAGATCTGAGTCTGGTGGCAATAAATTTGCTCACCTTTCGTTTTCTGAAAATATCTTGACTTTTATTATCCAGGGATAGGTTATTTTCCATGGATAAAAAATACTTTATTGATAATGTGGTGTTTTTTTTTTCCTGTCAGCACTTAAAAAATATCACTCTATTCTCCTTTTTTTTGGAACATCAATCTTTTATTGATAACAAAGCAGCAATTTGGGGGCATGTTTCCAAGACACCAAGAGCAGGCTCCTGTCACCATGCTGGTGTGTGTGTGTGTGTGTGTGGCCTGATGAGAAGTCTCTTAGGTCCGTTTGTTCTCTTATAGGAAATGTGTCTTTTTTTCCTCTGCCTTCTTTTAAGATTTTCAGCAGTTTGACTGTGAAGTATCTAGTCTATTTTTACATTTATTTTACTTGGTGTTCACTGAGCTGACTGTATCTGTGAGTTGATGTTTTGATCAAATTTGGAAACTTTATAGATAAGTGTATCATTAGATTTTTTTTCTGTTCCTTTTTCTCTCTTTTCTCCTGAAACCTCAATTCTGTATATTAGACCTCTTGATTCTGTTCCACAGGTCACTGAGGCTCTGTCCATATCTTTCCAAAATTTTTCTTCTCTGTGCTTTCCCTTTGTTTTTTAATGTACTTTTAGGGAGGTATAGTTGATGTATAATGTTACATAAGTTTCAGGTATACAACATAGTAATTCACAGTTTTTGATTTGTTAATGTGATGTGTCACCCTGATGGATTTGCAGGTGTAGAACCATCTTTGCACCTCTAGGGTAAATCACACTTAGTCATGGTGTATGATTCTTATAATGTACATTGAATTCAGCTTACTGACGCTTCATTGAGAATTTTTGCTTCTATGTTCATCAGTGATAATGGTCTGTGATTTTATTTTTTTGTGATATATTTGTCTGGTTTTGGTATTAGGGCGATGCTGGTATCATAGCATGAGTTCAGAAGCATTCCCTTCTCTGCAATTTTTTGGACTAGATTGAGAAGGATAGGTGTTAACTCTTCTCTAAATGTTTGGTAGAATTCGCCTGTGAAGCCATCTTGTCCTGGACTTTTGTTTGTTGGGAGTTTATTATTATTACTATTATTACTGATTCAATTTCGTTATTGGTATTTGATCTGTGTACATGGCTAAAGTATAAAATCAAGTCACTGGACAGTAGGAACAGTATAATTCCATTTAGCAAAAATAAAAGTATATGGAGCTACAGTATATATGTATAAATTATAGGTATGTAGTTGAATTTTTAAAAAGGTTTGGAAGGGTATCTACCAGACTTTTAACTTGGGTTACTTCTGAGGCTATAAATGGGAAATGGGAAATGATGGGAATGCTAAAGTGGGATGTTCATTTTTAAATGCTGTTTTTGTTTATTTTTACAATTAAAATACATTCAGTAATACAGTAATACAGTAAATACAGTAATACAGTAAATATTTAAGAAAGACACAAGTGTTCCGAGGAGCATTTGGTGGTTCACAAAGGTGAAACGTCTCAGGCGTTGTTAAAATGCTCTGTCAACTGAAAAATGCTGTGGAAATGGCTTGTGCCGTGCTTTCTCTCGTGTTACCTTTCTTGTGACTCCATTAAAAATGAAGCCGTATTTTTGTACATACCAGTAACAAAGTTGTATATCTCTCTAGGTAGAATTTTAAAACATTATTTATTATAACGCATTCTACAACAGATTTTGAAGAGGGGTTTTCTTTAAAATTAGAATATTGTTAGACAATTGTTAGGTCTGAAATTTCTTCTGGATTATTAAACAATGGCCTCCTATCATCACAGTGATTCTCAACACCTTGCCACAGAAAGTGGGAGGAGGACATGAGGACAAGCTGCTGTCTATTGAGCACCTGCTGGGCTTGGTAATGGCAGTTTTTATATAGATTAATTTATTAGAACCTTCCTTTGGGTCAAAGGAGCAAAGTAACTTGACTGAGGCTCCATAGCAAGTAGCACAGAAATTTGATGCCCAAGTCTTCTTTGACCTCAAAGCCCATATTTTGTTTTATTTTAAATTAAATAATACATAAACAGACTCTCCTTGTAAATACTTCGGAGAACACAGATACAGTAAAAAATTAAACCCACCTTTATACAGAGCCCACCCCAATCCCAACTGCCTCCCCTCCTAAAAGGTAGTGACTATTTGTTAGTTTGGTCTTCTTTCTAGATCTTTCTGTGTGTGATGTGTGCATGCATGCATAAACTTTCACACATATTTATGTACATAAAGCAGTACACTTTTAAACAACAAAAACATCAAAAAGAAATGCAATGGTACTGCAGAAAGTATTTCTTTGTCTCCCTTTAAGAAAGTTTTTCCAAAGTGTTATATAGAGAATGGATAAAAAACAAGGTCCTACTGTATTGCATAGGGAACTATACTCAGTATCCTGAAATAAACAATAAAGGAAGAAAAAAAAACAAGGAAGAGAATATAAAAAAGAATATATAGATATAGGTATAACTGGGTTACTTTGCTGTACCACAGAAATTAACACAATCTCTGTAAATCAACTATACTTCAATTTAAAAAATATTTTTTTTTTTCCCTCTGAACCTCAGGTCTTAACAAGTTCATAATTAAGAAACAACTTCCTCATGGATATTAAGGCCTGCTAATCTGACTGCCTATCAGAATGAAATAACTAGTATTAACTCACTGAGTTTAATAATCATTGCTAAAGCAAAATAGGACCTTTTCTTACCATTTATGACCTCATCCCTAGTAATTACAACTTTTGTTACATTTTCTAAACGAAAAAAAATGGCTGGGGACATCATGGCGTTGTGTTGTGGGACCCAGAGGGCCTTGGGGAAGAATGGAATTGGGTGGTCAGGCTTTTCCTGGCAGACCGATGCAGAGGTTTGCCCCCCTCCCATCGTTTTCAGCCTGAAACCTCTCAACAGCCTGAGAGCGATGGGGGCTGGTATTTAGGGAGTATGTTCTCTTCACCAGGCTGGGTTTCCATACTGGCGGAAGCAATCAAGTCTCAGCACATCATGGAGGCCTCCCATGCCGCCAGAACGCTGGCTAACCTAGACCGAGAGACTGTGCCAGACAAGTACCAGGACGGCGTGTACGTGCTGCATCCGCAGTACCGCACCAGGTAAGGGCCCAGCGCTGCTCCGTCCACAGGGGACGAGGGCCCTGGAGAGCTTCACGGCCTAACTGCCTTCTGCACGCTTTAGACCCATCGCGCACAAATACGTCAGATACCTCATTTACCCAACAGTCTGCAATCGCCAAAGAATGGGAACCAGCTACGTTACCAGGGTTGTTTTTACCAAGGGTTTACCTTTAGGAAGACTGCATTCACCTTTTATAACATGTCTCACTTAAACTTTGTGATGCCTATTTCATTTTTGTTACATTACACTTTTTCATGTAGATGTAAGTTATTGACTGATTAGGGTTGTAGAGGCTGATCTGGATGAAAAGGTACTAGGACATTGTTATATGCAGGCACCAAATGAGCCTGGGCCTAGAACTCAAGGGACTGGAGAAAGCTTAGGCGAAGTATAAAGGCCTGTACCTGACAGAATGAGCTGTAATAATGCATTTGACTCATGCTCCTTCCTAATGTTATTTCTGGTCACTATTTCCAGCTGTATCATTGCTAAGACAATAAATATAAAAAGGACCACAACAAAAAAATTACACATATCTTGGATTTTTGTCAGGCACTTTAAAAATAATAACCTCAGAAAATAGCAAGAACTTCTTTTCAACTTGAAAAATAGATGGCCTGATTAATTCTCATTTGTAAATAATGTAATATGGTAATGTATTTTATATGTGTGGCATAATTGTGTGTGTATTATAAATAGCTTGCAAGTAATATGTTATTATAATTTTTAAAATGTCATATACAAAGAGAGAATAAAGTTACTTTAAAATCTCATTTGCTCTGTTTCTGGTAAACATCACTTTCCTTGATAAAAATAATCTCTTTCATGCACACTGAGTTTGAAACTACATTAGCATATTATTTAATGTCTTAAATATTTTTATTGATTTGTGTAATATTCTCATGGAATTCTCTGGAGGGTAATCTATGACATGTCACTTCATTGATCTCTAAGTGCACTGCAGTTGATTTTGGTTGGTCTGCCTGGCCAGCTGTGTCTCCATCCTTATATAGAGACAGCAGTGAGCATGTGCCATATGTCTTTGCCAAAACTCTTTTAGGGTTCCTCAGCCAACCTGTGCTTATAAAGCTTGTCTTAATTAAAGCTGATTTGATGTCATATAAACCTGCTAAGCAGCATCCAAAGAGAGTGCTGTGTAGATTCCTATCAAATACTTTGATAACGCATTTTTTTCTGCTTCTTTTCAAAACTCTCTCCCGCCTATTAGTCAGCCCATTAAAGCAGATGTCCTTTTTATTCATGGCCTGATGGGAGCAGCATTCAAAACGTGGCGCCAGCAAGACAATGATCAGGATTTAACTGAAAAGGTCTCAGAAGATGAAACCAAATATACAACGTGTTGGCCCAAGGTGAGGAAGCGGCTGCCTCTGGCGGGCCACCCGTATCCTGAGACACCGCTGTGCCTCCAGACTTTGGGTCCTCATTGTGACTTGCTTGTTTTTCTCCTTCTACTGGGATGTTTTTCCATGCCGTTTTTCTTTGCCTTAGAGACACCTACAGTATGTTACATGAACAGCTGGGCTTGTCACTCTGTTGTATAATGTTGGGTCCATTCTATGACACAAAGTGTATTAAGTGAAAAAAAAAAACAGGGGTAAGAGCCAGTAATAGTTCACTCATGCTAAAAGTATAATTCAGTAAATAATATATTAATGACAGTTGACTAGTTCTATGATTTTAATAATTATAATAATAGAAAGACTGAAGAAGTAATTCTGCTTTGGATTTCTTTGACATTATTTCTCCTAAAGAGCCTAAATGCTGTGATGAATTTACTGAATGAAATTTACCTAAAGCTCAGTGAAAACTGATGCTGTAAATATGTATAGTTTCTGGGGCTTTGTCCCACTGCTGCTTATTTACCTTCACAAGGGCTTATTAGCAGAAAGAATAGTTGGCACCCTCTCTCTGGTGACACTGAAACATGGAGACGATGATAAAACTTGGGTTCATGGAGACAGAACCGTGACTCTAATCAGTATTTCTGAGTTCTCAGATCAGATCTCTTAACCTCCGTCACTCTGTTCCGTCTGTCCTGAGATCATAGCTTTCTATTAAATGCTTTTAAAAATCCAATTTGATCTAGACTCCAAAAACAGGCCCTGCTTTTGTCTATAGCAGATTAAAATTGAGCATACTCTTAACACTTAACATAGACCTTATGCTGTAAATACTGATATCACCTTGTGAGCAGTGATATAAAGATAAAATGCTGCAGTTATTTTTCTGATCACCTTTACACTTGACTCCAATGCAATCTTTTACTAGCTGTCAATATTACAAGGGTCCTTTAGTTACAAATTTCAGTTGCTAAGAAGTAAGTGGGACAGTGGAAATTAGTATTTTTCCTTTTGTATCTTTTATTTTACATAGTCGTGGTTAGCAAGAGATTGTCCTGCTCTCCGAATAATATCTGTGGAGTATGACACCAGCCTCAGCGACTGGAGAGCCAGGTGCCCTACAGAAAGGTAATGGAGGGAAAGGGGCCGGGCCACAGGTGGCCCTCCGGGAGGGAGGGGAATTTGGCTTTGATGTCACAGCCAGGATTTTCTTCTTAACCTTTTCCCTCTTCCTTCTAGAGAGAGTTAGCTATAAGTAATGAAATTACCAAAGGCTTAGAGTATTACTGTTGGGTTCCTAACATAGTTCACTTAAAACTCTTCTCATAGTAAGGACCACTCTTGAGAGTCTCTTGGACTGCAAGGAGATCCAACCAGTCCATCCTAAAGGAAATCAGTCCTGAATATTCATTGGAAGGACTGATGCTGAAGCTGAAACTCCAGTACTTTGGCCACCTGATGCGAAGAACTGACTCATTGGAAAAGACTCTGATCCTGGGAAAGATTGAAGGTGGGAAGAGAAGGGGACGACAGAGGATGAGATGGTTGGATGGCATCACTGACTCAATGGACATGAGTTTGAGCAGGCTCCAGGAGTTGGTAATGGACAAGGAAGCCTGGTGTGCTGCAGTCCATGGGGTCGCAAAGAGGCAGACACGACTGAGTGACTGAACTGAACTGAGTAAGGACCACGGATTCGGAGCACAGTCTCCTTAACTCCTGGAAGTAAACACAAGGCTTTTGGCTTTTGTGTTCCCGAGCACACCACTTTAAGGCAGCCGAGAGAGGTGCCAGGCCGTGTAGGCTCCTCTGTCACTTGTACGTTGTATGTGCCAACTGTAGGTACAGGCGACAGCACGCGACTTCCAGGCTTCAGGAGCCAGACTGTAGCCACTTCTGCCTTTGACTCACCAGCCACTTTAGGTCATTTCACTGGTCTGGGAAGTTTGATCTGCAAATGGAGGGAGTTGGTCTGATCAGTGTTCTCAAACTGTTATCTCTGAATGATCTCCACCCAGGGTCTGGAGGAATAGTGCCTAGGGGTCAGTGGGCAAGTCCACAGGGCTCCCTCCCCACTTAATTCAGATGAGTGCTTATAAACCTTTACTTAAAGAAAGGATTCTCCAGATACACAGTTTAAAACTACTAGACCAGACAGCTTTAAAGTTCCCTTCTAGTTTGAAAATATGTATTTGAATGCTTTGATTCTGATTAGCTTTGTGCTGTTTCTAAGGAATATAACCAAAATGATGGAGACTTAGTGTTTGTAACATAAATACAAGTAGAATTAAATAGCAATGAGAGCTGACTCCATAGGTGAGCTTGCACTGGACTGTGTGGTCTCCAGTGAGGCCACATAGCGAGAGGGGGTCGCACAGTCTAAAGCGGGGGTGGGGTGGGTGCAGTTTGATCCCTGAAAATTGCCAGATACATGTTAGATGCCTAGACAGTGCTTGTTTAGTAGATATTTCCACTTATGCCAGTGTGACTAAGTTAGAAATGGGGAATAAGCAACTGCAGAAATCAACCTGAGAGAATGGAGGTATGCCTGACTCTGAAACATAGCCTGTAGAATTGGTCCAGTAAACAAAGGATCCTGCTTTAAAAAGTGGAGAGCAAAATTTGGGGGTGGAGGAGAGCGACAGCATCCTGTCATACCTGCTGTCCTCATTTTGTCAGAAAGTCCATCGCTTTCAGAAGCAACGAACTTCTGAGGAAGCTCAGAGCTGCCGGTGTCGGGGACAGGCCAGTGATGTGGGTGTCACACAGCATGGGAGGTAAGTTGCCCCACTGTGGCCGAGCCAGCACTGTGAGCTGCCAGCCGTCGAGCTAAGCGAGCTTCTGCGGCTCTGTGACGGTGGCCCCTTTTCCCCTGAATTAATGTTTCTGGTGACAGCTTGGAGGTTTAAAATGACTACTCTCCTTCCATGCTTTATTTTTTAGAAAGGGATGACTAGTAACAGATCATATAAAAAGAAAATGAGAAAATAAAAAGAAGCAAATGACTTTCCCACTTAATGCTTTCATGAGGCATTAAGCGTGATAATGAGTAAATGTCAGAAGCTGTCCATGCATGTATAAGCCCGACTTGTAAATATCGCTCAGCACGCACAGCTGGTCCCAGGGCCCCCCATTTCTTCCCTGCTTCCCAGCCATCGTTGAGAGTCCGTCATTGCTGTGGTGCCCACAGCCCCAGCCCCCTTCAGGCCTGCTTTCCCCTGGCCGGAGCCCGTAATGGCAGTGTGATCGCAGGGCTCAGCTCTTTGGCCCTCATGCTTGCTGGCTAGCTACATCTCCTGTTTCTTCCAACCCTCTCCCCCAATCCAGTTCTAAATTTTCACCATCCACCTTGCAGAGGGCCTTTGTGCCTCTCTGGGCCTAGTTCATCTGATGAAATGCTCAGGGTTACTGGCTCTGCGCCTGGGCTTTGGGCAGAAAGGTGGACCTAGCACTTTGTATCCTGAGCCCCCTGTTACCATCCATGTTACCTTGGGTTTCCCTGTCAGCTGCAAGCCCAGGTTGGGGGACAGAAGAGAAGGTGCATTCCTACGTGCCTTCTCCCACAGCAGCTTTGTTTTCTCCAGGATACGAGAGTCTGTGTTTTTTAATATTAGTACTGTCTTAATGGAGTGGTGGTTAGTGGGGCAGGAGGCTGGCCATGCGTACTCACCTCCTTGATGGACACTCAATGTGCAATGCCCGACCTTCTTCTCTGGGAGAGGGCATCCTGTGAAGTAAAGAGCTGCCTTACAAACAGTTTCTAGAATCTCACCTGTGTGCAGCCTTGTGCTACATATTCTAGAGGCTTAGGAGCATGACTGAGTGTTAATATTTTAAGGCCTTGCTTGTTGGACTACAGAGAATGATTGTTTCAACTTTTTTAAAGAAAGCATCTCTTTCTGTATTCTTGTTTGCCTTTTTTAAAGAAACAATGAAGCAAAGGAAACTAGCTTACACATTTTTCTTTTCCTTCTCTATGACTAGGTCTTCTTGTCAAAAAGATGCTGTTGGAAGCCTCAAAGAAGCCGGAAATGAGTACTATTATAAACAATACCAGAGGAATAATTTTTTATAGCGTTCCTCATCATGGATCCCATCTGGCTGAATACTCTGTTAATATTCGCTATCTTCTCTTTCCCTCTTTGGAAGTCAAAGAACTCAGCAAAGGTAATTTCTTTCTTTCAAAAGGAAATTGGCATTGTATTAACACCAGGTATACAGGAGAAGGAGGAAGACCGTTTCTAACTTGACCGTATTACCTCATTTGACTGTTTCTATATTAGTTGTGTTTAGACTATCATGGAAAACTTTTAGTTTGGGGTTAATTTTTCTTTGATACTGTCCCTTTTTCTTCTTAGCCATTATTTTCTCAGGTGGTGCTAGTAGTAAAGAACCCACCTGCCAATGCAGGAGACATAAGAACCACGGGTTCGATCCCTGGATCGGAAAGATCCCCTAGAGAAGGAAATGACAACCCACTCCAGTGTTCTTGCCTGGAGAATCTCATGGACAGAGGAGCCTAAAGGGCTGTGATCATTAGGGTCTCAAAGAGTCAGATATCACTAAAGCGACTTAGCACATTTTTTTTTTAGCACACATTATTTTCTCAAGAAATAAAACAATTTTAATACTATCTTAAATATTTACAATTTTTAAAGATACATAATGTTCTGCTTTAAGTATTATTCCAAATTACCAATGAGCTGTTTTTTCCCACAGGTTTGGAAAATCAACTATTAAAATATACATGAGCTTTAAAGATATTCACCATATTAACTATAAAGCACTATATTTATTTTGGGTTAATGAGCATCTTCTCTCTCTCTGGAACACCTGCTAATCAGAATTTTGGGACACCTGAATTGAGCCTTAATATGCCACTGTCCTTTTGCTCAGATGTTCTTTTTTCTGCTTTATGGAGAGTTATTGGCCTTTACCTTGAACCTTGTGGTGAATTTTATTTTATTTTTTGCAGTCAGATTTTATTTTCCAGCAGCTCTTCTGTGATCCATTTTCTTTTGAAATCATCCAAAGACAACAGTTGTTTTTAACTGTCTCCTGTGCTCAGGTTTTCTGTTGGCTCACCGGGTCTCTCTCCGGTGGCAGGCTTTCCTCTGAGACCTGGCGCCTCTTGGGTGCCCTTTGATATCCGAGGATGGGCGACAGGCAGGGCCAGGTGCTCTGTGATTGCACACAGGCTGTGCTGGTGAGAGGTGCTTCAGGATGCACGTGGGCGTGTCAGCCAGCACACTGCGGGACCCTCCGTCCTACATACCACACTGCCCTGGGCACTACCTCCCGTCAGCCGGTAACGTGAGAGACTGCTGCCGCTGCAGCCGGCTCCTCAGTTCTCAGCTGGTTTTAGCCCTTTACTATTGTCCTCATGGCTTCTTAGGAAGTAGAGAAAATAAGCCACTATCTTGAATCAGAACCCTAATTTCCTCCCCAAATTGGCAAGGTTGCTGCATTTTATTATGAACTAGATACACAGAATTTGTCACGTTCTCGTTCTCTATAATTCTACAGATTCTCCCGCCCTTAAAACACTACAGGATGACTTTCTGGAGTTTGCAAAAGACAAAAACTTCCAGGTGCTGAGTTTTGTAGAAACACTACCGACCTACATTGGTAGCATGATTAAACTCCACGTGGTGCCCCTGGAATCGGCAGGTATTCACTCTTTTGAAACTTGTTTGACCTTAGATTCCTGGTAGGTGGTCATCATAAACGTCAGCTTTTAGATTAAGTTTCTCAGTTTTAGAAGACAGCTTTATGAAGATTTAGATTCTGTTACTCTGTTAAGCCACAGATTAAAATTTCTTGGCAAACATTTAACCTTGGCATTTCCTGGCCCCCTTTGATTTAACTGATTAGACAGCACGGGTTAACTGGCTAATGCTGTGTTAGCTTCCACACCGAAAGCTGCTGCCTTCAGGTAAGAATCCAGAACTTTACTATCAGCCCAATTAAAAGGAGTATTTCATTTACCAGACTGATAGCCACCTGCAGGAACCTTTAAATCTACTAAAGGTATGGGTGCTTGGTAAATAAATGGAGGGTACATGGGGAATATTCAAGCAACAAAGATTTGGAAGGAAAAAAAACTGTGTTAAGTCTCTTCCTGCTCTGGGATGAGGGACATGGCCAGTACCTGCTCCTGTAGCCAGTGTAGGCTCCTTGCGGGCAGGGCTCAAATCTCAGTTCTCCTGGCAGCCTCCTCGTTCCTCTGTGCATAGTAAGCAGCGTGGACGCTCCATGCCCTGAAATGCTTTCCCCTCATCCGGCTAACTCTTGAGTTTGCTCATCAGACTCTTTTCTGATCCCCTCAGAGGCTGAGTCAAGTGGCACTGGGGGCTCCGGGCAGTTAGACGTGGAGCGTATCCGGAGCACCTGCCGATGGGCCTTCTGTCCTGCTGCGTTAGTTATTATCTAAGTAAAATGAAAAAGGCTTGATACCCTGTAGTGGTTGAACCCTACAACCTTCAGGTTGAAGAGACTTTACCTTAAAGTAATATGCCATGAGGTGAAGGGTTGCTGTTTGTAGTTGAAGAACCTGAAGAGTTCAAAGAACAGTGACTTTTTTTTTTTTTTTGGTCTTTTATGATGACTTTGGAAGCTTAAAGCAGAATTAGTATGGTGGACCAGCTGCTGGCAGTGACACAGCCTTGCTGTAATTCTGTCCACCCCTTCTGTGTCACCAGCTGGCCTGTCTTCCTTCATAACCTCCACCTGCACTTGCTCACCACCCTGGCCTCACTAGTACCCCCCTGGCACTGCCATCTCGGTGGGCTTGGCTAGGCTGAAACATCAAAAACTCCCCCAGGTCTCCCAAGCACCATGTCATCTCCTTCCCTGATAGTGAGCATGGAGGGCCTGGGTATAGAAAGGATTCTGTGTGAGACGTTCCCATTCTTTTCATCAGGGCAAAGGAGCTCACTATCAAGTTTCTCATATTAACTCTAGAAAAAGAAGTGGTTCATACAAGTGTGGGATACCTTAGTAATAGCCTGCAGTGTATAAAGGTTTTGAAGACGACAGTGCTCAGGCACAGTTCACTATCAGATCAGGAAGTAGGCAATGCACACACATGCAGAATTTATGAGAAAAGCATAGAATTATAATGGCACCTCCTGAGGCTCTGTCCTCTCATGATTAGGCACATACAGTTTAGCTAGAGTCAAACTTTAAGTTCCTTTATCTTTTAGAGATCGCTGTCATAACCAACTTGACATTTACATCTACCCATCTGGTCTCTTTCCCTGTTGACAGGGGGCAGCTTATATTTTTACCCTAGACTTTATTGACATTTCTGTTTTCTTTAGATTTAGGCCTTGGAGATCTAATTCCTGTGGATGTTAACCATCTAAACATTTGTAAGCCAAAGAAAAAGGATGCTTTTTTGTACCAGCGCACCTTACAGTTCATCCGTGACGCTTTAGCCAAAGACCTGGAAAACTGACAACTGTCTTCTTCCCTTTTCATAAGTGACCACAGTGCAAGAAACGTGCTGTTCTCTTTTTTAAGCTCTACGCAATCATGCAGACATAATCATTGTGGCATCCAGGTGGCTTGGAGTACGTCGCAGGCAACAGACTACTGTTCTGTAAAACACAAACATAAAAGTGGCAATCAAGAATGAAGGGAAGGCTAGACTGGACGGTTTTGAGTTAAAAAAAAACAACAACAAAAACGTCCTGTGTGCCAGCTTATTTTGTGCAGCATTGTCCCTGGTGATAGGGAGCAAGCTGCTCTGGCTACAGAGTCCTGTGACTTCTGCCGTCTGTGGCCATCCCCGGCGCATGCTGGGAGCAGCACGGATGACCTCTGCGGGGAGAGCCCTCCCCAGCTTAGCACAGAAATGCCTCTCGAGGGAACCTAAAGTGGAGAGAGAAGGAACTAGAACCTTCAAGACTCTGTTTTGGGTCTGGGTTTCCATGTGCTGTAAACTTTTAAAACCTTGTCAGTGTAAACCTTTGTCTAACATGTTGGCTTTGTTATACCTCTTGTCATCCATGGGTCAGTTCCTGGTAAGTTTTTATTTTCATATTGGTGAGAACAGTATTTTTCTTTTTCAGAGAGTTCTAGTAGCCTATAATAATTCCTTCCAGACTGTAGCTCCCTATACTTTTAATTTTTCTCAGATAAGAAGAATAAATCCATTATTGATCAGAGTGTGAAATAAAACTAGTCTAAGCCAATACACGTATTAGCAATAGTTAGTATCAAGACTCTCAGATTCATTTTAGCAAAATAAAGTATACCTTTCCTTCCTGCTCATTTAGAAGTGGTATTAATTGTCTCCAGCATGTGAGAAATAGGAAATCATATTGATGACTTTTTGAAAAATAATTGAAAAATAATTCACATACTATAAAATTCTCTGTTTTAAATGTACAGCTCATGGATTTTTAGTGTAGTTTACAGAGTTGTGCAACCATGACCACTATATAATTGCACTATATAATTCATCATCCCCCCAAATAACCCCATACTCACCAGCAACCAGTCTTCCTCTGCTGTCCCCCCAACCCCTGATAAACACTAATCTTTTGGTCTCTCTGGATTTGTCTATTATGGACACTTCCTATAAATGGAATCTTACAATGGAATGGAATGGAATCTTATGTGGCTGTCTATGTCCAGCTTCTTTCTTTTTTTTTTTTTTAACACTTGTTTATTTGTTTTAGTTGTGGTATGTAGCATCTTCAGTTGAGACACGTGGGATCTAGTTCCCTGACCAGGGATCGAACCTGGGCCCCCTGCAATGAGAGCACAGTGTCTTAGCCACTGGACTACCAGGGTAGCCCCTAGCTTCTTTCTTTGAGCATAATGTTTTTAAGTCTCATCCATGATATAACATGCATATATGTAGTACTTCGTTGTTTTTTATGGCAAATAATATTCTGTTGCTTGGATGTGCCACATTTGTTTACCCATTCATCAGTTGGTGGACATTTAGGTCCTTTCTATGTTGGGGCGATTATGAATAATGCTGTGAACATTCATGGACAAGTGTTTTTGTGGAGATGTTTTACATTCTCTTGGGTATATACTAGGAGTGGAATTGCTAAGTCATGTTAAGCTTATATTAGCCATTTTGAAAATGATGACCATTTGTAGAATGGGATAGACAAAAACAAGTACAGCATCTGAAGGTAGACTGGGGTCATCCATAAACCCTAACAACATCTAATTGTTTAATTATGCAATGACCTAACAAGTGACTTGACTTATTATCCTGCTGCAGAGAATGTGCTGGTTAGCTGTCAGCAATATACTAGCTAATGGGATCACAGGGTAGAGGCGTAGGTATGTTTGGTTCTTTTTTTTTTTTCTGTTTTCCATGAACCATGGCAGATAAACCATGACTGGAACATCTGTTCATTAACATGGAGTAACAGATTGAAACTCCGTAAAATCTCTATATAGCTATTATAGCTGTGCTTTAAAAATAAGGTCTAGGAGAGAGAGCTTCTGAATTACTATAGTTTCTCAGCCACCATTTCTGTTTATTATTCTTATGAAGTGGATATGATATACACAGATTTACTTCAGTCTTGTGAGATTTAAGTCAATATTTTTTTAAATAATCATCACCTGAAAAACTCTTTAAGAACACAATGTATGAAAACATACACATTTGAAACAGTTTTAAACTTAGACCATCAATGAAATGATTCTAGTTCAATCAGCCTTATTTAAATATCCTTTCTGGAAGAGGATTTCAGGTGAAGTTTTCTACTACCTTTCCCCTCATGTGAAAAGTCACTTTAAATGACTTACCCAGAAGGAAATAGAATACAGGTGTGTTAGAGAGCAGACTACTGAAAGAAAGAAAGTGAAGTTGCTTAGTCATGTCCGACTCTTTGCGACCCCATGGACAGTAGCCTGCACCATGCTCCTCCGTCTATGGGACTTTTTAGGCAAGAGTACTGGAGTGGGTTGCCGTTAAGCAAGTTGTAAATACAATTCAGATGACAATGAAAAACTAGTTATGTTCATTGATAACCCCTTCACTTCTTTCTGGTTTCATTGTCGACCCTAAAAGTCGAGGGCACTGATTCCCCCTTTCCTCCAGTGTGTAAATGTCACCACAGAGGGACTGCTCATGGAGCATCAGGATACCTTTCTCGATGCTGGCTCAACCATTCACCCAAGGTTACACCGACAGCCGGAATATAGTGGAGGCCGTGGCCCTTGGCTCAGGGGGCACGCCCATTGTGTTGGGTCCTGGCAGACTTCCTGTTGAGAAAGGCGACACGGTAGTACAGTAATGTATCTCTTGAACTTGGTTCATAATTTATCATGCCCCTCAAATTACTTCTAATTCCTAAAATTTGAGTTTTAGGCATACCCTCCTGAATTTTCACATCTTTGTAGTATTTAATATGTTAATGTTTGGTTTGGTTTTTATTGACATTTGGTATAAAAATTATGTCCATGAAAAAGACATGTTCAATAAATTAAATTTTAATTAAAAAATTAACACTTTGAATGCTCTTAAGAATTTCATTGTTCATTCTGCATCGAGTCCATCTCTCCTGTTCCTGTTTCATTCAAGCAAGACCTTTTTCAATTGACTTCTCCCCACATAGGATTACTGTCAGATGCTGTCCTCTCTCTTCCAAAGGTCCCAGAATCCTTTTCCATTTCTATTGCCCAGTCTCTGATTCCGATTTTCACATTTGGCCTAATTGGTTCCTCATCCTAGTGATAAAATAGAACTGTAATTCAGTGAACATGTTTTGAATACTTATGCACCAAGTGTTGGCTTTATATAAGAATGTGTGCTAAGTTGTGTCCAACTCTGTGACCTCATGAACTAACCTGCCAGACTCCTCTGTCCATGCGGTTTCTCAAGCAAGAATACTGGAGTAGGTAGCCATTCCCTTCTCTAGGGGATCTTCCTGACCCACAGATTGAACCTGCATCTCCTTTATTGGCAGGCAGATTCTATACCACTGAGCCACTTGGGAAGCCCCTTATATAAGAATACAAGATAGCTTTATTTAGCCATATTTTAGAGACAGGAAAACTCAGCATTAAAATAGTCATAAAACTGGCCCAAAGTCTCAGAGCTAGTGAGAGCAAAGGTTAAGCCCGGGTTTTATTTTAAAACCCATGCATGTGCATTGCAGTGTTTTCATAGAATGTTTAAAACATTAAAAACTGACAAAACATCAAAGTAGTGGGTAGTCTAGGACTTCCAAGCTGATATTAGAATTTCTCTCCCTCAATAGCTTTAGGAGGGGGAAGAAAAAAGGAAAAGTAGAAAATAATTCAGCAACTAAAATAAATGAAAGGACTAAAAGCTGTCATTAACTTTGAAAAACGGTAGCTAGGAAAAAATAAGTGATAATAGGGAAGAAGGTTGACTTTGAGATTAATACAGTCTTGAGAATTATGATAACAGTTCTCTATTTTGTAGAAAAAAAGAGGAAGGCGGTCTTGAGCAAAGTTAAGGAATAAACCTTGAGGTTGGAAACATCTATAATTGGACATGTAAACGTGGGTGATGGGGCAGGCAGAATCAGCCAGGCTTTGTTTTCTGAAGCCCTCATGGGATTATTAAGTTCCAATACTTTGACCACCTGATGCTTAGAGTCCACTCATTGGAAAAGACCCTGATGCTGGGAAAGATTGAAGGCAGGAGGAGAAGCGGGCAACAGAGGATGAGATGGTTGGATGGCATCACCGACTCAGTGGACATGAGTCTGAGCAAGCTCTAGGAGACAGTGAAGGATAGGGAAGCCTGCCAAGCTGCAGTTTGCGGGGTCACAGAGAGTCAGACACAACTGAGCGACTGGACAACAACAACATGGGACTAGGGTAAGAGTCCAGGGGAACTGAATCCCAGGATAGCCATTAACAAATCCTCAAAAGAGGCGGGCGAGGCCAGATCTGTAAACAGAGACAGTACAAGGCTCCCCAGGGGCACTGTGGGGGCAACCCTTGCCCCTTCCCACACTCAGATGAAAGAAGAGGGGGTGAGCAGTAACATCAAGCAGGGAAGAACAGGAAGCAGCTTCAGATAAGGTGGGGGAGAGACTCAGGAGAGCCCATCCTCCATTTAGCAGGGCAAGTTTGTCTGGAAGAAGTTTATCATACATAAGATGAAATGGCATGATACTTAACATAAGAAAGCAAACCAAGTTTTATATATACTGATGCCTGAAGATTCCAGTAGAAAAGGAAATGTAATCCTTGAACACAAAGAGTGATCAACAGGGAAAAAAAGATTCAGAAACAAATTGGAAACCCAATCAAGACAATTACAGGATAAAGCAGAAACCACATTAAAGAATGGGAGAGAAACCGATGAAAATCCTCTTCTTAAGAGAGGTTTTGCTTAATGGCTGCAGAACCACAATGAATGCAGAAGGAAAATTAATTAGAAGATAATAGATTAGTCACCATTCAACTACAAGGTAATAGGCAGACACAGTCAATATTAAACTCAGGGAATAGGGACCTAGATGTGTCTTTTGGCAAGTTTGGTTATTGACTAAATCCTGGCATACAAAAAAAAAAAAAAAGGAATGAAAATACTGCACTTTAAGATGCAAACAAAAATCCAAAAACCAAAAAAATGCCCTCATGTTAGAAAAGAGTGATGTTGGAAAGAAAGAATTGTGCTCAGCTGAATTGCCCTTGACATGGGTACCAAGGTAATGAACCAACATGCTCAAACCTGGAGGAGCTCAGGGAATATTGCTAATCAGTTCTAGTTCCATCCTCTTAGATTAATTTCAGGTGAATTAAGCTTGATACTTAACACTGACATGGGCTTCCCAGGTGGCTCAGTGGTAAAGAATTCGCCTGCCAGTGCAAGAGATGCAGGGTTGATCCATGAATGGGAAAGATATCCTGGCAACCCACTCCAGTAGTTTTGCCTAGAAAATTCCACGGACAGAGGAGACTGGCAGGCTGCAGTCTTAGGAGGTTGCAAAGAATCAGCATGACGGAGCACACATGCATGCATATACAATGACAAACGGTAGATGTTTATCTAGGCCATATTCTCAGGTCATAATCCAATAAAATTAGGAGGAAACAATTTTACAGTGCCAAACAAACTCTTAGTTACTGGAAAACTGCACAGTCTCCCTTGAACCAAAGAGAAAATAAAAGCAAATTACAGGGCTTCTCTGGTGGCTCAGTGGTAAAGAATCCACCTGCCAATGCAAGAGACCTGAGTTTGATCCTTGGGTTGGAAAGATGGAGCAACTCAGCCCATGCACCACAACTATTAAGCCTGTGTTCTGGAGCCTGGGAACCACACTGCCTAGCCCACGTGCCTCACTGAGTGAAGCCTGCGTGCCCTAGGGTCTGCACGCCACAATAGAAGCTTCTGCAAACAGAAATCCACAGCCACAACTAGAGAGTAGCCCCTGCTTTCCACAACTAGAAAAAAAGCCTGCACAGCAACAAAGACCCAGAAACACCATAAATAAAAAATAAAGGAAGCACAATTCTTTTTTAAAAAAAGCAAATTGCAATCTAGAAATTCATGAAAATGAGACTTTTTCATGCCAATGTGTGTAGGGTGCAGTTAAAGCTACAATTGGTAAAATATATAACTTTAAATGTCTTTATTGTTAAGCAAGACTAAAAATAATGAAACCCAGTATGAGCTTTAATTAAGAAATTAGGAAAATAGCAAAACTAGAGAAGTGTGCAAATTAAAGATTTTAAGTTAAAATTCATTAAAAATGTTTTAAAAACTGACATAAAATGAAAATAAAAAATAGGAAATATAAATACCAATGCTGTTACTTGAAAATGTCAACAAAATTGGATAACACCTTGAGAAACCCAATTAAGAAAGTGAAAGTGATGGTCATTTAACAAATGGCATAGGGTTACTACCCCTCAGGAGCACGTCGGACCCCCTACCTCACACCATTTATAAATGATGTTCCAGATGCTTTGAAGCACTGCTATTAGCCCCGGCAAAGCCTGTAATCTTAAGCATGCCAACACTCAGATTTATTTAGGTATTTTTGCTGGCCGCTACTTCTATTATCTACATAAATAGATAAAAATCCTAAAAATAAAATCCTAAACTGTCATTTAAGGTGCTCTGACATTCTTTCCCATCTGCTCATTCTTTCTATGTACAGAAATCTACTTTGCTACATATCAAATTCTTAATCCTCATTCTGTCAAATCTCCCCTGGCCCTCTGCTCACCATTAATCATTCTCTCATTTGTATTCTATCTCATGGAGACAAAGCTGATTATACAGGTGCAAACACCTTGCCTTGTATGAGAATGAGTTTCAGTCTGCAACCTTGGGTAAGGAAGGTACGGTAACTGGTTGTTTCCTTCCTCCCCATACAAGTCCCAGGCACTCAGATTAAATTAATTCAATACAGTACTTACTGGTCACGAAGGACTAGGCATCTTTAATATGTGGAGATTGTCAGTATATTCTTATTCCTGAAAGGCATCAGAGAACATTTATGACCTAAATTTCGTGTATTAATTAGTTAAAAACAAACCGAGACAGAACTGGAAGACTACTTTCGCCTGTCTCCATGCAATAATGGACTCAAATCACTTCAGCAGTTTGCTATAAGATCCTATAGAACATGAATTCTAGCATCTCTCAGTATTACAGCATAAAGTTATTAATGACCTGGCAGTATGCCCTGCCAGCAGCATTCAACTCATAAATTCTTAATCAAGTTATTACTTTTATGCTGCTTTAACTTAGTTTGATGGTTGAAAAAAGAAACAGAAACTCAGAGGAATAACTAAATAATCACATTTCAGCCAGAATAAAAGGCTAGCTGAAGATACCCCAAGCTTCTCTTCATATCCGAAAAGAACAAAGCCAAACATTTTTTTTAAAAAAGACAAAACATTTAATAGGTGTTTTTTTACAATTTCAGTACAAATTATCACTTCAAATAAAGAGTTTTTATTCATTGCTAGTCATCCAGTAAGATTCAGTAAGCAATTTTTGCAGCTTTCCTTTTTTAATAGAATTACTTTATTACAAAAGAAATGTTTTTATACATTACCTTGCTTATTACTTATATACAGGTCAAGAGAATTTTAAGTGTCTTGAACTTCAACAACTTTAAACTTTCACAGGAGTCACTTGGGCAGATGTCCCAGTTTCAGTAATTTACTGGAACAAGTTTTTTTTTAAATAGGCAAGAAGTTTGGGAAGATTATGTTGTAAAAAGGAATTTAATTGGGTTCAGGGAGACAATGCCAAATTATAAAGTCTGTGCCTAAAGTACTCTGCGGTGAACAGTAACACCTTACAGAACAGTAATGAAATGAACTGCAAGGGCACAATAAGAAGGCTGGTGTGCGAGCATCAAAGAAAGATTAAAAATAAAAACCCCAGAATGAAATCCCCAGGATGCCAGCTGCTGTCAAGATTATTCAACCAATTCTACTGCCAGCCTAGGGAAGATACCAACTGTTAAGCAATGATTTAAAAAATAAGACAATTCCAATTGTCCATTTTTAAGAGAATGTTAGTGTGAGAACCTTACATATTATCAACTCAAAACCCAGTCTCTGTTGTTCATTAAATCTGAACAGCCATGATCAAATAGTATTCATTTCATGTTAAACTACTTATAATTTTTCCTTCGACCTGCCTCAATACAAGTGTGTTAATGCTTACTGTCAGATTCTTTGTATGTGTGATGAACACCTATCTTAAATGAAGTTCTGTTCTCAGTACCGTTTATTGGCTATTTGCTGTCTAGAACAAAGAAGAAACCTGAAAATTAAGCCCTAGAAGCAACTTTTGTGGTGCTTACTGCCCCCCACCCATGCTTTTTCTGACTTAATACACAGATATGCCTTCATATTCACCTCCTTTTTAGCAGGAAAGAGGTTATAGAGAAAACTATTTGAATTAAGAAATCTTTGATTCTATTCTCAACTGTCTCCTTTAAAAGCAATGTCTTTCTAGATGACTGAATAGTTGAGAGGAAAGACTGAAGGCAGGAGGAGAAGGGGGCGACAGAGGATGAGATGGTTGGACGGCATCACTGACTCAACGGACCTGAGCTTGAGCAAGCTCCAGTTCGTGATGGACAGGGAAGCCTGGTGTGCTGCAGTCCACGGGGTCACAAAGAGTCGGACACGACTGAGTGATTGAACTGAACTGAATAGTTCAGAGGTGGTGCTGGAAATGTATAGGAGGAAAAAAAAAACCCTAATAAAATGTAGATGATAAGTTAACTCAGGATATCCTGGGGTTTCTTATACTTGGGGACATATGGTGGTTTCCTTCCTGAAACCACAGTCAGGTAGACCAGACTAAAACAAATATTCTTCAAATTATAATGATGAGACTCAGTATTATGTGCCAGTATGAGTTTTTACAATCTGTGCTTTTACCGGGTATGGAAAATAAGGGGGAAAAAGAAGCCCATGAGGTTTTATTCAATGGGGAATAGAGAATGTGGAAAATCAGTAGCACACCAGAGCTTAGGATTGCAGCAATTTATGGGACGTGCAAAGTCTAAGACATGGTACAGGAGGCTCTAGCCAGCTGGAGCTCGGGTGAACCTAATGGTATATGATCCAGAACCGTAGCAGGGAATGCCACCATCTCCCTGAAGACTTGCACACCATCGTGGTTAATATACACGTACATAAATAAACACAACAGCTGTTGGGAATGTATAGTCTTGTCTTTTGGTGGACCTATTTGCTGCTTCCTACTCTGTTTTTTTTTTTTAACCTGGTGTTGGCCAGGCCCAGCTCTCAATGGTCCCAGCCACCTTCTAATGTAATCCTGTATGCATCAACCTTCAATGGGTCACCAAAAAGTTATCCCAAATCTGTAAACTGCAAACAATATTTTTCTAAAAACCACACCACATACACACATAAATTAAACAATCATTTAAAATTCAGTGGGAAGGAGCTTCCTGGGCATCAGGGGCTAGGTTTCCTTTCCTAAAATCCACAGGCCAAGTCTACCCAGAGGTTTCTCATTCCCTGAGAGGAGACGTAACATGCACAAGTCTGCAATAAAACGTATCTTGGTGGCTGAATAATAGTCGTATCGAGTAAGAGACACAAGTTTTGTAAACTACACAGGAGTACCCATGTTTTTCACTGTGCCTTTAACTAATGTCTCTTTCCAGGTGGGGCTGAGGGCAGTGGGCCTTCCCCCTGTAAAGTGGAGCGGAGGGAAGGAGGCAGGCATTCTGCGGAGGAGCGGCGGTGGGTTTCCCCATCAGGTTTTCGCCAGTGGGTCAAACACCTGCAGCACCGTTCTCCTGTCCTTGTCGCTGATTGTCACCCAGGAACCGACGTCTTTTGGTCTGTGCTCCGGGGGCGGCTCCTGGGCTGGTGAGGCACCGATTTGCAGAGGGGCTGAGTGCACCCTTCCGAGGTTCCCGGCCCCCGAGTCCGGGGGATCGGAGCTCTTGGAAAGCCAGGAATTATTCAACAGGTTAGGGTGGTGGAGGAGGCTCCAGAAGGGATCCTGATAGTCACCGAGAAGAGGGGCACCCACTGATTTTCTGTCCGTGGTGCCATCAGCCTCGGGGCTTGCAGGTGATGATGAAACGCCCAGGAAAGCGGGCTGTGGAGAGAGCGCACCCCCGGCAGGCGGGGCTGTGGGGGGACCGTCGCTGCAGGGGAGCCCCTGGAGAAGCTGGCAGCTGCTCTGCAGTGCCTGTAGGTGGAAGGCCGCTGGCGCCGACTTCTTCCTGCGTGGGGGCACCTGCGGCACGAGGGGTGGGGCCTCTGGAGTGGGCGGGGTGGCCATGGGCGGGGCCTCCGGAGTGGGCGGGGTGGTTGTGGGCGGAGCCTCATCAGAAGCGGGCTTCCTGGCGGCACCTTTCCGCAGCTGAAGGGTTCTCGGTTTGGGAACCGGAGGGACTGTCACTAGTGGAGGGGTGTCAGGGCTCGACTCTGGGGGCCCGATTGTAAAATGGACGGCCTGATGCCCAAACTGTTCTTCCGGTGACGCGGGCTGAGAAAAGGTACAACAAAGAGCGTCAATAAGTAGCCCGCCCAGGGAACTGGGAATCGATCAGCACACAGATGATGTCTGCTGGGGGAGCAGAGATGGGGCCACACGGACATTCTAGCAAATTCAGGATTTGAGAATGTCTGGGATGCGGGGGTGTCATCAGGCACGAAAGAGCATGGGAGAAACACACAGGTATCAAGGAGGAACAGCAGGTCCCACGAAATATGAGTGGAAGCTTTAAATCCACCACAGGGAATAATCTGAAACAAGTTTCTCTGTTACCTAGGAAACAGGATTATATTCTTCCTTTATTAAACAGCGAACCTCTCTGAAAACTCTTCCTGGAGGCCGCAGCTTTGATGATTCAGTGAAGTAGCTTATGTTAAGCTAATTGAAGGACTCACTGAAGGGTATACTGGCTCCTTGAATCTTTGCTATTTAAATACAGAAGAATGGCAAATTGCACAAAGGAACTTCCCTTCCTCGGTTCTAACTGACCACAAAGGAAACAAGTGCATGAGACCACAGGGAGCTTTTGTACAGACATGGCTGTCGGTAGCTTAAACATCAGCATTTCAGTATTGCCACGGGTTCTTCAGATAAACCAGCTGCAAAAAACAACCTGTCCTCTGAAAGCCTTTTACTGCAGCTCCTGTGCAGCTGGTGAGGAAAACGAACCCATTTCTAACCTCTGGCCTTGAAAAGACAAAGTGAGGACAGAGAAGAGGCCGAGGAAAGAAGTCTGTAAGTGCAAGGAGGCGTGGAAAATGGGCGGATGAATGAGAAGACGTGGAACAGCAAAGCAACCCAGAAAACACAAAGCTGGCTCTGGAAGAACCAGGCGCCCAAGCCACGCTCACACTTTCTCCAGGTGGACAAGCAGCCATTCTGTAACGACCAGCCAAGGATTACCGCGTGTCCATGACTGGCATACTGAGCTCAAACGGAAGATCCAGATGTCTCTAGAGGTGCCAGTCTTTGGGCTGCTACTGTCCTGACAAACTCATGTCTCTGAAGCAGCAAGCAAGGCTGAGAAGCTTGAGAGCGAGAGCAGAAAACAATCTGCAAGAAAAGTGGCAAGAAAAGCTGTCGCGCCTCCAGGATCTACGGCCGCACAAGCGCTTGTCAAAGAAGGCCCATCCGGAGATGGTGACTGTTTTTCCAATGCACATAAGATCAGTACATGTGAACTGTGGGCATAGGACACAGACCACACACACAAATGGGAATTACTGGGACACGTGGAATACAGCGTCCCACGCTGGTTTGGTTTGGGAATGGAAATGGAACATTTGGACAGAATGATACCTCCAAGCTGTTCCTGTCTTGGTGAGAAATTCCCAATGTTTCTGCTCAGCGAGAGCCAAGAAATAGCAGGGATGAGGAGGAGAAAGTGATTGCCGGGCATGTTCCTCAAGGATGGGGCTGTGGCTGGGAGTTGTGAACGTGTATAAAGAGACCAGTTGGAGACATACTTCTTATCTAAGGAGACATCTGAGCAGCCCTAGAGCGACGGGCTTACATGACCGGGTCCTTACCTTTCCTGTCCTCCTCAAGGCTGGCTTCTTGATGGCAGGAACCCTGGGGGCAGGCCGACGGGGCAGGAGAGGCGCCACCCCTGCTGTGGGCTCTGGTTTGGAAGATCCCTGGTCCCTTAAGGCTGGAGTATTTAGGGCTTCTCCTGGGATGCCTGCAACATGGAATGGCGTGGTAAAGGCGTAAAGGATGAGGCATTATTCGAAGGATAAGGCAATGTATTTCTCTTTGATCTAAATCTCAGGGTTGTCAGGACCAAGCAGCTAGGTTTGGCCCCAGCTCCTCACGCTCACCATCCCTGAGTGATGGTGATCTGGGGGACTGTGTAGGGGCGAGTCAATGAGACCCTAAGATCAGGTGCCAAGTTTAATGTGTGCCCATGTTGCTCAGGGGAGATGATGTAGAACTCCTTGAAATCTCAGCAGGGCCCATGAGAAGGAAAACATGGGGTAGAGTTCAAACCTCAAACCTCCCCCACCTTCCACGTCTATAGAGACTTAGAAAAAAACCCTTGACTGTAATCTAATTCACATACCATAAAATTTACCCTTTTTAAAGGATTATACTTTGTGGTTATAGTCACAAAGTTGTTACCATTATTACCATTTGGTCCCCAGAACGTCTTCATCACCCCAAAAAGAGACCCCACACGTTTCCACAGCAGTCACTGCCCACTCCCTTCTCTCTTCTAGCCCCTGAAAACCACTGTGATTTTCTCTCTGTATAGATCTGACTATTCTGGACAGTTCACATAAATGGAATCATACAACACATGGCCTTTTAGGTCTGTTTTGTTTCACTCAGCACAGTATTTTCATGATTCACCCATGACAGAGCATGTGTTAGCACTCCATTCTTTTTTATGGCTGAATAATATTCCATGGGATGGATATGCTCCATTTTATCCATTTGACCTTGGAGTCTAGAGCAGGGGCTGATAGAAGGGGGAAGTATGAGAAGTTCAGGTCAGTTGTCTTGAGAGAAGAGGCTAAAAAGAGATCTAGTGGGGCCTAAAGAATGCAGTAGGGATGCTGGTAATAATAGCAATAGGATTTTAGAGGTGGGGCATTCTAGAGGGTGGCGTTGAGCTCTAAAGAAGACTATGGGTGCAGGTCTAATGGACTAGAGGTGAGGAAGGAGGGAGGTGCTGTTGAGGGCCGGGTGGAAGACAGTCCATCAGCAGATGGACACTTGGGTTGTTTCATGTGTACAATGAATTTTTTTTTTTTTAATAAAAAAGAAACCATGGTGTTATCATGCAACAATGTTTCTCCTCCTCTTAATCCATGCCCTCTTTAAATGTTATTTGGGAATTTCAAATAAATGAAATATCCAGACTAAAAACAAATCAAGCAACTGTAACTGCACCTGGCTTTTCAGAGGGCATACTTTCCCCTCGTCAAAAGAGTCTAGTATAAAGTCAAAGCAAACGAACCAAAAACCCCTCAAAGTTGCTAGTCATGATTCTGAATGCATAGGGGAGATTCTAAGTTAAAGCATGTTAACAAGGGTTAGGTGAAGTGACAGCAGCAAAAAAATGAACAGGCAATATGGCAGAGAAGAGGTCCCTGCCGGACAGTAAAGAATCTAGGGAGGGGTACTCTTTTGCCCCCTTCTGATGCCTATGTCAGAAGCTTTCTCTATCTCCTTTATACTTTAATAAAACTTTATTACACAAAAGCTCTGAGCGATCCAGCCTCGTCTGTGGCCCCGGATTGAATTCATCTCCTCCGGAGGCCAAGAATCCCACGTCTCATCGTTCAGCAACAACCTTTCATCTTGGGGGCTCATCCGGGATCCTTCAGGACAAGATGGGCCTGACAATCTATGTGAGCCTACTTCTGCTGACTCCAGAAATCCTGAGTCTGCCTTTTGATCCTCAAGACAATGCCTTCCTGTCCTGGGCTCACTCCTATGCTGCATTCCACAATCGGTCTAACTGCTGGGTCTGTGGTCCACTCCCTTCTTCATCTGTGAAAGGCTTCCCGTGGTGGACATCTCCACTTCAAGGAAAAGACTTTCTCCAAGTCTGCAAATACCTTCAACAATCGCATGTGATGCCTCTTCTTAAACTGATGACATCTAACAACCTTAAGATGGACTGATGTAACTATGAACATAATGTGACTTTTCATTTTGATTTTAACTTGGTTTGATGACTATTTTGCCTTACATCTATCACTGTATAATGGGGTTTTCTAACCGTCTAAAAGCTTTTACTTTACAAATAGTTGCCCGAGCCTCTATGAGTGCCACAGCCTCCTCCAACTATTACTTGGGGCCCCTGGATCAGACATCCTCAGTATGAGGATTAGGAGAATATGTTGCCTCACCAATTTAGGCACAACGCCCCTTGTCAGCTCTGAAGCAGTTATAGAATGAGAGCGACGCCCCTTTTCCCTAGGCAACATAATTCTCCTAAAAGGAAAGGGGGAAATGAGAGAGTCAGTTCCTAGGCAGGTTGATAAGAAGTCTAGGGGTCCCCAAGGAGAGAGAGGTCTGGGATATTCAAGGAGGAAGAAAGGACAAACTTTTTACTTTTTTTCCTCTACATTCCTTAGGATTATATAACAATAATGTATCCTGTCTGAGGACAGTCTTTGGATTAAACCCTCTGGCTAATCCTGTTATCTTAAAATGTAAATTATGGGAGTAGGTCTGGTCTTTACAGGGATGTATCCTGCCTGAGGACAGTCTTTGGATTAAACCTTCTGGCCAACTCTGTTCTCTTAAAATGTAAATATGGGAGTGGGTCTGGTGAGGTCTTTGCAACCTCCAAACATTCTTTGGATTCATTGGAGAGTATATAACTCCATTGCTAACACTAGCAAAAAGGGTACTCTTTTGCCCCCTTCTGATGCCTATGTCAGAAGCTTTCTCTATCTCCTTTATACTTTAATAAAACTTTATTACACACACACAAAAAAAGAATCTAGGGATGCTGGTAATTAGAAAACTAGATGTTTTGCCTGAAGGAGAACGCCTACTTACCCATCTCTTTCTACAGAGCCAGCAGGATGTGTTAGTGTCTCGAGCGTGAACCTCTTCTAAAACTCATTTTCGTTTATTTCCATCTCTCCCTTAAGTGCTCCTTAATAATCTTGGGATTATTTTTATCTATTGATACTTACTGAATTTTAAATATGTAGTTCTAAATGGACGATAAATCTTCACAGATGAATTTTATAAAATGTTGCTAAAAGATACTTTTACTGAATATTGCCTCCAGAAAGAGAGTTCTGTTTTTTTTCTAGGCCCCTTTCTGCAAGAATATGAGAAGAAAAGCAGAATCTCGAAGCAGCCCCGGGGGAACACCTACCTCCTCTGGCTTCCAGGAGACATCGGATGGCTGCTTCCGCCTCCTGAGCATTGGTTGTTTTGATCTGCTTGACGTTATAAGGCTTACTTATCCCAGTCCTTGCTTTGGGCTTGAGGACAAAAATCAGGAAAAAACACATATTAGCACAAGTGGGAAAATAGCCTCACCCAGTGAGAACTCTGCTTATGGATCCATACATGAGCGTGAGGTTGACAGAGCTCCATCAGCGATGAAGGCACAACTCCCATCTAAACTGCATCCCTCAAATCTCTTTCCCCTGGAGCACTCGAATACCCGAGGGGAGGGATGCAATAACATTTAGATGATGTTGGTCTCCCAAACTGGTTGCTTCTAGGATTGTGCAAGGTGGACCAACCATCCTCTATCTTTATTTCGATAACCAGGTAAAAGCAAGAAAGATTAGTCAGAAGTCACTCCTTCCAAGGTCCAATGAGTCACTCAGCACTTTCCAGATGTTTCTCAAAAGTGCTGATTCTACTTCTCAACTGTTCTACCTCTTAACCTACACCTCTGGGTCGCCTTTGAGGACCTGCCTTCATCACTGTAACCCACCGAGGTCAAGTCAGTCCCCTACTCCTTCTGTGAGCATGACTGTGCCCATCAGCTGGCCCAGTTCTCCTCATTCTCCCTTCCACCCGGCCCCCAACGGCACCTCCCTCCTTCCTCACCTCTAGCCCACTGACCTTCACCCACAGTCTTCTTTAGAGCTCAACACCACCCTCTAGAATGCCCTGCCTCTAAAGTCCTATTGTTATTATTACCAGCATCCCTACTGCATTATTTAGATCTCTTTTTAAGTCTCTTCTCTCAAGACAACTGATCTGAACTTCTCATATTTCCCCTTCTACTAGCCCCTGCTCTATACACCAAGGTCAAAGGCAAGCGTCAGAAGGGAGAGAAGCAGGTATGTCTGGAAACCAACAGTCCCTCCATGAAGGGGCACTTGGGAGGTTTCATCAAATGTGATTTTCTCTCTCATACTCTGAACGACCATTTAAAACCCTATAGAGGACTTGGTAGTAAGTTATAGGGTTTGGAGGTGAGTGGTGGATAGGCAGGGAGTTAGAGACAGAAATCTATGTATTCACTGGAAAGAGATGACCCGGCATGATGTCAGGGGCTATGCATGGACCATGGGGCAGATCTCACAGGTTTGAAAAGCTGGCCCGTTTCGCTCTGATCTGAGAAAGGAGAACTCACCGGTTGCTGGGGGGCTCCCGGCAGGAGTTTTGCTGTCTGCAAAATTGAGTACTGCCCGTCAGTGCCGGAGGAGATGGAGGCATCCGAGGCTGATTTTTTCACCATGAAACCAGCTGTAAAAACCAAGGAGGGCAGAGACTCCATCTCAGTGAAGTCACAGCTGCTTCGACACAAAATTCCCAGCCAGCTGAGAGCAAGGCCACGGTCACAGCCTGAGTATGTCCATGGCCTTCAGCGGTTCAGAGGTGCTTCTGAGGCTGTCTTTGGATTCTCTGATAACTTGGGCCTATTAATGTAGATTCTCTGGAGAAGCAGTGTTTGAATGAAAATTTTAATCTAACATCCTGGGTAGGGGGGGTATTAAATCTGACATAAAACCTAATCAATCATTTTTAAGTGGTTTAAAACACACTACTGTTATTAGGACCAAATTTTAAAGATGTTTCGTGGGCAAAATCTTAAAAAAAATTCCTAAAGCAGGAGAATAAACGATATTTAATAATACTTAGACATTAATTAATCATATTTAGAACAACATTTAGTGATAGAAATACTAGATGAAAAGACAAATGACCAAAAAAAAATTGGATACCAATTCTGTTAAGAAAAATTTAAAATTTTGCACAGACATAGATATATCTAATTGGAAAAAGGATGGAAATCTTTTGGTTAACAACTATCATCACTAGGTAAGTGAAATTAAATTTTTTACTGTTTCCATTATCTCTTTTTGTAAACCTCCACAATGATATAGGATATCACTTTATTTTTATTTAATATTTTATTTTCTGAGCATGAACTCTGAAAAGTAAAAAATACGCTTAACAAGTCATGTGTTTCTGACTTGCCATTGATTACTACTGTGATGTAACCTAAGATGGGCCCAGTTCTGAAAGTATGGCTTAGGAAAATCTTTACTGTCATGGCAGGGGAGAAGTAAACAGTGGAGGTAAATAGAAATGGATCAAAAGCCTGGTACAACCTTATTTCCGATTACTGAGGAGTACTTTATGGGAAAAGCATTGTTTTTTGGGGGGGTCAGGAAGAAAAGTGCCACGATGAGACTCGGACTGGGAAAAGCCGACCTCAGCAGACTCGGGCTCACAGATGGACTGGTGCCTGCTTAGAGGTGTTGTGCATGGTCACCTTCCAGGTCAGGGCACCTGGGCTTACTTGAGTCCTCGTGAGCAGAGAGAGGGTGGGTGGTGGTCCAGGAGAGAAGATGCTGAGAGATGCCATTGGGGGTAGGGGGGAGAAGGAGCTCCAAATGTCCCCAGCTCGTTTGTGGCCCCCGTTCTCCAAACCCATAAGGTTTCAAACTGAAAGCAGCTTCAAGCAAAAGCACAGCCACAGGAGGGCGAAGAGCAGCTTTAGGAAGGGCTGTTTTGACTTGCCCGCAAGACATAAAGCAATCTCTGATACCAAACTCGCCAAGGATTTAAGACGAAGAGGAGCCCGAGGAGGCGAGAAAGCGCTGTGAAAACCCAACAGCCGGATTTTAGAGCCATTCTCTCAGCAGGTAGGAAGGGCGCAGTTATTCCCAGCAGGCATTGTGGTGAGTGGAAAGCAAGCGGAGTCTTACTTGGAGGGGGGGGTCTCTGCGGAGGGTGAGGTGGCCGAGGCCGACTGGGAACCGACAGAGACCTGCTTGGAGAGCGGTGGCGGAAGTCCCCAACTGCTTCCAGCTCCTGCTTTAACTCCACCAGGTCAGCATCATCTGGAGGACATGGCGGGGCGTGAGTCAGGGCAGTCAGACTCTGGTCTGCAGGGACCCCTCCTGCAGGGCAGCTTGAAGGGGCCCTTTCTGCTGGTGTGGGGGCGGGGAGCGGGCACCCAATGCCTGCTTGGAACACTCGGTGAGCTGTGGACAAGGCGTGGTGTCCACACACGCGAGAGACACCGAAGTATTTTAAAGTGTAGGCGCACTTCCTTCCCAAATAATCCACAAGACTTCCACACAGAATGATGGTTGAAAACCAGAGCCCCTCCATTTTTCTTTTTTTTAGGGTGAGCTGTGTAGCATGTGGAATCTCAGTGCCTTGGCCAGGGATCAAACCTGCACCCTCTGCACTGGGAGCCTAGAGTCTCAACCACTGGACCACCAGGGAAGACCCCAGAGCCCCTCATTTTCATTCCCCACTCTGAAACAGGGGCAGTGACAGTTTGGGCATTGAGAATATTTTCACTTCTCTGCCGGTGGGACAGCCTGCCATCCAGTGGTCCCGCATAGAACATCCCTGTGCACTCAAGCCCCAAATCCCATAGCCCACGCCAACGACTGCCCAAGTGTTCGCCATCCTGACTCACCAGGGGCATGGGGAAGGGACTGATTATGTTTTTTATTACATGTGTGCTTATTACAATTGGGGCTTCCCTTGTGGCTCAGCGGGTAAAGAATCTCCCTACAATGCAGGAGACCTGGGTTTGATCCTTGGTTGGGAAGATCCCCTGGAGAAGGGAAAGGCTACCCACTCCAGTATTCTGGCCTGGAGAATTCCATGGACTGTTCCCATGGGGTCGCAAAGAGTCGGACATGACTGAGCGACTTTTTTTACTTATTACATTTAAGTTCAGGTCAGTTAAGTTTAGGTCTCTTCCACACCACAGCACACCCCGATTCATTTCATCCTGGCTCATCCTCCCATCCCTCAACTCTAAAAGCGAGGTGCATCTCGTGAGCTCTGTTGGGGGAGGCAGGATATTTCCTAAAGGGAGTGCCTGAGGGCCGTTTTCCAACTCACTGGAAAAGACCCTGATGCTGGGAAAGATCGAAAGCAGAAGGGAGCGACAGAGGATGAGATGGTTGGATGGCATCACTGACTCAAGGCACATGAGTTTGAGCAAACTCCAGGAGAGAGTGAAGGACAGGGAAACCTGGCGTGCTGCAGTCCGTGGGGTCGCAGAGTCAGGCATGACTGAGCAACTGGACCGAGAGCCTTAAAGCATCAAGGTGTTCCTTCAATGTCCAGCAGGGGGCGAGGCTGCCCACAAGTCAGAACCCCAAGTTGCTCTATTAGGTCTTCATTCAAAAGCCACACACCTGCTCTGCCCTCCAAAGGATGCCTGAATGACGGCCACCCTGGAGAAGAGGACCGCTTCCCGTCTCAAGAGCACATCCCTTCAGCCACTTCCGCTTCAGGGCAGGAGCGCTCGGGACGTGCAGGGTATAGAAGCACCTTGATTCGCTGAAGAAAGCTGTTGCCTCTGAATTGGGCAGCAGTCTCACACACATCCGAGTCACCTGGGGGCTCCCTGCATCGCCAGGTTTCCAGGGTCCCAGCCACACCTGCCAGACCCACATCTCCATAATGTGGCAACTCATCTGGCCTCAGCAGTTTGTTAAGCTCCTCAATGAAGCCAGGCTGCTGACTGGCTCTGGGACCAAATACAGTCAAAGGGGCTTGAGGGTGGTCTCTGTACCTCCTGGGAAGCATCTAACGTCACCCCTGTTCTTTGTTCTCAGCCACAGCTCAAAGGGTCCTGACACACAGCTAAGCCCCTGCACCTGCTCGCCTCCAACAAGGAGACACAATGTCCAACAACTGGAAGAAACTGGAGGCTGTGGCTGAAACAGAGCTGAAGAGTTTGATGCAAAATGTGAGCCCCTCTAATCCTCTAGGGACCGGCAGTTCGATCCCAATGACTTTCAGTCCCTCTCGAGTCTAAAATGAGATGACGTTAAGATGTAAAATTACTGTATAACAATATAATGGTACACAAATATAACCAGACACCAGCAACTCAGGACATTGATGGTGAGTATGTGTCTTATGGGACTGAATCATAAAAGTCTTGAAGTGGGGAGGGGTGGATCACAAATGTAAAACCAGTTGAGAGCCATGCCAATTTAAACAGAGGAAACTAACTGACTCATTGGAAAAGACCCTGATGCTGGGAAAGATTGCAGGTGGGAGGAGAAGGGGACAACAGAGGATGAGAGGGTTGGATGGCATCGCCAACTCGATGGACATGGGTTTGAGCAAGCTCCGGGAGTTGGTGATGGACAGGGAGGGCTGGCGTGCTATAGTGTCCATAGGGTTGCAGAGTCGGACATGACTGAGTGACTGAACTGAACTGAATGGTCATGAATCTGGTGTGTTAGAGGGGTACCAGTTGTTGGAAAAAAATGAAATCACTAGAGGAAATCTGTGGTGGCAACTGCCTTCCCAGAGCCCAGTGTCCACCTCTTGCTATGCCTCGTTTTGCTCCTCTGTTCACGGGCCAAGCACACAGGATGGTGGCTTTACATGACGCCCAGCTGCTGAGCGAGGGAACGCTGCACCAGAGGCGATTTAGAAAAGGAAGGTCCATGCTACCTTTGTAGGTCGGACGCTGCTGCTTCTTGGCGAGTGCCGGTGACCTGCTGGGAGGTGCCGCGGAGGCAGAGCTGGGGGCATCGGAGACCTCATCTCCCCCTGGATCACTGTCTGAGACCACAGGCTGACTCAGCTCATCTGCCAGATAGTCTTCGTCGTCTTCGAGAATATCCCCTTGGGGAACGAAGTGTCACAGCAAACAGTTAGGGGAAAAGCGCAGAGTCGTTCATCGATGGGTCTGTTTCAACATCGAGACCTGTGGCTCTGGTCAGGGCCTCCGAGGCACAGCCACCAGCAGCCCCAGGTGCCCATGTGGCAGCCGGGCTGGGACCCCAACTCCACGGAAGTCTGAGACACAGGACCAAGCCCACAGCCCTGACATCCACAAAACCACTGGCTCCAGTCAACCTCAGATACCTCCAGTCTTAGCACTGCAGGTAGCACCCGTCCACATGAATGCCCCCCAACTCCAGCTTGGAGGGTGAGCCTGCACTTCCAGGGCTCTCTGGAACCGTCCCGAGGGGGGTCTCAGAAGGGCTCTGGAGGCTCTCATGCTGGGAGAAGGTCTCGTCTGCTCGCCTCGCCACAAGGAGCGGCAAGTCTTGGCAGGGTGACTCACCTTCCGACTCATAGTCCAGACTCGTGAAGTCGAAGTTCTCCTCCAGCAGACAGGAGTTGGCCGTGGGGGACACGGAGGCCACGCTGTCCCGCTTTCGGATGATCTCCTCTTGCAAACCTTTCAGCCAGTCCTTGGTTTTTGGTCTGATCTTTACAGCTCGGCCCTTCACCTGAGGACAGAGCGGCCGCCAGAGAATGATCGCTGACCTCAGACCCTCTGACCCCAAAGTGCTTCTCACTCGAAGGCACGCAGTGGGAGCCAGCCCACCTTCACTTTTTGCCCAGAGGGTCTAGACCTCGGGCAGGCCCGGCACAGCTCACATTTGGCCTGAATAGAAGTCAAACTGTCATCCCAAGCTTTGCATTCAGTGTGAATTTAAAACCAGCATATTATCAATCAAAATGGAAACCACCTATATGAGCTGCATGCCCCAAACCATAGAGAAAGTGAAAGTCACTCAGTCATGTCCGACTCTTTGCGATCCCATGGACTATACAGTCCAAGGAATTCTCCAGGCCAGAATACTGGAGTGGGTAGCCTTTCTCTCCTTCAGGGGAATCTTCCCAACCCAGGGATCGAACCCAGGTCTCCATCATCGCAGACGGATTCTTTACCAGCTGAGCCACAAAGGAAGCCCATGGAGGGAGAATGACCCCAAAATTCTTGTTGGGGTTGGGGGGGTGAGCGCAGGGAGCCCCAGTCACGCAGGGAGCACTGTGCTCCAAAACTTGCTGTTTCTCCTCAGTCCTGCAAGGAGCCGGGGCTGGAGGGTAGATACCAGAAGCAGATGTGGTAATGAGGTGGTAATGAGACCACCTCTCTGGTGGTCTGGTGGTTAAGACTCTAGGCTTCCAATGCAGGGGGCATGGGTTTGATCCCTGGTCAGAGAACTAAGATCCCACATGTCTCGTGGCATGGCCAAAAAATAAATTAAAAAATTTGTTTTATTTAAATAAAAAAAAAGATGTGGGGCTTCCCTGGGGGCTCAGTGGTGAAGAATCCACCTGCCAATGCACAAGATACAGGTTCGATCTCTAGTCTCAGCCCCACGTGGTGCAGAGCAACTAAGCCCGGGTCACAACTCCTGAGCCTGTGCTCGAGAGGCCAGGAGCCACAGTGAGTGCATCTTCTGTGCCCCAAAGCCCTCACCCCACAACTAGAGAAGCCACGATAGTGAGGAGCCCACACATCTCAAGTAGAGAATAGAATCTTGCGCGCTACAACTAGGGAAAAGCCCGTGCAGCAACCGAGAACCAGCACAGCCAAACATTAAAAAAAATAATAACATGTTTTTTTAAAAGATGCAAAGAGACACCCAGCTCCTGCCCTCCTGTGGGCAACTATGTTCGCAGACCTGGCCACGCAGAAGCACAAAAAGCCGGCGGGGACAAGCAGCAGACGCCCCCCCAACGGGTGACCAAGCACGCCTCACCTTCATCCCGTCCACATCCAGGACACTGAGCGCCGAGTGACTGTCAGCAAAAGTCACGAGCATCTGCCCTTGGTTGATCCTGGAAGAGAGGAGATTTGCCAGGTCAGCCCCGGGGACACGCTCTCCAGCAATAAGCACCCAGCTCCGCCCGAGCGTGTCGCCACCTGACAAGCACGATTGTCCCGTAATTCCCCAGGGTCTGCATGAGCTCCAGGCGCACGTCCTCAGGAAACTCGTCCTTCTCTTCTGCGCTTGGCGACTGCAGGTTGACGACGACGGTGGCATCAGGGGGGCCCTGGAAAGAGGACACTTCCTGGAACACCCTGTCCCGAGCCCCCACGTCAACTTCTTGCACTTCCACCTCCACAATGGCCAGCACGGGTCTGCGTGAGACACGGAAGGAAGAGAGGGCACTGTTAGCCCAGGGCAAGACCGTCCCCCAGCCCCACCGCCATCCCGATTCTGCTATCAACAGGAAACCTCGACAACGCAACCCAAGCGTGCGGCACCCCCTTGGGCCTGGAACCAAGCTCTCGGGTCCTGGAGTTTCCGTCCGTCTTTCCCTAACCTTGGTGTTATCTTGGCTTTTCTATCTAAGGATGATTGGAGAGAAAATCCATACCAGCTATCAGCAAAGGTTCTTTACATATAATCCTAGGACTGCTGGAAAAGAAAGTGGAAACCCACTCCAGCATTCTTGCCTGGAGAATCCCATGGACAGAGGAGCCTGGCGGACTACAGTCCATTGGGTCGCAAAGAGTCGGACATAACTGAGCAACTAACACACAGGACCACTGAGGATGCGGAAAAGTGGGGATTCTCCCTGGGCTGGGGGGGGCGGGGTTCAAGCACTTTGCAGAAGGTGCTATTGTGTTAAGAACCGCAAAAGGGGTCATCTTTTGACCAACAAATTCAGTTCTAGAATTTTGTTCTGAGGAAACTACCAGAGTCAGACAAAGATTTATACACAAGGTTGATCTTTGCAGCACTGTCGATGGGAGGGACAAAGGAATAACATCTAATTGTCCCAGGAGAGGGAAGGAGTTATGACGTAGCCACACAACTATATGCTATGCGCTCATTAAGAACAATGTTGTAGAAATCTACCTGACATTCACTGAAAACAGATCAGCAGGAAATAAGGCAAACCTTGTAATTTTTACATAGGGATGGGTTTACTCTGCAAAAAACTTATAAAATCCTCTATTAGGCAGATGACATTGTCTTACTGAAGACATCCACCATATTAAGTGGATAAGTGAAACTATATCTAATATCCTGGGATAAACCATAATGGAAAAGAACATAAGAAAGAATGTATATGTATGTGTAACTGAGTCACTTTGCCGTGTAGCAGAAATACAACAGAAGTCAACTATAAGTCAATTAAAAAAAAAACCCCAAAGTCCTGAATCTAATACTAAAACTCTATGGTGCTTTTAATAATAAAATATTAGGAAAATATTCATCAGTAGGTGAGTGGGTAAGTTCAATGGATCTATTAAGCGGAATACTGGACGGTGGTTGCAAATGAGAGTCAGATCTCTAATAGCAATACGACTATCTCAAAAATATTCAAGTAACAAAAAGGCAAGTTGCACAATGACATAATTCATCAAAAATTTAAATGACACAAAACAGCATGCAGGCTGTGTCTTGGCAATCTTCATAAACAAAATCACTTTTGAAGTGGGGCTGTGACAAAAGGCTAACACTGATTAATTCTTGGTGGCAAGCACACAGCTACTCATCACACGTTCGTCACTCTTTACCGCGTGTCACACATGCACACACACACATTCGGATGGGCAGGTCTGTTCCCTGCACAGAGCACCCGACCCCACCTTCCCCAGCAGCAGACATGCCCAATGGCGGCCAGGACCTTACCTGTGGTCAGACGCTTGCAGCTCTGCTCGGCCGTAATACTTGAGGGCACCGGGAGACCAGGTGTGTCTGAGCTGGGTGTTAGCGTCCAGATCACTGTCTAGAAGGTTGAGTTCTCCAGCTGCTCATGGAGATGCCAATCAAGAGATACACACAGAAGACACAATTGTATCAACATGAATGGACACTGATCACAGAGCGGGGGTCCATGTCATGGACCGCCTCCTATCTCAGACTCAGTGGCTCTAACCTCTTGGGCTTGAAGCTGTGTCAAGGCGGCCTTGGGGCCTGGGGTAAAAACCCCCTCTCCTGGGACTTCCCTAGTGGTCCTGGGGTTAAGACTGCACTTGTAATGTAGGGTGTGTGGGTTTGGTCCCTGGCCGGAAACCAAGATCCCATGTGCCCCGAGGTGCGGCCAAACAGACAAAAAATACTTGTCGTGAGCGGGCAGAGTGGGTGAGAACATGGCAGTCACTGCTGCAGGCATTCTGCCCCAGGCCTGCAGGACACCTGCAGTTCTTTGTACAGTAGGAGATGCAGAGACTAAGGACACGAAGCTTCTTGCGCAGATGTCCACAAACTGATCTAGACAAAAACACATCTTCTCAATCTGCAGGCGAGATTTCTGGGCTTTGCAATCTTGGCATCTGTCTCAAACCAGGACAGTTTAATTGTTTATGTATCAGTTTATAGGTGTTTGAATTTCTAAACAAATTGCACTTCTTGCTGGGCCTCAATCATTCAAAATGCAATCGATGACTAATAGATGAAACTTATCTTTCCTGTGTCTTGCCCATGTGTGATCTGGAGTTGGGGATTTCAGCAGGTAAGAGCAGGGCTGAACAAAATGGGCTGGAGAAAGGGCACGAGTGTGAGAGGCAGAGGTGCCCGAGAGGAGGACCCAGGGCCTCGCCCTGGTCCCCACCGGGAACAAAAGGCAGCGGGGTGGGGTGGTATGGGCAGAGAGCCACGAGACACAGACGCAGAGACCCAGAAGCCCGCGCACTTGCAGGCCGCAGTCTCTAGAAAGAGGCCAGAGAGGGGCTCCCTGAAAGCACCACTCCCAGAGCTTAGGGCAACATCTGGAAGGAGTTTCATGTAGTTCTGGGTTAACAGGAGGCTTGTTCTCTAAACAGCGAAAAGCACTGGATTAAAGACATGTGATCTCCCCTGCGGCACACGGGTCACCGCCCCCTCTGGGTCTGATGGTGCACACGGGTCACCCACCTGTTCTGTCGGAAGGGTGCCTCTTTCTCCACCACAGGACCCTGTCCGTCCAGGCGGGGGTGCGGCACTTGTCACTCGTGTCGTAGGCAGCGGAGCCCACGTCATACTTGTAGGTGGGTCCAAAGTCAATGGTGCCCTCGTGAAAGTCTTTAAAAATCTGTCGGGGGAAGTCACAGGGCCATCTCAGTTCTCCTAGATCACGTACATTACACATGCCAGAGGGCATGTTCCAGAGCAGGTCTTTTTGTCCCCGAAAGGGACAGAATCTACATCATAGTGGCAGGCATGTCAAAAACAGGACATCTGAATGCCTTTTAATTAGCAAACAAATCATCAATCATCTCTTTGTTCTGCCAACGGACACACCACTGGGTCTCCCACCCGCCTCAGCACTGGATCTGTCACATGGGGGACGGTAACAGACACAGGCAAGGACGCAGCTTCCACGCCGAGGGGACCATCCAGCCCAGCCCTGGCAAGGCCTTGATCCGTATCTGTTAACTAAACCAACTGGCTGTCAACTGCAAATTGGTACTCGCCAAGGGCGTTTGCCATCTGCATCTGCAGAGACCAAGCCCCATGCTGCTGCAGCTGTTGACCTTCAACACCCACTGAGGGAGTTCAGGGAGAAGACTCTTGAGAGTCCCTTGGTCTGCAAGGAGATCCAATCAGTCCATCCTAAAGGAAATCATCTGAATATTCACTGGAAGGACTGATGCTAAAGCTGAAACTCCAATACTTTGGCTACCTGATGTGAAGAGCTGACTCACTGGAAAAGACCCTGATGCTGGGAAAGATTGAGGGCAGGAGGAGAAGGGGAAGAGAGGATGAGATGGTTGGATGGCATCACTGACTCCACGGATATGAGTTTGAGCAAGCTCCGGGAGTTGGTGATGGACAGGGAGGCCTGGCGAGCTGTAGTCTGTGGGGTCACAAAGAGCTGGACACGACTGAGCAACTGAACTGAACTGAGGGAGTTCAGGGTGGAGAGTGAGGTACTCGGTGCTCCAGGGAATCCGGTGGGACAGGTCTTTGATAAGATACTTTCAGGAACTGATTTCCTCATCCCAATCCTTACATCCCTTCATATCGAGAAAATCACTAAATCCCTTCGTCGCTAGCAGAAAACCTGTTGTAAAGTGAGTGCTTGATTGCACTGAACTCCCCCTTAACCAAAATCTTATATATTGAATTTTCCCCACTGCCTCCTTGGAGCAGTCTCTCAGAGTTCTCTGAGGTGCTGTCTCCCAGGCTGCTGTCCTCATTTGCCCCAAATAAAACTTAATTCACAACCCTCACATTGTGCATCTTTTTAGTGGACACGGGTAAGGAGTGGCTCAGAACGGAAGCCTAGTTCTCCTCCGTCTTCACTTAACCCTGATGCTGTGGGCAGACCGGGAACAGATGCTCACTCGGTGTTCGAGTGGAAGGGTGTGGAGGACAGTGGCAGGAGGACAGAAGAAGGACCCTTAACAGAAAGGCCTGTTAAGGTCACTCTGCCCTCTGGCCATCACCAGCGACCCAGGTCACCAAGGGGGATGACAGAAAACCCATAGGAATGACCGGATATCACTGCAGAAGGGGTCTTACCCTCCTTGCCCGCACCATCTAACCTGCTGCGTTTTCACCAGGTGCATGGAACTAGCTGCACTTCCCTCCCCCTCAGCCCGTCCTGCTAGGAAGTAAACAGGAGCCGAGATGTGGAGGCCCGCCAGTGTGATGAACTGAAGACAGATCTTACAGCTGAAGCTTCCGTGTGACGTCGTGACCTGAGGCGGCACTAAAAACCTGCATTGGGTCGTACAAGGGAAGTCTGAGCTGAACTCTGACAGTCTCAGGCTGTATCATGGCTCTGTTTACTGACTGTGTGATCTTGGCCACGTTCTGTGACCTTGGCCTCAGTCTTCTTATCTATAAAATGGGCATAACACCTAATCTGTAGGATGGTCTTGAGAATTATGTGTACAAATCGGTGTGTGAAGTGTATCAGACAGTGTATTAAATCAATTTGTTAGCATGTTCACTAACAAGAAACAGAGACATCACCGAAATGAATTGTTTTGAGCACTTGCTGGCTTAGTGCGCCTGACATACAGCCGTTCTTACGAGCCTCAGTCCGAGTACACGGTGCTTGGACTGTGTACATCAGACCTGCCATCCTCATCAGCTGTGTGCGCAGAGGCTGACGTGGGGCTGTTTGAAGCAGCTTGGATTCAAACTGAGGCAGCCACTGACTCCCCGGGAAGCCCTGGACCAGGGTTCAGCTTCTCGGGAGGAGGAAGGGACGGGTTCCTGCCCCTCCAACCACAGAGCCGGGGCACAGAGGTGCGTCCCGCCCTGAGCTCCTCCAGTGGCTTACGTGTAGCCAGCGTCCTTTCACACAGCGACAGCCCCTCTGGCCACGAGGAGACACAGACCGTGACTGTGGCCAGAGAAAGTAGGGGCAGGACACGAGTGTGGATGGATGCTCACGTGTCTCTAGCTTCTTATGCCAGGCACGTTTTCTACCGTATCAGAATCAGTTAATCCATGCATGAAGCTTAATTTGCAAACACAAGCGTGTACATTCAGTAGATGCTGTTCCATACTGGGGGCTCCCAGGTGGCGCTAGTAGTAAAGAACCATCTGCCAGTGCAGGAAACAGAAGAGACGGGGTTTGATCCCTGGGTCAGGAAGATCCCCTAGGGAAGGAAATGGCAACCCACTCCAGTATTCCTGCCTGGAGAATCCCATGGACAGAGGAGCCTGGCGGGCTACAGTCCACAGGGTCACAAAGAGCCGGACAGGACTGAAGCAACGTAGAATGCACGCGTGCACATTCCACAGTGGAGCAGGTGTTAAAAACTATTTCAAAAGCACAACTTACTTTTCCACTTGACTTCTGCAGCTGTAGCTGATCAAATTCCAGAAGCTTCTTCCAGTCTTGGCGTTTAACAAAATAGAAGACTTCTTCATAAGTGAGATCAATGCGGTAGTTGAAATCACCACACCAAAACACATAATCGTGAGAGAAAATGTTTCTTCCCTAAGTCATGAAAAGAAAGAAATCCTGATGATTTGATCCATCTTGCAAGGAATGTGGGAGAGGGAGAAAACCAAATTCACTATACAGAAGGTAAGCAGATATGTTTTCCTTAAAATGTTATTTTTAAAACAAGAGTCTGCTAAAGCATCTCATTTTTCACTAATGCCATAAAAACCTACTGATAGACTTGCACGCGGCTTATTTTTTACATTTTAAATAGTGTTTTTGAGTGGTCTGGGGAAAGCCCCAACCCTAATACTAGGCGCATGATGGCCAGTATTCACTCTGCACATCAGATCTCGGCCACCAGGTTTTATCCCTGCTTCATTATGTCTGTATCCGAAGAACAATGGCCCAAATATTCAGTGTTATGGGGTTTAAGAAAATAAGTATAAATGCTCAGGACATGCAACTCTGTCAAAGCCAGTGGATTTCATACATTTTTATCCTTGATCCTCCATCATTCCCCTTGATCGGTCCCCCTGCCCCCAGCCCGCCCAGCCAGCTCTGTGTCCGCATCCAGGGCAGCCCTGTCGATCGCAGACATCTTCCCCTTCCCCACCCAGGAATCACAACAATAGCAGCGCAGTATCTGCCGCCCACAGTGCTGGGCTCTGTTCTGGGGCGCCCCGTCCTCACAGTGGCCCTACAAAGCATATACTCTTGGTGCTCTAACAGATTAAAAGAAAAAAAAAGGTTCAGAAACTTTGCTGAAGGTTACACCACTAGTCCACGATACAGACAAGATATGAACTCAGATCTGCCATGCTCCGAAACCTGTTTCTGTTGTTCTACTACACTGCGTGGTACTTCCACTCCCCTCAGCCCACAACAATATTCTGGACAGAGACTGAAATTATCACAGCCCCAATAAAAGAACTGTGCAGAGCAGCCCTGCCTAAAAGAACACTCCGTAGTGATGGAAAGGGTCTGAACCTCAGCTGTCCAAATCCCAACCACGTGGGGCCATGCACGTGAAGTGCAGCCAGTGTGACTGAGGGCTTTTAGCTTTATTTTATCTATTTTACATTTAAATAGCTACTTGTGGCTACTGGCTACTCTATTGAACAGCACAGGTATAGAGTATGGGTACCCTCAATATTTCTACTGAAAAAACCCTCTATCATAAACTCTTTAATTATTGAAACTGTGTCCCATGTTTGCTATTTCAAAATAGCACTCTTCAAGTGAGAAGAGTTGGATTTTACTTTTTTTTAAGTTACACAGGCACAAAAAGAAAATATTAGTCCTACATAATCTGGAAAACTACAATGACAAATTTCCCAACTCACTTCTTTCTTTTTATTCCAAGAAATAAAAGCTTCAACAAGGATTATAGCTCTTCTTCAAACTAAGGAATTCTTGCCTTGAGTGAAGGCCAGTAATCAGGATGTCAGTTTTAAGGGATCTGGCCTCACATGGAAGAGCTCTGTGACACAGCTGTGTCTCAGAATCTGTGGCAGGAACGGCTGAAGTCTACCCTCACTGCTGGGGAACAGGTGTGTCTGCAGGGGGCTGAAGGTGTGCAAGACCATCATCTTTGCACAGAAAGGAAAACATTCAAATCTGAATTCGAAGAGATGCCCCAGGTTCAGAATGAAAACTTCGGAAGCCCCGCTAGAGGGCGGCATGACTCATGATATTGGCAACCAAGAAACCAGACCAGGATCCGGGGGCTCCAGAGTCAAGAAACGGACTGGTTTCGAAACCAGTCTTTTCCAAGCCACCACAAGAAGGTGCATGTGAGTCTCAGGAAAACCAAATTGTACACTGGGTTTGGATTCAAACGTTCTTCACCAGCTTAAGACAGAGCACGGTACACGGGTTCTCCTTCCCAGTTCCACGCAGTTGCATTAGAATAAGAACATGCAGGGTGAGTCAGCATGTTCAGAAAGTTAGAGATACAGGGGGAGCCGAACACTCCTGGGTTGGACGCCCCGTTCACCTCTATCTCAGCTTCCCTGGCCGGTTCCCCCACCTGGAGTGCTGAGTCCCCCAGGGCAGGGATGCTCCTAGAGCCGTGTGCCCCACCCTCCTGCAGCAGCTCGGGGCACCCCGGCGGGGCTGACCCGAGCAGGGACCCAGCCACCGCCCACTGCCCTGCTCACCATGGGGAAGCTCAGCTTCTGGGTGATCTCCCTGTAGTCCTCATTCCGCTCCTTCACCTGTGACTGCCCCGCGGTCAGGTGGCAGCAGACGAAGCAGAAGCTACTGCTGTGGAACTGGAAGCGGATGGCCACGGCACCCTTGTTCCCCGCCTTCCCTCCCATCCCCGTCTTCACCGTGTCGATCGCCACATCCCTGGAACAGAGAATGCACTGTTGTAGCCCCGCGTCCTGGGAAACAAACTCACTCAGAAGGACAATGCAGATAGTGGAGTGCAGTTTATTACACCGGCGGGCCCAAGGCAGAGTCTCCTCTTAGCCAAGGACCCTGACCAGTTTTTGTGAAAACCTTATATACCCTAAGTGTACTTGCTCAAACCAACCTCCCCAGATTCCTTGAAACTTAGTCTGGAAAAGGTAAAAGAGAGGTTCGATCAAAGTTAACCCATGATTCAGGTGTCACAAGACTAGATAAACAGTGGATATTTATCAATAGGCCTGTGGTCATATCCCAATAAACGTAATGGAATCTACCACTTTGTTCTGTTACAGAGATAATAAGCATATTCTTTTAGGCAACGGATAGTCCCAGTCCACGTCCTGAGGTTCTTTTATCCGGGGGGTCTGGTTTTCCGTTGGTATGCCATTTCTATAGACAGCAGGCTCAAAGTTCAGAGTCCGTCGGGAAGGGTGACCATGCGTGTAGCCTAATGTTCGCAGCCTGGCCTAAGATGGAGCCCCGCTCTGTCTGTTTCCTCCTTCAGCACACGCGGTGGGGGGGTCTTCCCAGTGGCTCTGAAGGAAAAGCAGACACTGTTCTGCTACAGAGATGAGCCACCTGGTGGCGGCACGGGGCTGGGGGCTCTGAGAACCCCCCACACCATCCGCTCAGAGGCTCCCATCTCCAGCGACAAGGCTGCACAGGGACCCGTGCGGCTGCCGTACACTCCACGTCACCCCGACCCCTCCTCGCCCCAGGGGCAGCCCCTGGGGCAGATGGGGGCATCCTCTCTGTGGTCCCAGCTCTGTCCGAGGTTGCTCACACAAGCACCCCACGAAGCACCTTGGAGTTGAATCACCTCCCCCCACCACCTGCTCCGGTCTCCTGGCTACAGCAGAAGCAGCCACTGCCTTCTACACAGCTTTTCTGCAAAGTACAGGAGGGGCCCTCAGATAATCAACATATGTTTAAGAAACAGGAGCCGTCCAGTTATCTGTGCTGGACTGGTGGAGGGGGGTGGCTTCCAAGATGCTGACTTACAATGCATGCAAGTGAGCGCGTGGGTCCACAGGACCACGGAGCCTCCACCTGCTCCCTGGGACTGGCGCCCGACAGACAAGGTGTGGGGCTAGCCTGCCAGCAAGGGTGTGAGCTCACCCAGCTCGAGGCTGGAGGGCCACAGGGCACACCGGGGTCGGGACCTCAGCGGGCACCTGGGAAACCCGGAGCCCCTCGGCATGGATCCCTTCCTCGTGTTCCGTCTCTGATCCCGACCCCAGCCGCAGCCTTGCTCTAACCGTAACCGACCTTCACCCACTCCCTGTGGACACTGCCAGGCTGTCACAGCAACCACGGGGAACACGAACCATGAAGTTTCCCAAAGGTCACGGGAGAGATTATTAGGAACACAGAGCATTTTGCTCTCCAGGTGCTGCCCTGGGCAGTCTCTGGTCCTTGACCTCCGAGGAGATGCACAACTAGTGTGACCCTATTGGGTTCAGGGGTCAGGCCAGCTCAATGCTGGGTACCGGCAAAGAGAAAGACTGGTGGGGATTCTAACAATATGAGTGAGACCAGGGAGCAAGGGAAGGCCATGAGACAGCTGAGGGAGAAGGGGAGTTCCTCTCCACCTTAAAACACACATGCATGCACGCGCACGCACGCACACACACACACACGCGCGCACCCTTTCCTAAAAGACATCCTGTTCCAACGCTTTCCCCCTTTCAACATTCACAAAGCTGTCACTTTGGAAACTGAGGAATGGGGTGAGTTTCTGCCCACACATCTTTTGAAATGTAGGATTCTTTTGAAAAGAGACAACAGCTCATTTCCTGATGAGTTACCCAGCTCTAGGTCAGAGACTTCCTGTCTAACACTGCGGTGAGGAACCCCTTCCCTGGGCCCTACTGAGCCTGGCTGACAGCGATGGCGAAACGCTCCTCCTAAAAGGGTCCGGCTTCCTGAGCTAGAAGTTCCCATCAAGGCTTTATAAAAGCTAGACAATATTCTATTCAGCCTGGTTTTTCCCAGGGGATGTGTTATATTTGACTAAAATAATGGCAGATCCTGATTCCTGCTGCAGGAAGTGGGGGGCGGGGAGGGGAAGGAAGTCGGAATGAAACAACCCTGGGTCCCCCATCTGTCTGTAAACGAAATGTTCTTACCTGACGAAGGGGACGTGGTACGGGCGCACAAAGATGTAAAGACAGACGCCCACCAGCTGTGCCGAAGTCAAGAGAATGTACCGATGAGAGCGCGAGATGGCTTTCTGGAGCTGCTCACCCCACATCTTCCTGTTGGTGGTACTGGAGAAGAGAAAGCAACGATGCTATTCAGTTAGCTGGACGCAGGATCTCCCACCTGGAGACTCCTCCAGCCCTGAGCTGGTTCATTTTTACCAAACTGACATCGTATCACTTGCACACCTGCATTGGTGCCCTGTGAGCCTCAATCCCTATAGTGGACTATCCGCGTATCTCTGGTTGTGTTCCGCACATCCCCTCTAGCCCTGCCACCTGCCACCCAGCACAGGGCCTTACTCATAAGACCTCCACGTGTGCGTGCTAAGTCACTTCAGTCTTGTCCGACTCTGTGACCCCACGGACTATATGTAGCTGGCCAGACTCCTCTGTCCATGGGATTCTCCAGGCAAGGATATACTGGAGTGAGTTGCCATTTCCTCCTCCAGGGGAACCTCCCTGGACCAAGGATCAAATCAGAGTTTCTTAGGTCTCCTGCATTGGCAGGTGGGTTCTTTACCACTAGACCTCCGAAGAACCAGGTTTTATTATTAGTTCAGAAAGTGCCTTACAATGGACTAGGAACAAAAGAGTCCAGCTGAGTTCATACCAAATGCTAATCCAGTGGTTTTCTTTCCTTTCTAGGGGTTTCTTAGAAACCTCGCCCTCTTACCTTTCCCCAGGAAATGTGAGTCAGTCCCCGCCCAGCCCAGCCCAGCCCACGCCCTTGGGGCTCAGACACACGGCAGGCAGTGGCAGCGTGGTGACTCAAACCTCCAGGCCAGGCAGCGGCAGCTCCCCCACCCTTCCTTCTATTCCCTCAATCAGATCGCAGGCAGCAGCACCAAGGGCCGCAGGTTAGTGGCCGCCCTGGCTCAGGACCTTACACCCCAGGCCTGGCCGCCCACCTGGCGTTGACGATGTTCCCAGCACTCAGCTCCACCATCTCTTCGAACCCCACGGCAAATATGTCAGCCGGGCTGCCGCTGTCATCTGCAGAACAAGCAGAAGACAGAGGAAATCAGGCCTGCAGGGGCGGTGCAGGCCAGCGCCCTGCGGCCTGGGCAAGCCCTCCCGGCCACAGGTGAGCACACGTCCACCTCCCTTCAGCTCCCACTGTGCGCACGGCCCTCCCCTGCCTGCATCCCAGGAACATTGCTGACCTCTCTGTGGCTTGCTCTGCAAAAGGGACGGTTTAACGGTCACCCTGAAGGGTGGTTGTGAAGTCAGAGGACACGTGGAAAGTGCCTGGACTCATAACTTCCATGCCAGCAGACCTGCCTGCCCCCCATCCACCACCCACTATGCCCGAAGCTCCCCGGGGGTGGGGGGCACTGGCACAAACCTGCGTGCTCCTCAGTCTCACAGCCCTGGGCCAGCCCCTCTGGGTTAATATCCGACTGGGGTCCTCTCCCAGGGGGCTGGTGTCCTGGGGGTCAGGGGATGGACCTGCTCTGATGAAGTCTGCCCCAGAAATGCTGGTTTACAGACCGCAGAGCTAGCAGAGGGGCTTCTCATCAGCTCTGTGTTCAGCTCTTCCTTCCCTCTAACGGGGGGCCTTCGGTGAACAGACACCCTGGAGCCACCTGCCACATCCCTCTCGACGAGCCCTAAGCCATCCCCGTGTCTCCGAGCCGTGTCCTTGCAGTACCCTGCCCCCCGCCCCATGCAGACAGGCCACGGACAGTGGGAATGGGGCTCTGGGCTCTGATCATCTTCAAGGTACATTAGTGAGCGCCCCACCTGCCCCCAGCACTGCACATAGCAGGCAGGGAACTGGCCCACGAGGCTTTCCAGAACCCATATAAGCAGGAGAAAAGTCAAAGGCCTAGATAAATGGCTGACTCTCAGAGAAAAAGCATGTGTTTGCATCCTGACCTCTAAGGCCTTGCATGACATAGGATAAAAGGTGAGGTGTCCAACCTCGCCATTATTTTATTCTTAAAAGGGGACACAACTGCTTCGTGACTGCTCAAGCAGACACGTGTCAACACAGGGGGTCTGGGAAAAGGCGGAGTGTATGTCCTGGGTCAGGGCGTGGGCCCAGCCAGGCATCTCACTCACTTCTTACAGCCCAAAGGTTCTAGTCATCGAAACTGAAAAAGTGCAAAATCTACGTGTGAAGAGAAAAGCGAGATTCACCGCTTGGGTAACCCTTCCAAACATTTGGAAAGGACAAGGTGCCACATATGTAACTTGCCAGCCATCTTCTGGAAAGTCAGACCACAGCGTTTGCTAAATGTTCTGAGGAGCGAGACGGCGCCCAACTTCCCACCTGTGGGCGAGGCCCGCAGCGAGGGGGATCTACACCTGTCACCCCGACCCAGCTGCACTCACCCGGGGGTCCAGCGACTCGGCACAGCGAGGGTGCGTCCAGCAGCCAGTCGGCCAGCTCGGCGGTGCCCAACAGGTTACTCCTGAATTGCTTCCCGCCGTTCACGTTCCAGGTGCCCACGGCCACGCGCACCGGCTTGAAATTCGTGAACTCCGACTGGCGCTCCGACATGGCTCTCAGGATCTTGGGAGTCACTATCGGGGGCACAGAAAGGGCATGTCTGGCTGCACCCCGATCCTCATGCATTTCCCCCGCACCCCCAGAAACCCAGCCAGGCCTGCTGCCGGAGAGGGACGCCAAGGCCATCCACAGGGACCAGTGGCCGTGCCTTATGAGGATGAGGCTAAATCCCACCATGAGCAGAGCACCTCCCTGAGGTCCTTCTGCTGCAAGGTCCCCTCCACACCCTTCCCCCTGCAGAGCCACACGGGCTGTGACGTCAGGTCACAGGGACAAGCATCCTCCGCGGTCACTCCACAATCCCACGGGAATTTCATCAACGGGCTCCCTGCAGCTTCCCCCATGGAACTACGGCTCTGACACCCACCTTTGCATTCTTCCCCTTCCAGTCCAAGCACCAGCAGCAGTTTGTTCTACCCCAGACTCCAGCCTTTTAAAAACCATTACTCTGAACCCGGTCCATCCTCTAGATGGCCAAATATATTCCATTTTTTAAACCAGGCACTTAACCCAAATCTCCATCACAAACACTCTGCTATGAAATGAGACGCAGTGTACTACCCACAGTTTCTTTCCACTTGTCCTGAGGTGGCCTTGTCTCCAGGGTTGACACGAACGTCACCTTGGCTATCAGAAGCCAAATAGGAATCTCCCCAGTAACGGAGGAATAAAAGCAGAAAAGGGGTGTGAAGCCATTTTCAGCATGGGCAAACTAATTTTTCAAAAACCCCCAAAATTTCTAAGAGTTATACACCTTTATAAGGAAAACTGCTAGGTTTCCCCTTCTTTTCCACGAACCCTATAATGTTTTACAGGCTCTAGGAAAGCGGTCCCCAACCTTTTTGGCATCAGGGACCAGTTTTTGTGGAAGATAGTTTTTCCATGGACCAGGGCAGGAATGGGGTGGAGTGGTTTCAGGATGACTCAACTGCATTACATTTATTGTGCACTTTATTTGTATTATTGTTAGATCAGCCCCACCTCATATCATGAGGCATTAGATCCTAGAGGTTGGGGACCCCTGCTCTAGGGGAGAGTAAAAGTGTTAGTCGTTCAGTTGTGTCCAACTCTTTGCAACCCCACGGACTGTAGCCAACTGGGATGCTCTGTCCGTGGGATTTTCCAGGAAAGAATACTGGAGTGGGTTGCCATGCCCTTCTCCAGAGGATCTTCTTGATCCAGGGATTGAAACCCAGGTCTCCTGCATTGCAAGCAGATTCTTTACATCTGTGCAACCAGGGAAGCCCTAGGAGGTAAGAAGCCACTAAAAATTTCCCAAAGAAACCCCCAACTCACTTTTATGTGGAATCTTCAACACATCCCCACACACGTGCCTACAGACATATACAAACCTTAAGAAAAAATGAACTCACAGATGCAGAGAACAGTTGCCAGAGGCTGGGGTGGAAGTAAGGGGCAGTGAATCAAGGTGGTCAAAAGGTACAAACTTCTAGCTATAAAATAAGAAGCCTGGGGATGTGATGTACAGAGCGATAATTGTGGCTAACAGCACTGTATTATACATTCAAAAGGTGCTGAGAGTAGATCTTAAAAATACTCGTCACAAGGAAAAAAAAAACTTTTGTAACTATGTGTGGTAATGGATGTGAACTAGAATTATCATGGTGATGACCAACCCAGATAGCATATTAAAAAGAAGAGACATTACTTTGTCCACAAAGGTCCATCTAGTCAAGGCTATGGTTTTTCCAGTAGTCCTCTATGGATGTGAGAGTTGGACTATAAAGAAAGCTGAGCGTCGAAGAATTGATGCTTTTGAACTGTAGTGTTGGAGAAGACTCTTGAGAGTCCCTTGGACTGCAAGGAGATCCAACCAGCCCATCCTAAAGCAGATCAGTCCTCAGTGTTCATTAGAAGCACTGATGTTGAAGATGAAACTCCAATACTTTGGCCACCTGATGCGAAGAGCTGACTCATTGGAAAAGACCCTGATGCTGGGAAAGATTGAGGGCAGGAGGAGAAGGGGATGACAGAGGATGAGATGGTTGGATGGCATCTCCGACTTGATGGACATGGGTTTGGTTAAACTCTGGGAGTTGGAGATGGACAGGGAGGCCTGGCGTGCTGCAGTTCATGGGGTCGCAAGGAGTCGGACACGACTGAGCGACTGAACTGATTTTGCAACACATACAAACCGCAAATCATTAATGTTATACACCTGAAACTAATATGTCAAGTATAACTAATTAAAAAAAAAAGAAAAAAAGAAAGAAACCTCCAGCTACTGAGGGAACCATGACAGTCCTGTCCCTAAGCGTGGAAGGCAGCCTACCTACTGGAAGATTTCTAGGGTCCCAGGTCATAACAGAAACAGGAGGCTACCCTCAGGGGAAAGTCCCCACAAATGACACGTGGCAATGGGACCAAGAACGCTTTCTGGTGAGAAAGATCCCTGGAGTAAGTTAACATTCAAAGACATCAGTTCCTGGGGAGCCCACTCTCTCTCTCCCAGCCTCTCGGTTTAGAAAACAGTCCAAACTAACAAAGAAGGAGCGTGAGTACTTCCATGAGTCCAGAAGAACAGGCTCCTGGGAACCAGAGTGACAGCTGGTACCATGTAAATAATTTTATCTTCTGTATATTGTGGAGCTCGACCTTCGGGGTGGGGAGGGACTGCTCCTCCTGGGGTTAAGCCAGTTCTCAGACTCAGCCAGAGCCTGTTCTGCACACACAACCACTCCTGAGCTGCGCCTCCTCTTTCCGGCCCCCACTCCCTGGAGGCAATGTCCTCCCAACAAGGAGATCCAACCAGTCCATCCTAAAGGAAATCCACCCTGAATATTCACTGGAAGGACTGATGCTGCAGCTGAAGCTCCAATACTTAGGCGACCTGATGCAAAGAGCTGACTCACTGGAAAAGAACCTAATGCTGGGAAAGATTGAGGGCAGGAGGAGAAGGGGGCAACAGAGGATGAGGTGGTTGGATGGCATCACAGACTCAATGGACATGAGTCTCAGCAAACTTGGAGATAGTGAAGGACAGGGAAGCCTGGTGTGCTGCAGTCCATGGGGCTGCAGAGTCAGACACAACTGAGTAACTGAACATCATGATCCCTGGACAAGGTACCATCCACGTAGAGCCCATGACTGTAGCCCAAAGCTCCACAGAGTTACTCCAGCCAGCTAGTGCCACACTGTCTACCCTGCCCAGCTTTTCCTATGAAAACCCCAATAACAACCATGGCTTAAGCGCCCTTCTGCCTTCTGACCACCCTGGGGTTCTCTATGTGGCCTCACGCAGCATCTCCAGGACTTGCGAGGGAAATGACTGTGTTCTCCTGAGCCTCTCCTCAGCCTCTGCTTGCAGCTGCACCTGGCTGAGCATCTCACACAAAACACGGCAGCTGGCCGCTTAGATCAGCGGGTCAGACCATGAGACGGGTCAAGCTGGGGTCAAGGATCAGATTCTGAGCACAGAAGCTCGCTTGCTCAGGGGCTGCCAGCCACACGTCATCTAGGAGTATGTGAGGGTAGCCAGGCTGGCTGGACTCGCCACATGCCCTCTGGATGGCAGGGCAGCCAGACGCGTGCCAGCCCGCCCAGTCCCAGGCGAGCGGGAGCCCCTCACCCAGCAGGGCCGGGTTGTCCAGCAGCGTCCTCCCTTTGTCCGCAGACTCCTCGCTATAGACGTCCCCGACCAGCAGCAGCCTGATGGCCTCCTGCTTCACCCCGTCGAAGAAGTTGGACTGGATCGTGCGAGACACGGACCGGGCTCCGTCCTTCAACTTGCCCACCTGCCACCGGCCAGACAACGGACAGACAGACAGCCGTGAGAGGGGCCCGCGTGGGCCCCCACCTGCCCACCACCCCCGGGGGCCTGGCCCTACCTTGGCCTTCCCCTCCAGGGCCCGGCTGCCCGTGAACATCTTGCTCAGGCTATGCCCGTTCAGAGACCACATGGCCTTGAAGGACTCCACGAAGCGGTCAGCGATGGGCCTTGAGTTCAACCCGAGGCTCTCGAGCTGCAGATGGAGGACCTGGGAGAGGCAGAGGGGCCAGCGGTCACTGATGTCCCCCCCAGAAGCTGCCCACGGCACCATCCCGCCGTGAGCTCCTACTCAGGGATTGCGGGGCTGACTCTGCGCCCTCAGAGGACAGGGCCCCCTCGCAGCGGAGGATGGGGCTTCCCGCCACGGTCCATCTGACTTCATCTACACCACCCAGCCCTCCCCTGATGCCCCCAGCAAGCAGGACAGCCAAGGCTGGATGGCGGGCATCACTGACCCCATGCCTCCTCCCAGCAGGGAGCCAGAAGAGGTCATCCGGGCAGCAGGCTGCAAACCCAGCCTCACCTTCAGGCAGCCTTACTCTGCCTTCATCCATGGAAAGGTGCACAACAATCCCTACACCCTATCTTTTCTCCAGGTGTCACCTGTGGACCACTGTGTCTCGGGTGCCTTCCGAAGAGCGTGTGAAAGGCCCATCACGTCACCGGCCACCTGGCCACTCAGTGAGACCCCTCTCTAGATGTCGGGCACATGGCTGTCCCCTCCCCACAGTGACCACAAGAGCCCATGAGGGTGCTGAGCCCAGCCCATCCCCCGACGGCCCAGGACAGGTCACGGACGGCCTGAGAGACAAACCTCGAGGGCGATGAAGCTTTGCACCGCGTTGGTTCGGTCCAGGCAGTCGAGACAGTTCATCCGCAAAGTGCCTTTCTGAAAACTTAGGAAACCAATGGATACGAGTTACAAGTTGTGCTGGAAGAAGCCGTGGCTATGGCACAGTGGCCTGTGGGGCTGCAGGCCCCCAAGGAAACTCGTCAAGAGAGGACCCCTCACCTCCTGCCTGGTCGCCCACCACCACGGAGAGCCCACTCCTGCAGCCCGGAGTCACCAGCATGACGCAGACGAGCAGATCCTAGGCTGCCTACCTGGCTCTGTCTTTCCCACGGAAACCCCAGTGGAGGCTCCCCGACGGTACACATCACAGGTCTGCCCACCGGTGGAAGCAGGAGCAGTGAGGTCGGGGGGCGGTGCATTCCTGGGAGAGGCCCGCCCCTTGGCCAGCCCACCCGGTGGGAGGACAGGACACAGCTGAGACTCACCGGGGACTTACATTCTTGCCCCTGGTGAACACGTCAAAGTCATCCCAGTGCAGCTTCAAGTGGGGCCGCAGGAGGTTCTCCAATTTCTCAAGCTTCCCGCCTTTGGCAAACTGATGGAAGTCAAAGTTGATCATAGGCGTGTCGCCAGCGTGGCAGGAAGCCCACAGCAGCTTCTGAAAGGGGATGGGAGAGGGTGGCAGGGCATCTGACCACTTAACTGCATCACTCATCAGGGCCCGGGGGCTCGGCCTGAAGGGTTAGGTGGGACCAGGTGGTTAACCAGCCCTGACCCGGAAAGGGGCAGCACAGAACACGACCCCAGGGACGAAACCACAAAGCACGTCTTGCCTGCAGAAAGGCTGGAGGTCCACCTCAGACAGAAGACAGCCAGACTGTGGCTCTGTGGCTCTGTGACTCTGCCCTGTGCCTCCTCGGGGCAGCCCTGGGCCCAGCAGGGATGTCACCTCCCACAGGGCTCTCCGGAGGGTGCCCGCGGGGAAGGACAGCTCCGTTCTGCAGGGCCCGCAGTGCCCAGCACCCCAGGACCTGGGGCAGTGAAGCAGGTTGCGGAGCTCATAATCCAGCTCCCGTTGCCCTGGTAACCAGTCTCATCCCTACAAACCAAGCCTCCAGGAGGGTCCTCCAGGCCGTCTGGGGATGAGGGGAGGTCCGGCCCAGTGAAACCCCAGGGTGAAGGAGACAGGGGCTTCCGGGCCTCCTGGGGCTTGGATCCGACAGGTGAGCTGGACTGAAGGTGGGGCCGGAGGTGGGGAAGCACGCAGGTGGGTGCCGGGCAAAGGTCTGCCCTCCACACCAGGTACCCCAGCGCTCTCACCAGGCAGCCCTGGGGGCCAAGGATGATGCGCTGCCATCCCAGGGCACCCTCCCGTGTCACTTCAGGTCAGACTTGTCCACCACATGGTCAGACTTGTCCACCACGTGCCCAGCCAGTGTCTAGTCCTTAAAGGGCTAGAAGGGCTTTGGGTGGTCTGGTCCCTACGACTCTGAGGGCCTGTCCCCCACACATTAGATGCAAATCAACACACAACCATCGGTATCAAGGTTGTCTTGCTGTGAGGTCATCAGCTGACCCAAAGCAGGCACGCTCGGTGGCTTCGTGAGCTGAAGTGCCTTGTCCCCTGTGGCCCGAGAGCCACGGGACACAGACCAGCTGCCGGTGTGTGGACCTCAGCAGGGCGGAATCGACAGGCTGTCGAGGGAACTCCTTTGCTGTGACTCCAGTGGGGACCGTGACCCAGGCTCTCCAGGTAGTATCTGCCTCTCAGCTCCTCCCTGCCCAGAAGCCTGGCCTCCTCTGCCTCTCAGCTCCTCCCTGCCCAGAAGCCTGGCCTCCTGCACTGGGTCCCAGGTCTGCTGTCGTCATTTGTCTTTCTGGCCCAGGGGGCCACCATCTGCTAGGATCAGCTAAGACCACCTTCTCCCCAAAATCGAGGCACAAAGGGGGAAAGATTCTTCAGGGTTTTTTTTTTCCCCCCTTCTTCTATCTTAAAATAAGCTGCCAACACTGCTGCCAAGATGGATGGGAGGGGAGATACTTGTCAAGCTTGTTGCCCATAGCAACAAACCAAACAGGAAAAGCAGGTCTGGCCAAGTGAAACTGGCCACCAGAAAGTCTGCTTCAAGCACGGGGCTTCCCCAAGCAGCGGGAAAGGCACACCCAGTGGATTCAGCTTCCACTGGCCAGGGGCCAGGACCACAGGGGACACGCTTCCTGTGAAGTGAGGGCTGACTTCACACTCTCCATAAGGGGCTTCCCTGAGCTCTGAACAACCACAGGGTTTTTTTCTTTCCCATTCAGCAGGGGACACAGGCTGAAAGAACTGTGTAGGCCCGCAGCCCACTCAGTCCAGAGAAGGCTGAATGCACACGGGGGCACTGGGGACAGGGAGAGATGCTTGGAGGTGGGTGGAGCCTTCTGCTCATGGTCCCCTCCCCATCCAGGGCTTCTCGCTGCACCTTCTGGAGGGGTGGCGGGGGGCGGGGGGGAACCGTGCCAAAAGTCACAGGGAATCCACAGAGAGCTGGGGACAGTGAGCAGCTTCGGGGAGGCAGCCCAAACAAGGCTGGATGACGACTCGAAGGCTCCAAGTTCACAGGAGGAAATTATGTTAGGCTGCTCGAGTTAAACCCAGCAGGGGCTCTGAAGAGCTACTTAGGCACAAGTGTCCTGTGGGTGTTTGTGTGGACTTGCCAGTGGCTGGGACCACCCGCCGAGGGGGTCAGGGATGCACGGGGTGGAGCCCAAACATACGCGTGCATGCATGTATGTGTGCACGCGTGTGTATGTTCGTCCAAGAGTGATGGGGAAAGGCCCGGCCGTGCTGAGTCCTCAATGACCTCAATGACAGTGGGAGAAAAGGCAGCTGGAGCTAGGAGATGCTCTGTTCTCCTTGTTAGCAGATTCACCCAACCATGGCTTCACGAAAATTAAACTTCATTCGTCAGGAGCCCAGATCACTTAATGCTGAAGCTCTGATGGAAAAAAATCTCCCCAAACATGGGAGAGCAGGCCGCCATCTCCAGTCCCCAGGGAAGCCCACCCTGAGCAGGGCGCCCCCCACCCCCTCTCCTGGCCTCGCCCCAGGGCGGGGAGCCTGTTACCTTGAAGGCTCTGTTGAGTACTTCCTCTCCACCTCTGCTGCCCAGCAGGTTCACGACCACCTGCTTCCCATATTGCTCCTTCAGAAGCACCATATGCCTACAACAGAGCAGGACAGTCGGTGATGCCCCGCCCCTGGGGCACACACTGACCCCGCCCTCGAGGGCCCCCGCTGGGCACTAGTGGTCCAGGATGAGCTGGCCCCAGGAAAGGCAGAGGCCGAGAGGAACAGCAGATCAGACTTCTGAACGCGCATGGGGTCAGACAAGGATACGCCGGACTTCTATACAGTACCCCTGTAAATCCAGAACTGCTAACCTGCCTCTCATCAACAGAGCCTCATAAACGCAATGTGCGTATCTCCAAAGTTAATCTATTTCACCTGGTACTTTCTCAAATCTAGAAAAACCGGTAGGGGAGCCATCAACCTCGGGGCCCAGTCTTTTCATCTAAGTGCTGCATTTCGTGAGGTTTAACCTCAGCAAGAAGGTTATAAGAAAATTTCCATCTTTAGGAAAATTCTTTGCATATCAGAGACTATTACACATATACTGAAATAGCAGGGGGAGACACCAATATTCTTACCACCAGCTATTGAAAAGTAACTATAATTTTACTAATGTTAGAAATAGTTAAATGTAGCTTTTAAAAAAAATAGGGAAAAGACATAATGCAAAAAACAGACATAAAACTGATTTAGTAATGCAATCTTTACATCTGAAACTAGAAAAAAATTGGAAGACAACACAGGACAATGTTAAAAGTGGTGGAGTTTTATGTGCTTTTAGATTCTTTTCTTTAAACAGTTTTGCATTTTCCCAGTGTCTACAATAACATTTCTCATAAATGGAATATCTTAAAGTTAATCATCAGAAAAGAACCATTTTGGCCCCACAAGCAGGAAAAAAAAAACAACACAAAAAACCTGTCTTACTAGCTCTGAGGGACAACACCGCAGAGAAGAACAAGGATTTGAAAATGGGCAGTCTATGCTGCTCTGCAGATGGCTGACGATAAGCCTGCCTGCTCATCTTCAGATGAGCTTCTGTCTCCGTGGAGAGGAATTCTCCCAGGGACATGGTCCTGGCAACCCTGCCTTGCTGCAGTCCCTCCCCCAGGAAGATGCAGGGCTGGATCAGATCTGGGCGATGGGAGCCTTCACAGAAGCCAGCACGCTGCGCCCCGTCCCTGAAGACAGGCGGCCCTGTGGGGCAGGTGCTGGAAGAACAGGACATGCGTGGCCTGGCCACTCTGGGCTCTGTGGTTCTTCCTGCCCAGAGAAGGTGCGTCCTGGATTGAGGTCTGACATGTGGAGTCAGAGCAAGGCCTGCTCAGGTGAGGAGTAACATGCTAATTGGGGGACACAGGTGGGCTGGTATTATCAATTTTAAGATGAAGAAGAAGGCTGCAAGCCAATTTAAAGTCCAAATGAAACTTCAGGTAGCATGATTAGAACACTTAAAAAATTACTTTGAAAATTATTATTATAGCCATTAAGATCATTTTAAAATTAGCATTCAGAGTAAAAACAACATATATTTTAAGAAGCTAATAACTTTCAAGTACAAATTACCAAGAGTTCAGGTTAGTGATGGCTTTTCTTAAGCTAGCTGAAAAATAGGAAGCACGCAATGATCCAATCTGTGTTTTAAAAAATTAACTATGTGTGATCCAGAATTGAGAAGGGGATGACAGAGGATGAGATGGTTGGATGGCATCACCGTCTCGACGGACACAAGTTTGAGCAAGTTTCAGGAGTTGGTGATGGACAAGGAAGCCTGGTGTGCTGTTGTCCATGGGGTCACAAACAGTTGGACATGACTGAGCAACTGAATTGAACCAGAATTTCTTCCAGAATGACACATAAAAACTAACAGTGGGAACTGCGAGTTAGGGCACTTCTGCCTTTTCCCTTATACCTTTCTATACCATGACTTTGTAAAGCCTCGGAATTACATTACTTCAAAAACAAAATGAAACTGGCTTAGAAATACCCTATAATTTAGATGATCCCTTATTAACTATGACAAATAGATAAGAGCGTCACTGCAAAAGGAATGGATAAAACAATTGCAAAGTGTTACCTGAGCAGTTTATTAATAAACCTGCAGGGGAACCTGAGAGCAAGGAAAACATTCCATTTTGTAAACTGCCTTTTGGCAAAAAGAACCAGAATGAAAGGCAGATTCAGAGTACAGATTTGGGGTCTCCCCCTTCTGGCCACTCCCTGGCCCCCAGTCCCACTGTCTGATAGGAGGAAGGATGGACTTGACGACCCTACCTGTCGAAGGCAGGGGCGCTGGCCTCCAGGCCTCTGCTGAGTCTCAGATGATGGGAGCCAACCTAAATCAAAGAGAGACGACGCTGGTGAGTCCTCCGGCCCAGGACGCAATCTCCTTTCCGTTCACCCTCCGCCACCAGCCAGGCCAGAGCAGCAGCCCCTCAGTCCCTCCATGCTCTGTTTGTAGCTCAGGTCGGCCAGGCCCTGAACCCGAGTCCGGCTCTGCTCTGGCCCTATCCTAAGTGCCGCATGGACCACGCCGGCTGGACTCATCCACAGCAGACAGACCACGAGGCCCACGGTGGATCCACAAACCCTTCCGTGGGGCAGAGATGCGGCCCAGCCAACCGGGAGAGAGAAACCAGCCTCCAGACTCTTCTGCGAGGCCAGGCACCTCGACTGCCCCTCAAATCTGAGCTGTCATAACTACCCGCAAACAAATCTGCCTTACTGTCTAGAACTACTTAGTTCACATCGGCAGCTTAAAACGCAAACTTGAAACTAGGCGGTTATTGGTGGAGGGCCTCTGTCGCTGGACAAATCTAAGACAACCTGATGTGGAACAGTGTTAAGGACAGTAGTGGATTATAACCTGATGAATAGAACAGGAATCCAGGAACATCTACAGAGGCGAGCTGGCTGGCTGGCTGGATGAGTGGATGGATAGATGGATGCGGGCAGGTGGGTGAGGAGGTGGCCGCCTGGCGAGATGGCTAGTGGGGATGGATAGAAGGGAGGGTTTTTACAGCAAATACCAACCAATAAGCACAGAGGGAGTGATGGGAAATCATCGCCTTATAACCATCCCAGGAAAAAACTGTTCAGCAAAAATCATCCATTGACCACACATCTTAAAGGGAGTTTGTTGAGGAGTAGAATATTTGCATGGTCACAAAGTGTCTCCCGTAAATCGCTTCTTGGTTGAAAAATAAGACATATTAAACAGAGAAACTGAAGAACACCTTACCCAGGTGATCGAAAGTAACATCACGGATGAGGGGCCAGGGACACTGTGGGCTCCCAGACGGGACGGACTTTCTGAGGACATGGTCCTTGGGCAGAAGTGGGCCTGGGATGCTCTCTGGAAGGTCACCCTTCCTCCGTCACCAGGACAAGCCTTTAGTCCGGCTGCCCGAGGCCTCACGTCCTGCCTCCTCATGCTGGGCCCTGCCTCTGCCCCTGCCTGGCTCGGACACTGACCTGCAGCTCTCCTCTCCAATGTCACTTAGTCCTAAGGCCGCTGTGGGTCAGAGCTGCAGGGAGCAGCTTCTGGCAGGGCTGGAAAGAAACCGCTGCTGGCCCCGCACACAGGAACTAACCTCGCTGCTTTTTTTAGTCTCCCTCCTCCTCCTTCACCCACCCTCCTTCCCCAGACAGCTGGACGTGTGGCCAACCAGCCCCGTCTGGCCCCTAAAGCCAGAGGTGCGATCCTAAATGCTCCAGGTTGAGCCTAAGGGAATGGCTGGAAGAACAGCGCCTGGCTGGGTGGACACGGAGTCTCCACCAGCTCTTGAGAGGGTCCCAGAGCCACAAAGGGCGTCTCTGAACATCTCCCCGCCCTTCCCCTAGTTAAAGATGCCAGCCCCTCTGGTCTGGATCCTTGCAATCCTCCTACCTGGTGGCTTTACCTTTATCTTCACAAGCCATGGTGTGTCCCAGCTCCACGGTTAAGCCGTTGGCTTTAAATCAGCCATCATGGGATTATTTATACTACAAAAACGGGCAAGGGCAACAAACCCAAACTTCTCCCTCCTGGCCCCAGAAAAACTGGTTTACCACCATAACCTTGAGTGGGTCCCAAGCCTTCTGCACACTGGAACCATCTAAGCATCTTCAAAACAGCATGGATGGCTGCTCCCGCCCGTGGTGATATGACTGGGAAAGCACGTGCCCTAAGCACCAGGAATTTTATGAGCTGCCCAGCGGTTTTCACGTGCAGCAGTTTGGGCCCCACTGGGGCAAAATTCAAACTTCTCAGTGTAATGTACAAAGCCCACCTTCATCGGGACCTCGCTGGCCTCTCCAGCCTCACCTTTCACCACAAGCCTGTCCCCCAGGCCGAGCGGTAGGTGGCCGAGCCAGCATGGTTCCTGGATGTGGCCTGACACAGGGGTTGCAGCATCTGCGTCGTGGTCCCCTCTGCCTTCCTGGCCGGGGTGATCCCACTCCATCCCTCCCGGGTGAGTTCAGACACCCACCCCCGCAGCACACGGACTTAAGCTGCCCTCTCCCAGCTCTGCTCACACCACACCATCATGTCCCGTCCCCTCCTCCCCGATGGCGGGGGCAACCTCTGGTGTCAAGTGTCTGAACGTACCGGACGTGCGATGAGAGTCTGCAGGATGAATAAATGGCTTCCCCGGGGGTGTGTATGAGGGCTAGGTGGTGGAAGAGCCAGGAGACTGGTCCTCGCGCTGCACGTGAACTCAGAGAGGTGAGGACACTGTCGCTACACCACACAGCATCCTCGTGGGGACTTAGTATGAAACTCCTGCTCGACTCACAGGACGCAAAGAGCCACACCTCTCCTGGTGCAACTTGGGCTTTTGTCTCTGCGTGTGTCTCTTTCCGACCCTATGGACTGTAGCCCGCCAGGCTCCTCCATCCATGGGATTTCAGGCAAGAGTACCGGAGTGGGTTGCTATTTCCTTCTCCACATCTTACAGGGAGGAAGACGCTAAAGCAACAAGAGCAGCAAAGTCTTCTAACGAACCCTATATAAAAACATAACTAAAGAGACCAGACCGGAAGAGCAACTAGCTTTCGATGTGGCCCTTTATAAACAGCACAACTTGCTGACGTGACAAAGATGAACTGTGAAAGGAATGTGGTTGTTGGAAACAACCAAGTCAGGACCCAGGAGTTTGCAAGGAAGGTCCTGGGCCTGTGAAACGTGTAGACAAATCACCATCCACAGACCTCTCTGCATACCCCCATACCCCACCTGACCACCCCACCACCCCACCAGAGCTCAACTGCTCCCTGGGGCAAGTGTAAAGGCTGCAACATTGCAACTTAAAAGGCAAGCTATTCACCCCCAAATCTTTGCACTGTTCATCTAACCTAAGTGAAGATGGAGTGAGAGTTTTTCAAAATGGAAAAAACCACCAGGACTGATCATCAGACTTGCTACTGATAGTCCAAGTAAGGTGACTGAGAGCTAACGCCCTGCAAAGAGGATCTCATCTGCCTCCGACGTGGAATAATATTTAGAGGGTAAACACGGGTAACAAACCCAAAGGTTAGAAAATCCTTAAGATGCATGAACACTGAAGTCTTTTGAAACTTATTTTGAAGAAACCACGAAGGCTGTGGAGGAGCCTTAACAAGCGTGATGAGTCTAAGAGGTGCTATAGCCACAGAAAAGTGAGCCACCCAAGGTCCACAGATGCTGGTCCAAGTCAGACTGGGAGATGGTTGCTCCATGACAGGGTCAGGCTGCATCGAGAGCATCTGCGGGTTCAACGTGAAGACTGAAATTAAAGGGAATGACAAGCTTTGTTTTCAGAAGAGGGAGACCAGAGCGTGGAGAGTCCTAGAACAGACAGAGAGGGTGAAGGAGGGTCCTGGAGAAGATGAAGTGGAGAAAGGGGAACCATGAAGGTCCGAGGACGCAGACTTCGTGTGGCAACTATGCAAGGCAAGGAGAAACTAGCTGATGATGATGATGATGATGATGATGATGGAGCCATCCCAAATCATGACCTCGAGCCTGGAAGAGGAACCCCAAACTGGGTGAGAGGCTGAAACGGATGAATTTCTAAAGGTCCTTCCCAAATTCTAAGATGCTCTCATAACCAACCGCCCCCCCCCAGGAAAACTCCACATCTAAAGAAAATTAAACTTCAAAACCTCTTTTAGAATGTCTAGAATAGGCAAATCATAGAGACAAAAAATAGATGAGTGGTTGCCGAGGCCTTGGGTAGGGCTGGAGGGAATGGGGAGTGACCACTGATGGGCGCAGGATTTTCTCGGTGGTGAAGAATGTGTTCTAAAATTAGACCACAGTGATGGTTACACAACTCTGTAAATGGACTAAAACCCAGAGAACTGCACACTTCACAGGCTTCTCCGGGGTTCTCTGTGTAAATTATATCTCAGCTGAGCTGTTTAAAAACACAGCTCTCTCGGGACAGGCTCCAGAGAACACTCCATCCGTCCCCGGGAGTGCCTTTCTCTGCAGCCACTTAAAGCCACCAGCTGCCGCATGCGTCTTAGGTGTTCCTTTCTGTTGGAGAAACTGTATGTTCTCAGAGCGTTTCCCAAAGAACTCAGAGCCCCATGTAAGACATTCGCCCACCTGTCTCCCCGAAGGGTAGACAAGCTTCCTCTCCACGGCTGCCAACTGCATGATGACAATGTGAGGGCAAGGTGCCCACAGCTGAGGCCAGGTCAGGTCAAGGGCAGTGAGACCCAGCGTGTCCAACGCTCCCAAGGACCTGGAAGGTGGCCCTGGGCCTTGAGCCCTCGGGAAGAAGGGCCAAGGCCATGGAAGCCTGGCACAGGGGTCTCCTGAGGGCACCCATGTCCCCTCTGGCCAGGCAGGAAGGTCCAGGGGGATTGGCATGGAGGGATCTCAGGTCCACATGGCCCAGACCCTCCCGGGTAGGAACTCACTCAATGGGGCTGTGTGCTGTTCGGTTGACAACAAATGTGTACTTGGCCTTACACCCTGAACACTTCCCAGGAGACACGAGGCCAAACAGCCCTGGCACCACCTAGAGCCCCATGTGGGACAGCGAGGGGTATTTTTAGAAATCACGAGAAACCTGTGTGTAGTTCTCACATGTCCCAGCAACAGGCACCTCCAAAGGCCAGACCTGCCGCACAGCCGCCGGCGCCCCCAAAACCTTCCAAAGCTTCCCAGGAGGGTCACAGGTCTCAAAGGACATCGAAGGCCACGTTCTCAACGCACTGAACTGGGGTCTGAGCGAAGGGAATAGCAATCACACGACGTGGTCCACTTACCCACAGAGACCTCCCACCTCACCAGTGTCATCAGGGAGCTCGAGGTGGGAAAATCACACAATATATACAGCATCTCTGTGTACAACCCCACACACACGTGCAATGCTCACACACACACGTGCACAGTCATGCACACGTGCACATTGACAGCTCAGCTCAATCTAGCTGGGCTGGGGAGAAAGACCCGAAACTGTGCCAGGAAAGAAATGCGATGAAACAACCCACACCGGTGTGCAAGAGCAGGTGAACAAGGACATGCCCAGACAGGCTTTCTGATCACTTACCTGAAGCCCTGGCTGCTCCCAAAACAGTGGAACGGAGCCTCTGATCTGGACAAAAGATGACACGCCATCATCCATGTAAATCGTCTGCACCGCAGGGAGACAGAAGGGGAGAGGTATTCTTCAATGAAAGTGAATGTCCCGGGGGCCAGGTAACAGGATCCGGCTGCTGAGACCCGACACCAGCCAGAGCGAAGGGCGGCCGTGGGCTGGGGCGCCCTCTGCCCCTCGCCCCCGCCTGGCCAAGCCGTTCCCCACCCTGCAGGCCAGCCCAACTCACGGGCCTGCTGGCCAACCCCCAGCCTCCAAGGATGGATGGGAATCCCCACAACCTGACCCACCTTCCCCAAAAATCCCCACAGTCCCCTCCCCAGCAGGTTCAGGAACAAAAGCAGACGGGCTCTGGGTCTTAAGACCTTCCTGGAAGCCCTCGACTGCCAGCCAGTCAGCTGGCCAAGCAGCAGGCACCACTGGAAAAGGACCAGAGGAAATGAAAGGAACCAGCAGCGGTGCAAAGCCCTGCTGGCAGCATCTGACCACGCGAGTCCAGACTTGACCTGACCTCACAGTCGGTCCTGGCCCCACGCCGCTGTGCTCCTAACCGTGGCACGGAGTCCACACACACACACTCCTTCCACAAGCTCACACACACACATACCCCTTCCACAAGCTTGCATACACATCCCTTCCACAAGCTTCCATGCATACACACCCCTTCCACAAGCTTACACATACACACTCCTTCTACAAGCTTACGCACACACACACACCCTTCCACAAGCTTACACACAAACACTCCTTCCACAAGCTTCCCCCCCACACACACCCCTTCCACAAACTTACACACACACACACACCCTTTCCACAAGCTTCCAGGGTGCCAGCACCTGCAGGACACAGACGATTCTTGCAAGTTAAAGTATCTCCCCCCAACCCCCACTGCACACAGTTCCTTGAAGGCGTACCAGCTCTCCACCTGCCTGCAGGCCCCCACGGACGCTCTAGCACCAGGGAGTCTAAAAGGACAAAAAGTACGGTCCTGAGCATCATGAGGGGGAGGCTGCGGCAGCTATCAGATGCTGCCCTTTATCTGGGTAACTCTACCCTGGCCTGGCAGGGCCGGCCCAGGTGATGCCGCTGGCCCTTTCCATTTCTTACCGGTCTGCTCCCTCACAGAGTAGCTTTCCATGCAGCTAGATCACACTCAGATCACACATGCATTAGTAATTCTGCAGTGGAGGACCTGAACATTAGACGTGAAGGTTCCCTGGACTACAGGAACCACATGAGTCTGGTCGTCATTAGGTTGGGCTGAAACTCTATCCCTTAATCTCCAAAGGAAAAAATGCACTGGGTTAAGAACTTGTCTGTTTCCAGATACTGATCACCAGCAAGACGGTTACCAGCCACTGTTTTACTGACAAAAGCAGAAGAAAGTTAGCAGGCTCTTCAAGGTGCTGTTGGCTACAAGGAAATTAAATGCATACAACCACACACACGTCCAGACTCTTGAGAGATCACCAATTTGGCCAACATCTCCACGTAAAGGAAACTCGTAACAGAGCCCAGGATTTGGTGTATGCTAAGGACTTCCCTGTGGCTCAGGTGGTAAAGAATCTGCCTGCAGTGCAGGAGACCTGGGTTCGATCCCTGGGTCGGGAAGATCTCCTGGAGGAGGGAATGGCAACTCACTCCAGTATTCTTTCTTGGAGAATTCCATGCACAGAGGAGCCTGGCAGGTTACAGTCCACGGGGTCCCAAAGAGTTGGACATGACTGAACTACTAACACTTTCGCTTTCAAGGAACTATTATCCTTCACTTTATTTTGTTATTTTAGTCACTGAGTCGTGTCTGATTCTCTGCAACCCCATGGGCTGTAGTCCTCCCGGCTCCTTGGTCCATGGGATTTCCCACGCAAGAAAACTGGAATGGGTTGCCATTTCCTTCTTCAGGGGATCTTCCCGACGCAGTGATCGAACCCGTGTCTCCTGCTCTGGCAGGCAGATTCTTTACCATTAAGCCACCCTCACTTTATTTAACAAGCGCTAAAAGCACTACTTCCAGAGTTAGACCACGCCCTTCCTGAGCTGGAACTCACACAGAACCAGCTTCAGGAAAACCCCCAATAGGCAGCCCCAGCACTGCAGACCCCACGCCTGGGGCAGGAAGGAAAGATGCCTCCAGATTCCTCCATTCCTCCTCCCGCATGAAAATACCTCGCTCTGTACCCCATCCTGTCGTCAGGAACACTCGCCTCTTGGTTCCCAAAGTGACAGGACAACCCCAATTGTCACCCAGTAGTGATGGATTTGCAGGGCTTTCCTTTCTGGGCTAAACAACACAGGTGTTGACACTAGCAAAGATTCAACACCTGTGGCCTGGCTTCACAAAGATAACAGCGGACACCTGGCGGAGAGGAGGGGTGGCAAGATGAAAGGTGAGCTTGTGGGCTCTGGGACACAACCAACCTGGGTCCCATGCTCATCCGACCAGCAGGGCGACCCTGGCTGTGTTCTTTAACCACCTCCAGCCTCGGTCTCCCTCTCTTAATGGAGTTTGTGTCACGTGGTCACAGAGGTATGGATGAGGCTCCGCAGGGGAGGGAGCTAGTCGGGCAGGGGTCAGGATGCAGGCAGGAGAGGGAATCTGGCGGCGGGGGGGGGGGGCGGGGGACAGACAGAGGTGGGGGTGCTGCAGAGCAGGCAGGACTTCAGGAAGGGGGAGTCACAGCGGAGTGTGGCTTGAGGCCAGGCCTGGGACCCCGGACCTGGCACCTGCGTGCCCTCTTTCACAGAGAGGTGGGAGCAGCGGCCCAACAACCCCCAAGAGAAAGGGACAGCAGGAAGACTCGCCACTGGTACTGATGCTTTTCTCTAAAAGGCTTTCGGCTGAACTTCTGTTGCAGGATGAGGTGTTTGCAAGCCAGTTCTTTCCAGGTCTGCACTCACGTCCCTCCCAACCTCCCTGATTAATTAGTGGCCTTATCTTCAGGAGCCAAATATTTATCTTTAGCTTTTGGTTTCTTAGGGTAGATGAGGGGACTTTCTGGGCTGAGTCATGGTGGCAGAGCACGCCCACCAGACAGGTCCTCCAGCTGAGCGGTCAAGACTCCAGACCCTTCCTCTCTGCCGCCAGAGAGACCAAGATGCCATCCACGCCTGCATGCTGATGCGCGTCCAGAGCACAAATGTGCACTCAACGTATACACGTGTGCACACAAGCACATTCACAGCATACATATGCCGGCATGCCCCACGTGCCCCCCACAAAAGCCCCCTACCCACAAAGTGCGCACACACACACAGCCTGCCTTGACGGAGAAAGATTGTTCTTTCCTCTGAGGGAAAAAACATAAAAGGCAGGAGTGGGTGGTTTGACAACACCTCCCTTTTCTGGCTTCCCGAGAGTCTGACTCAGGAGAAGCCCATTTGCTACTGAGAGTCTCTGCGTCAGGGTTCCAGCTGGCTCCATCTCGCCCCATCCCTTGGCTGAACACCGGGGGCACCGCGGCCCATAAACTGCCCTCAGGCGTCTGCTATGGGAGCCCCCTCCCCGACGATTAGGGGCTGACGCCTCCCAGCCCGTTAGCAGGGGACACAGGCTGGAGGTGACCCGCTGGCATCACAAGGGGCTGAGCCGCCGGAGTTAGGGCGCCTTCCTGCCTCGGGCTCAGTACCAACCAAAGCTGCCGCCTGCCACCCTTGGGTGCGGACGTGGGGTTTCAGACCCTGCCGTTTCTCTTAATGCCAGGTCAGCAAGCAGGCAACACTTTGTCTTCCTCTCCCCCCGCAGGACTTCCGCTCCAGCTCCTCCTAGCACACAGACCTCCCCCTGCCCCCACTGGCTCTGCTATCTTTCTCATCTCTCTCCAGGCAGGAGGCTGGCAGCTGAGCACTGACCGCTCACCCTGGGAGACACCCCCGAGATGCAGACGCCCGCCCACGAAGGGCCAGCTGGTCTGTCTCCTTCCTGCGGCGTCCCCAGCTGGCAGGCTCACGATCAAACTCAGGATGTACATCCGGTTGCAAACGAGGATGCTCCTGGCATTGGCTCTGGGAACCGACTCCTCCCCGGGGTCCCCTTCTCCCCCACATGCCAGGGCGGCCAGGCTGTTTGGGGCCGGGGGGGGGGGTCCCGATGGCATGAACCATCCCCGGCCCCTCCCTCCCATTGGTGGGCCTGTGCGCAAGAGCCTGAAATGGACACACCCCACGAGGAACTGCCCTGGCTGCCAGCCCACGACCTCCTGCCCCATCTGGGTCTGTGAAAGTGAAATCACCGGGGGCTGCAGACACCAGGAGCCGAGGGGCAGGTGAGGTCATCTCTAAAGCCTCGCTGGGCCACCACGCGGTACTGAAGGGGACAAGGTCCCTGCCTGCAGGCCCAGAAACTGGGCCGCGGGGGACCAACGCAAGTCAGCAGGCACCTTAGATGAAACAAACAGCAGAGGCCCAAAGCCTGTCTGTAGAGAAATGAGAAAAGCAAGGACTGTAGGGATTTCTCATACAGCTAAATGTACTGCATTTAAATCAGAGTCCTAACCTGCTAAGGTCAGATGATGCTCTTGTAACAGACTGAATTGTGTCCCCCCCACCCACAAAGGATATGCTGACGTCCTAACCCCCAGCACTGCGAATGTGACGTGATTTGGACAGAAGAGTCACTTCAGGTACAATTAGGTAAGCACGGTCAGGTTGGGGTAGGACGCCATCATCCAACCTGCCTGGTGTCCTGAGAAGGGGAGAAGAGCCACGTGGAGGGGGAGACAGAGACTGGAGCGATGCTGCCACGGCCGGGCCACCTGAAGCTGGACGAGGAGAGGTGGACCTTCCCCCAGAGGCTCCAGAAGGGGCACAGCCCTGCCCAGGCCCTGATTTCAGACTCTGGCTTCCAAAACTGAGACACAATGCAGTTCAGCTACTTTAAGCACCCCTACCCCCAACTTACCCCGCCCCACAATTTGTGGTACTTGTTACAACAGCTCCAGGAAAGTACCACAATCTTCTTGACATTTTCAGTGTTTAAATGTCTTGTTTTTCAGGAACGGACAGTGATCAAGAGAGCAGTTGTTTTCCCAATGACTTACTTGACAAGACACAGTGGATGGGGCCCCAATTAAAAACAAAACAAAAAACTGGTTGAGGGACTTCCCTGGTGGTCCAGTGGTTAAGAATCCGCCTTCCAATGCAGGGGATGCGGGTTCAGTCCCTGGTTGGGGAACTCAGATCCCACATGTCTCAGGGCAGCTAAGCCAGTATGCTGCAACTAGAGAGGAACAACTGCAAGCCCAGGGAAGCCCACGTGCCTCAATGAGGAGCCACACATCACAACTAATGCAACCTGAGGCCGCCAAAAACAAACATATTTGTTTTTTTAGAAAACCTCATGGTTATAAGAGAGGAGATGGGGCCACATTTCCTCTCTCAGTTTTTAAAAAAATATTTCTTTGGGTGTGCCTGGTCATAGCTGCGGCATGTGGGATCTAGTCCCCTAATGGGGATCGAACCCAGGGCCCTGGAGTTGGGCATGCAGGGTCTTAGCCACTGGACCACCCAGGGAAGTCCCATCCTCTGTCATTTTTAAGCAGGTGTTCATTTACCAGCATCATCTATGTCCAGGAGAGCAGATAGTGGGAAAACAAGTCACAGGCAAGAAACTGCCCCTGTCACTCATCTTTGGGCTGCTGACTGAGGTCCTCCTACTTAGCATCTGACCCCTAGAGGACCCTCCCCCGAACTGTGCCCTCAGAAAGCCCAGACAGGTGCGGCTCACACACCAAGGGGAGGGACTCAAACCTGTGCTGAATTAAACTGCTCAAGTCCTGGTAGGAACTACCTGGTGCGGCTACAGCAGTAGGACGGGATGCAAAGTCACATTTCCACTAACTAAACAGGGGCTGTTTGCAGCTTGACATGCATGGCAACACCATTGTTGCGTCTTTCGTGGGCTTTCCTTTATGACTTATTCCACTGCCAGTCTACACGGTGGTATTATCCTACAAATAGCATGTTAGCAAAAAACATAAATAAAGCAGATGTAAGAGCATCTCTGGGAATGAGAACAGAATTTACAGCAATGAAGTCAGTAAGAGATTAAACAGATGACTCTCTCCCTTGGAGCTGAAAGCAACTGATGCCCAACACGGAACTTTCACAAACCCCAGATGCAAAGACTTGCTTCTAGGATGAAGCCTCAGCAGATCAAGAATGAAAAACTTTCTTCTCTCATCCTGCCATTACTCATCTACTTTTATTGTTTCCTGTTTAGTTGCTAAGCCACGTTCAACTCTTTTGTGACCCCATGGACTACAGCCCGCTAGGCTCCTCTGTCCGTGGCATTCTTCAGGCAAGAATACTGGAGTGAATTGCTATTTCCTTCTGCAAGGGGATCTTCCCAATCCAGGGATCAAACCCTCGTCTCCTGCATTGCAGGCACATTCTTTACCACTGAGCCACCTGGGAAGCCCGTTCATCTATTTACTTTTGCCTTAAAAAGATTTTCAAATCCTATTCGTTCATCCATCATCTGCTATCTGAATTAACCACCACCCTTCCTGATCACAGCAAAAATTCCTGCTGCTTTTCAGCTGAAAATACCCCAGGTAAGCAACGTTTTTCCAGCATGAGAAGAGAATCAAGAAAGAGAACATCGTGCAAACCAGAGGCCACCCTTGCAGACACAGCCCCAGTGACACTTTCTGTTCTCCTGGGAGAGTGAGGAGCCACGCTCATCAGAAACTGCCCCCAACACCCCAAGTGGAAACACATTTGCGTGGGTGCATCCACTCTGAGCCACTGGGGACCCCAGCCTGGCCTGGGCACTGACCTGCTCCGTCTCCACGAAGTTGGACACGTGGCCGTCGTCGTTCACGCCGCGGGTGTGGAAGCGAGCGCCAGCGCGCTCACAGCTGATGCGGGAGATGAGGCAGGCCTTGGCTTGCTTGTGAGAGGCGTACACCGTGCGGATGGCCACCACCCCACAGATGACCTTCAGCAGCCAGTCACAGCAGTTCACCTGGTGCTGCCTCAGAGGCACATGCAGCAGCTGGTTCCTGCAAAACGGAGCCCGCGGTGACCTGGGCCGCCTCACACCCTCCAGGACAGTGCCCACGGCAAGCGGGGGAGGCGCCTGGGGGCCGTATTCCTGCACACGCCCTGTGAACTCCGCACTCGGGACACGCGGCAAGGATGTTCGCGTGCTCTAGAGGCACCCCAAACGGCAGGGCCGCCAGCTCCTGGGCAGCGGGAAACGGCTGCTCCTGGGTGTCAGCAGCAGTGGCTGGAATGCAGGTGCGGGTGTCAGCCAGTCGCCGGGCTTTCAGGGAACCACAGAGCAGCCTCTGTTTACACCAGCGGCTTCTGCAGTTTTTGAACGTTTAAGTCCCTTCGGTAAAAATTTAAGCAGGTTTTATGATGAAAGAATAATGATAAATGACAAATGATAAAAATAATTAAATACGTGCATGCTTATTTAAATTATATACAGAGCCTACAAGGTGAACATGATGAGAGCATTACAAAGCAATGGGAGTTAAATAAAAATGATGAGATGAACATAAAACTTAAAGTTCAGTACTTCCTCCCCAAACCCAGTGGATGGTGCTGGGTCTCTGACATCCATGATGATCTTCATGGGATAACAGCCAGCATTTAGAAAGGGCACCAAGCTCCATTCTAAGTGTTCTGGGACGAATCGACTCATTTCATCCTTGTATCAGCCTATGTATAGGCATTATCATTCACCCCATTTTACAGATGAAGAAACTGAGGCACAGAGGAGAAATGCTTGCCCAAGGTCAGAGCCAGTAAGCGGCAGCGTGGCATGGAAGCTGTACTCTTCAGCCCAAGCCTCTCCTGCTGAAGGCCCTACGTGTAGAGCTGCACCCGCACACAGTCACACCAGCTCTCGTGCCTCACTCGCCTCCCCGACACCCACGGGAGCTTACTGAGCAGGTGATGGCTGGGAGTGGGGCTCGGGGGTGGTGTGCGAACCTCAGGCTGCTTCCAGGCTCTACTCGCTTCACCCAGGGGACCCACGCTGTGCGGTTCTGAGGTCCTCATCTTGCCCCCCTGGGAGGCAGGAACCCCCACAGGGTAGCAAGCCCATCTAGACCACAGTGTGCTATGTATTTAAAACGGCAGCACTGTTCCTGCCCCGAGCCCTCATCAAAGACGCAGCGCCCTCGTTTCTGGAGAAGTGTGCTGTGAGCTCTGACGTCCCAGGCGGCTTCTCCAAGCGGCAAGAGCAGCCGCTCCCCGCTCTCAGGCCAGCCTCCTCCCCGACACGGCACGTGGGCACTGAGGACACGCTGCCCCCCGGGAAGCAGGGCCATGTCTGAGCTCTCACTCCAGGGCGCTGGGCTGCCCGGAGAATGATGAGCACGAAGCATCACCTTCCCCTCTTCTGAATCCCTCTCTGAAATTGAGCTGATAAAACAACTTTGTTGTTGTTCAGCAGCTCGGCCATGTCTGACTCTTTGTGACCCCATGGACTGCAGCACACCAGGCTTCCCTGTCCATCACCATCTCCCTGAGCTTGCTCAAACTCATGTCCATTGAGTCGGTGATGCCATCCAACCATCTCATCCTCTGTCGTCCCCTTCTCCTCCTGCCCTCAATTCTTCCCAGCATCAGGGTCTTTTCCAATGAGTCAGCACTTTGCATCAGGTATCCAGAGTACTGGAGCTTCAGCTTCAGCATCAGTCCTTCCAATGAATATTCAGGGTTGATTTCCTTTAGGATTGACTGGTTTCATCTCCTTGCAGTCCAAGGAACTCTCAAGAGTCTTCTCCAGCACCACAGCTCGAAAGCACCAATTCCTTGGCACTCAGCTTTCTTTACGGTCCAACTCTCACATCTGCACTAAATCAACTTTAGTAACCCATGCATTCAATCTGCATCAAGGGAAGGTCTCCAGAATGTTCCAGGGTCTTCCGCCACACAGTGATGGCTGCCATCAGTCACCAGGGGTCAAAGCAACTTTCCGCCAAACAGGCAACTCTAAACAATCCCTGTTGTAGTCACAATGGCCTGACCCCCTGTAGGAGGACGGCTCATAACGTCGAAGGAAGAAACCCAAACCTATAAAGGAAAAGAGCTTGCATCTCCTTCCAGGACTTGATTGAACCGGGAAGCAGTTATCGGTAGGGAACAGTAACCACCCAGAAAAATGCCAAACCCTCGCCCTCATGCACCAGCCACGTCCATTGCTGACCCCGTCTGACTCCAGATGTGGGCTCAGACCTTGAACACAGCACCCCAGATGGTGGGTTCAGGCAATCAAGCCCGTGACCACGCAGCTGGGCCTGACTCAGCTGTGGTCAGCTCCACGGGTGCCGCCCTGAGCCCAAACACCATACCCTGGGCTGTGGGGTGCGGGATGGCCCGGGAGCTTCGCACCTTCCAGGGTTAGCTTCTCCTGGCCAACTGGGGACAGCCCAGTGTCCACCTGGGGCCTCCCCCTTCCCAAGCCCTTTCAGTCTTCACTCGGTGATTCCCCACTTTGTCTTCCTCTTCCCTGTGCACCTCAAATCTCCAACCACAGAGCTGGCATGAGGCGGCCTGGGAAGAGCAGGTACAAGGGTGACGCAGATTCCCCGGGCATTCAAGGCTTGTTACAGCCTCTGAGACCTCTAGCCTCGGCTCATCAGAACTTCCCGGCTGAAAGTGGCCCCAGAGCCTAACAAAGACACCTTCATAATCACAGCCCCTGCGCCCCTGAGCTGGGCTCCCTTCAGGAGCACATACACCTGCAAAACAGAACTAGTGATTCACAGACACACCATCCGCCGCACTTCATATCCAGAGTGTGGTCCTTCAAACAGCAGCCCTGGCGCCAGCGTCGGCTCCTTGCTGGAAATGCAGAGTCTCGGGCCCCAGGCCAGCCCTGCTCAATCAGAATCTGCATTTTTAACAAGATTCACATCCTTGAAGTCTGAGCACGCTGCTGCTAAGTCACTTCAGTTGTGTCCGTCTCTGTGCGACCCCATAGACGGCAGCCCACCAGGCTCCGCCATCTCTGGGATTCTCCAGGCAAGAACACTGGAGTGGGTTGCCATTTCTACTACCCCCCAAACCTCACATAACCAGACAACCTAAGAGGATCTGGGGGACAGGGAGCACGGGCACATATGGAAGGATACCGTGAACTCCTCTTTCTCCAAGTGGAAGTCAGGAGCTCACTTGTGGGGTCCCAAGCACCAAGGAAAGTACACTTAACAGGCGATGGAAACCTGTGAGCTCCTGTTTGGGCAAAGCGAGGCAGGAACAAACACAGGGCACAGAGATGCCTCATCAGCCGTGACTCAGGGCTGGAAAGGCCCCAAAGGCCAGCCCTGGAACCAAGAACGCCCGTATCCGAACAATTCCAACAGCAGGACTTTCATCACTTCTGCTTCTGAGTCGCAATCTCCCGGTAAATCTGATGGGAGCAGCTCCATTGTATGCAAATCACCGTGCCCCCACCCCGGGTCTTCCACAGGACCTGTCAGAGGTCATGACCCCCAGGGTCCACAAAGGGTGACCACTGACCCATTTAGGGGTCATCCACGCCCTGATGGTCCCTGAAGGGGCCCATTACTGCTCATCACCTTGGCAGGATGACTTGGCTCTGCCGTTGAAACTGACAGGTTTGGTTGTGGGATTAACAGTGTGGGACCTGGAGCCAGGATGCCTGGGTTCAAATTCCCTGCCTTATTCAAGCCTCAGTCTCCTCACTTGTAAAATGGGAATAACAGACCCTACCTCATTGTTTCCTATGAGGAGTATGTGAGTTATGACCCACAGAGAACTTAGAAAAGTGCTTTACAAATGTCTGTATGCTGGAGGATAACCACGAGAACTGAGGGGGCGGGGGAGGCGCTGAGCACAGGCCCAGGCACTCGGAGCACCAGCAGATGCTGCCATTTGTGCTCCTGAGTTACGGGGCAGATTCTCCTCTGGAGTCTACATAAGGCCACATTGAACATGCTCCCTGATTCCAGTGGGGGCTAGTTTCCTCTCATTGTGCAGACAGCGTGGGCACCAATCACAGCTCCTGTAGGTAACCCATGCGCCCGGGGACGATGCTAAGAGATGGAGGGTGCAGCTGCTCATCAGAGCCCGCCCTCCGTGTGCACCGGGGGCAGGGGACCCAGGCCTCACCAGAAGAAGGAGTTCCCCCACTCGGAGCTGTCGTCGCCCTGCTTCTGCGCCCGGACGGTGAGGTCGAAGCAAGACCCATCGTTGGGCCAGGAGAAGTAGAAGACCCCTGAGTTGAGGATCTTCCGCAAGGCCGCGAGGCGGTCCTCCTCCTTGGCCTCTTCCTGGAGAGGGTAAAAGTCGGTGGCGGTGATTTTGTAGATTTCGGCCTCTGGGATTCTGCCCACGGATGTGCAGCCTGTCACCAGAACCAGGAAGCTCAGGGAGGTGCCACCTGGAAGGGAAGTGAGACATGGGGGCTGAGGATCGCAGGTGGTGACACGGGCGACGGACAGCCACAACCACGAGACGGACTTCCTGTTCTCTCCCTCACCTCCCCGCACCCCGCCTTCAGCTGAGGGATCCGCCTGCCACCTGAGCCCAAAGCCTGGAGCCGCGGTTCCAGAGCCCCGCCCGTTCCACCAGCAGCAGAGCCACCTGGAGCCTGTTAGAAATGAGAACTCTCAGCCCCACCCCCCGGGCCTCGGGGCCAGCAGCCTGCACTTAACCAGCTCAGGGGCTCCAGGTGGGTCCTCCTCCCACCCGCAAGCCTGAGATACTGATACTGCCTGCAGCCTGCCCTGCCCACACCCTAAGCCTCTCAAATCCACCCTCCCCACGAACCACCAGGGCCCCCAGCCAGGCTCAGTCCTCCAAGCGCCACTGATGGAGCGGCCTGATCGCAGACCTCCTTTCAGGCTTCACCTGCCCACAGGGTTGAAGTGGGAACCCCTGGGGACCCCTGTCCCCACTGCCCACCTCCTGCCTCTCCCCACCACATGGCACACAGAGTCCAGCCACTCTTATGGGCCATCTCTGTGGCTCCCCAAAAGCACCCTTGCACCCCTGGGCCTCTGCCAGTGAGGCCTTCCTCCCCACTCACCTTCCTGCCCCCACCCTCTAGACCAGCTGGAGCCTCCCTGATGCCTCCGCCCACACACCCCTTCCCTAGAGAACTCCTCTTCACCCTTCTGGGGTCAAGTCGTCAACACCTCCTCCAGGGAGCCTTCCCTGCTCTCCTGAGACACCGCCAGGTGCCCCTTAGACACTGTGAGGAGCACTTAGATGCTCCCTCTTAGCTCTTATCACACACAAAGCTAACAGCCTCCTTCCCTGCACATGTCCTCCAGCTGGCTAGGGGTTCCTTAGGGATGGGCTCTGTTTGGTTGTCATATCCCGGCAAGCAAGTGTTTGACGAAAACATCCCAAATAGGCCAACAAGAGAGCAGCTCAAGCCCCCTTGCCCCCTCCCCATGAAAGGTTACCCCAACTACTGCAGACCCTGTTTTTGGGAGGAGGAGAGACACCCCCCTTCTGGGGACCCCACCACACCACCCACGGCTGTTTTCTGTTCCACGTCCCCACGGTGCAGCAGGTCCAGGCACACAAGGGTGCTCGAAGACACGCGCTGGGGGCGGGGACAGTGGGGACACTGACACGCCGTCCTCTATCTCAGGAGAAGGCCCAGGAGACAACCTGATGGGTAACTGGCCTCAAGGGGCTGTCGTGGTTCTGGACCAGAGCACTCCCGTCCCATCCCAGCAAGGTTTAAGGGACTCGCTCCCACCAAGACCTGCTCCAGAAGACCCGTGGTCACCGTCTGGAGCCGTGGTAGTCAGCGTTCTCAGATCTCTGGACACTCCGCTGAGACCCCAAAGACTGCCAGTCTCTCTGCTCACCCACCTTAGATCCCCTCCTCACACTTAACAGGAAGACAGCGCTGCTGGGGGCCAGGGGACATCGGGTGTCATTCAAGACCCCTTCATTCAATAAATAGGTCACCACTCTGATAGGCTTCACGGGGTAGGGGAGGAGGTCACATCCAACAGGCGACCATCCTGGCTCACAAACTACCTCTCCGGTCATGTGATCAGGAAACCTTTATTTATTTCTTTATTTTTCACTGTGCTGGGTCTTCACTGCAGTGCAGGCTTCTCATTGCAGAGCACAGGTTCCAGGGCATGTGGGCTTTGGGAGTTATATAGCACACGGACTCAGCTGCTCTGCGGCCTGTGGGACCACCCCGGACCAAGGCTCGAACCCATGTCTCCTGCACTGGCAGGCGGATTCTTTCCCACCGAGCCACGAGGGAAGCTGGGGAAACCATTTTGAAACAACAAAGGAAGAAGGCGGTTATGGCTATGGACAGTAACAGGGGTCAGGGGCCGAGTCTCTGAAGGAGAACCCGTGTCGTTTCTGGAAGACAGGTGGGGTTTGTGTGGAGCTGGCGGCTCATGCTAGAACCAGCGCACAGGCATCTCATCTGCCTCCTCCCATGGGCTCAGCACGGGCCAGGCGGAGTTCAGGAATTGTCCCCTCACACAGCCCAGAGGACAGCCCAGTGGGTGAAGCTGCGAGCCTGAGACTGGACTCCGGAAAGGGGCGGGTCCCACCAGAAGGGGGCGCGTCCCAGGGGAGGATGGGAAATTCTCCACTCCATCTCTCCACCCGCGTCGTGCAGTGGGTTTCTAGCCCCGCTTCCTCAACAGCCTCTGCGTGGGGGGACCGAGTCCCTGGCAGGAGTCCCAGGTTGCTCTGAAGACAGCAGGCAGTTTCTGTGCAGGGCAGCGGCCCGGGGGAGGCTCGGGGCGGGCGTGCGACAGCAGGCGTGAAAAGGCTCTTGAAATAAATGAGCGCAAGGGGACGGGCTGTCACCACCGAGGGGGCAGGCTCCCGAGTCCTGGGCCGAGGGGCTCAGGAGAGGATGAGAAGAGCGGCTGCGTGGGAGCAAGCTGGAAGCAGATGCTTTAGTGATACTCAGTCCTCAGGGATGCTTACCCTGTGCCAGGTACCGCTCCACAAACCTGCTCCTGGCACCCCCACCAGGGAGGTCCCATTTTACAGGCAGGGAGACGGAGGCACAGGGAGGGTGAGTAGCCTGCCCAAGGCAGCACAGCGGGGAGCTGGGATTCAAAGTCATTTTCTAGCCCACCCCAGACGAGTCACTCAAAGCCACGTCTGGTTCCAGGGCCGGGGGCCCCTGCCCATGTCCTTGCAGAAGCACAGCCGACCTGTCTAACAGCACTGCCGTTTTAGACTTGAGGACTGGCCCCCGGGGAGCTGAACTGCCTGCCCAGTGCGGCTCATCTCTGCTGGACCCAAGATGCAAACATGGGTCTCACCTCGGCCCAGGCTCCGTCTAGCCCTGAGGGCTGGTGGCCTTCAACCACTTCGGCTGCTGTCTCTCTAAGAAATGTGGTTGGCCAATGCTCCCCTCGCTCATTTTCAAATTGACACCAGAAGTTTTCATCATTAGTTTAAATGGTTGTGAGTAATATATTTTCCAGCATGTGCTAAATATTGATGTGTAAAAATAAAACTGTTGTGGGCCTCTGTATCAGTATCCAGCGGAATCCAGGTGGTGATTTATATTCATCATCATCTATTTTTTTTAAGGAATCATGAACAAGATCTTCTTGAACAGATGGGATTTTTACTCCTATTTGCTGTCCACTTTCCCCACAGAATTTCATCCTAACGTTACATTCTGTGCTTCACTCAATCATATTGTATAGCACTTTCAGCCTAAAGTTCTGAGTCTTTAAAAAGTTTCTTTAGGCTTGAGTTATCCCTACAATGATTTTTAGTAGACATTGGTCAAACAGTGTAAACAAAACATTTTTGTTAAATGATCATTTAACATAAAAAGTAAAGATTTGCTGGAAAGGCTTCTCTTAATGAGATGAATGGTATTTCTCATTCATGGACACATATTTATTGGTGGAATGAAACTAGATTCCACACCAATTTCAGTTCTATTTTTCATTTTTATAGATGTACACTCTGAGAAACCTTGTTCGTATTGATAAACAGATGGGAACAGAAAGGGCTTCATTATAGAAACGTCATTCAATTCTTCAAAGTCCTTCTGAGTTACATGTTAAGAAAGAAAGAAATCACAATGAATTATTGACACAAGCATTGTTAATGCTGTCAGCTGACACCCCACTTACTTCTTCCGTTTTGTGGAAAGAAAACAATTGACTGTCATCTGACTTGTCAACAAATCTGTCACCTAGTCATTGAGGTGACTGACTTGCTCAACTGCTGACAATATTCTGAACTGTCCCTTTGCTTGGCAACCTAGAGGCATTCACGTCTGGAACAACACAGCATGGTGAGATGCTGGGTGGGCGAAATAAGATGGCAGAAGGGTGGTTATGGATGGAACAGGGAGGGTGAGCAACCAGCCCCACATCCCAGGACATTCTTCAGCAAACTAATGACCGGGAGGCACTGAGGAGCGGAACTTGTTTTCCTCAGATCTCACCACGTCTGTGCACACAGTCTCCGTGACCCCAGGAGAACGGCCCCTCAGCCTGGCAGGGGTCAGTCAGTCCTGCCATCACCCTGTCCCCCCATCTGTGTAAGCGCCCCCTGGCTCTCACGCACTGCAGGAGGCGGGGAGTAGACAGCAGGGCTGTCAGGATGCTGTCTGCCCGTGAGCCCACACAGAAGGTGTCTCCAGGGGTAAAACTGAGGCTGGCGGGACTCGCCTGCCCCAGCGAGAGAGAAATCCCCTCTGAGGTCACCTTGAGCACAGGATCCCAGCTGTGTTTTCAGTAACTCAGGATCAATTTTCTCACAGCCCGGAAGTGAAATGGGCCTTTGGTTGGAGGGGTGGGGGGCTGGGGTTGGGGGGGTCTCAGATGTCATTAGTCAAGGCTGAGTCCGGGGCCTTGAAACTAGATAGGATCTTGGAGCAAGGCAGACAAAAGTCAGGCTCGCTTTGGCCTGAGAAGACAGGGCTCTGAACGCCCTCCAACAGCCTGTGGGGCCTCAGGCAGTCTCTGGGCAACAGATGGGCTCCCTGTCTCTTTCAGCTCCGACTCTCTGGTTCCAGGGCTCTGGCTGCAGCAAGACCATGCCTGGGTCAGAGGATGCTGGCCAGAGTCAGGTGAGGTGGTGGTGAGGGGAAGAAATGGCTCACAGGCCAAAAAGACGTCTACCCCAGAACCGGGAGGGTCATACCCGCACACAGAGGCAGCTTGGGTGAGCAGGGTGGGGCAGTGGATCGCAACTACCTCAATACAAATATGGGCTTCCCAGGCGGCTCAGGGGTAAAGAATCCGCCTGCCAATGCAGGAGATGCAAAGGTTCGATCCCTGGGTCAGGAAGATCCCCTGGAGTAGGAAATGGCAACCCCACTCCAGTGTTCTTGCCTGGAAAATTCCATGGGTAGAGGGGCCTGGTGGGCCATAGTCCACAGGGTATTGAAAGAGTTGGACATGACTG